CGGAGAGTATTCGCCGAAGAGTTCCAACTGGCTGATCACGGTCGCAGGCACAACAATCTGAATGAAGAATAATCAATTACAGTGGTCAATGGTGCAGAATTCAACTGCCCAATTGGTCTTCTTTGTTTATTCGGTACAAGAAAAAACAAAGTACATACTATTGATATCCTGCACCCTCCGTAAATTATCTCCGTAGATGGTCCCTACGAGTACTGTAGTTCGCCAGTTGACTCCGCAATCGACATTTCAATCCACGCTGATCCCTCCAGACCTCCCCAATCCAAACCTTAACGCTGACCGTTGATGTCAAATAAGAACCCACTGCCCCAATTCAACCAGCGGGCGCAAACTATCACAATTTCCCTGCCTTGTTTTTCTTCATTAGGGCCCTGACAGCTGCCACTTTCCCTGCAAGCTGCGGAAGGAAAGGGGAAATAGCTCGGCAGCCCAAGGGAGAAAAGGGGGAATCTTTGAAATCTTGGGTCATAATGATCTTGAAGAAGATTTTCCATGCAAAAACGGCGTCAGTCCTGTCGATCAGCATGTTCTCGCGAAAGCGGTTCTGCAAAAGAAGCATAAGGGCCATTGGGTGTCCTCGGGTTGTCCAATGAGCGCTTGTACCTGGTACAGCTCGGGTGAGCTTTGAGTCGGGGTTCTAGGCAGCTAGTTAGTTGGTTGGGCAGGGGTCTGCCCAGTGGTTACCCCCAGTCTCTTGCGCCCACATCTTGTCTGGACTTTGGCAAGGTAAGCGGCTCATGACCGGAAGTTGGCGGGCGCTAGTTGGAAAAGTCTCAGTTGCCTTCCTGCAAGGTTGCAAAGTCGGATGGTCGTGTGAAGATGTAGGGGGAGGACTGATGATTGAATTGGGTAGGCTTTGACAATACTACATATGAAATGATAGGTGTAGGAATATAAATACTTTCTAATTGAGACATCTGTACCTTGGTTGTGTTCTTTGAATTTTACTTTTCCGTGCCGTGGGGGGGCGTATGCTGTGTACTCCCGCTGGGCATCCATAGAGGGCAGATATATATTTCGAAATATCGATTGTGCACAAAACTCATTTGAACATAGCTTTGAATCCCTAGTCGACTACTTGAAATATATCGTCGGTAGGTGTTATCGTTAGGCCAAGAATTCCCCTTCAATTTCAATCGTATTGGGAATGAGGTGTTTCACCCAAGTCTCATGTGCGGCCCTACACTGCGAGGCTATTGGTGTCCAACATATCACGGCTTAACTTGAGAAACCCATTCCAGTTGGTCACTGCATATTATTACTTTGTAATGTTAGCGAGTTCGAGGGAGTCAGTGAATATATCGGATATATTTGCTGCAAATGAAAATACCTGTCTGAACAGATGAAAACGCACTCGCGATATTTACAGCTTGCCCTTGCTAGGTGAAATTGCCTGAAGATGGCACAACCGACTGTGGGGATTAAACTGTCGTGGGGTCATCGTCATCACTATAAAGGACTACTCTGAATCATCCTGATAGGGTCCCTGCGGTGTTCAGATCCCTTCATCGGCTGGGCCTGCTTGGATACCCGTTCCCAAGATTGAGTTGCTTTGTTCACCCCAGTTCTAAATGTTTGTTGCTTAGATCGATGGGAGGTTACTATCCTAGAGAAATCTTGCATATTCAACTCCCACTCCCGCCGAAGTCTGATCCATTAACAGTCTTGGGACAGGTATCTCGCTACTACCGATGTGACAGATGTAAAGACTGCTAGTGTCTTAAGCCCCCTCTGCATTCCCATCCTAGAAAGAAGCCCAAAAAATATGAGATTCGGCATCTACTCCACCAGGTCTTAAGTTGCTCGGCATGTTGTGCAAATCTACAATTATCATCGACATTCATCAAATCTCGCTGAAGATCGCTGTAATACCTTCATGCTGTCATTGTATCCCAGCCACCTATGCCCTTATTATTGTGCTCGTGAGCCGGCTGGATGGCCATGGAAGAGACATCTCGAGCTTGAATTCTGACTTGTTAGATGCTGTAGAAGGGACTAAGTAGTGTATTCAAAAGCTTGTATGCCAACGTGTACGTTTAGGAACACTCCCATGAGTTGACCCATGAGCAAGCCCTAGAGGGTTATACTCTTTGACGGATCAGGATCTTGCATAGCATCGATAGGCTACGCACCCGCGACTTCTCCCGCTGTACAAGGTGGGTTAGGACTACTTAGCAAGCTCAATAGACAAGCAGACTTGATACATTGTAATGTTGGATATTTTGGTGCATTTTGTTTGCATTCTTATCTGACATACAAGCCGGGATCCGCCGCGCGGACCCCAAGCAGAAAAGACAACCCATAGCCGAGCTATTGCGCCATATCGAAAGATCAAAAAGAAAAAGAGATAAACAAAAGGGGGGGAGAAATTCAACGAAGCTTCACCGCCAGCTAGCACAGCAAATGCGACTGTGGATGCGATTGCCAACGCATAGCTGGCGCAGAACCAGGGGGCATCAGGAAAGGCTTAAGCCATGTAGGTCGAGGAATCGACACCGCCCTCGGGGTACTCACTGTTTGCATGCTGGTTAGTTTTGTTCTGGATAGTGGAAACGGTAGTGGTTGTGATGGGTGGGTACGTACGGAAGGGCGACCTCGAAGCGCTTCTCAATCTCCTTGAGGACCTTCTCATCGTCCTCGTTGCTGACAAAGGAGATGGAGAGACCCTTGGTTCCGAAACGGCCGGCACGACCGACACGGTGCAGGTAGGAGTCGGCGTCGGCGGGGAGGTCGTAGTTGATGGCCAAATTGATACGCTCGATATCGATACCACGACCGAAGACGTCGGTGGCAACGCAGATGCGCTTGTTGAACTCCTTGAACTCCTTGTAGCGTTTGATACTGCTAGCTGTTAGTACTGGGCATGGGAAGGCAAATTTACTTCAACAACTTACCGCTCCTCCTGGCTGACACCAGAGTGGACAGCGATACTGGGGAAGTTGCACTCGCGCAGCAGCTTGTCCAGCTCGTTAGCACGCAGGGTGCTCTTGACGAAGATAATGACCTGGTTGAACTCCAGGTTATCAAGAAGCTCGTTCAGCTTGCGGTTCTTCTCGTTCTCGCTGAGCTTGATGTAGTACTGCTGGAGACCGTGCAGGGTGAGCTTGGTGTCGTCATCGACGTAGACCTCGAGAGGGTTGCGCATGAACTTCTTGCAGATGGGGCGGATCTCCTGGGACAGGGTGGCGCTGAACATCATAACCTGCTTGTCGGCGGGGGTGGCACGGAAGATCTCCTGGACGTCACGGCGCATGTCTGAAAGAAACGAGGATTGTTAGAGCCGCAAACTTCGAGTAGGCAGAAGTTGGTTATAACCTACCGATCTGGTCAAGCATCTTGTCACACTCATCAAGGACGAAGGACTTGACGTTGCGAAGAGACAGCTTCTTGTCGCGGACCAAAGCGTTCAGACGACCGGGGGTGGCGACCACAATGTTGGGGTAGGTCTCCTTGCTGGACAGGACCTCGATATCCTTGGCGATGGGAGTACCACCGTAGAAGACGGCAGTCTTGACATCGGGAAGGTACTTGGAGAAGCGAGCATACTCGTTCTTAATCTGGTAGGCAAGCTCACGAGTGTGGCACATCACAAGGATGGAGCACTCGCCCGGGACAGGCTCCAGCTGGTGGAGGGTGGTCAGGACGAAGACCGCGGTCTTTCCGAGACCGGACTTGGCCTGGCAGAGAACATCGACGTTGAGGACTGCGGTGGGAATGCAGTGCTGCTGGACTGTGGGGAGGCGGAGCGGTGGTTAGACTTGGTTTCGACTCAAGGTGAAGCAGCAAAAAAAGAACAATCGTGTCGCAGGGTATTTGTCCGTGCGTCCGTCCATCTCCCGAAACCGTCACATCAAAACTACAACACGACTGATACTCAAACTTATCATCCCCAGTCGCTACTTTCGTCATTTCACGGCGCCATCAACCACACCAAGGGGTCAAGGGAGGCCGTGATAACAGAAAACGGTTGTGCCAGGAATCTGCATTTGCAGACGACATGAGGGGGGCAACGCCTATTACCGGCGTCACCGACAGAATTGATGGCTTCGTATCACAGCAAAACAGCTGCAGGGCCCGCGGAAAGCAAAACACAGCTGGAAGCAAATGACAACCATGGCCATGGCTCTAGGCCACGCACAGAGACCCCGGCAGAGCGCCGAGTCGCACAGCCGATCAACCAAGTGTATGTATCCCATTTCTCAGGGACCATGGAGCCTCTCATGTCGCCTGCAGATTCGACGACGACTGTGTTTCCCAAACAGATATACCGAATTCCCGCGGAGATGGACAGACGTTGGAGCTTGGAGTAATGGAGGAAGGCATGTGGGAGAAATGTTAGACTAACCCTCCGATGGATGTTCGAAGCCGCAGTCAGTGATGGCGCGCAAGAGTTCGTTCTTCAGCAGGAAGTCGCGGAAACCGGTGGAGTGAATGCCGACATAGCTGCCCTTCTTGTCGGGGCGGCCACCAGAAACGGTCAGGTCGCCCTTCTTTTCCGCATCGCCGTTGGCAGCGGCGGGAGCAGCAGCAGTCGCGGGGGCCGCGGTGGTTCCCAGCTCCTCGTCGGAGTAGTCGATGAGATCCTCTTCGTGAGACATGGTGGCGATGGTGGGTGAGACTGAGAGATGAAAGGTGGTCGTGTCGCGTCTTCTCAGGTGAGAGAAGGTCAAGAAGTGGGGGGTGGGGAAGGGAAAAGAAGGATGGATGGGGATGGAAAGGAAGATGGAAACAGTGACTGGTGAGAGTCCCTTGGAATTGAGCAGTACAAAGGGGACGAGGTCGGCCAGGAAAGAGATGACAGAGAGGGGATTGCGCCTGCGAGGGATGCGCCGAAGTGGAAGAGAACGCGGTCGGGTCACATGACTAGGCTGCCGACTGCCGCATCGGGACTAGTTCCATTCGGGCGATTTTGTTCTTGACGCGTCAATTGTTTCAGCTCCTTTCAGCGCCTCATTCAGCTGTCCTCTGCAGTGGAGCGGACAATGGCCAAGGTGCGGATTCAGAAAGAGGCTAAAAATGCCAAAAGCCACCTGAAAGCCCGGATGGATTATTTGCAGCAGGCTGCGAGCTATCTCCAGGATATCCATCTAGAAGGCAAGACTGCGGCAGGGACCAATACAACCAACTCCCAAACTACATTGGCCAACAATACGGAGCAACAAATTATCCCAAACACTCATTTGAGCAAGGATGTGGACATGGTTCAAGTCTCTACTCGTCAAAAGGCAACAAAAAAACCTTTGACCAATCTCTCCAGAGTCTTTATCTCTCACATGCGTGGCGTATCTTTGAAGACACAGACTCGACTGTCAATACCGGTGAAGAGATCTCTTTGCAAGCGATGTGATACCACTCTCATCGCAGGGGTCAACTGTACGCAGGAGATTCGAAATGAAAGTCGTGGACGCAAGAAGCCATGGGCCGACGTGCTGGTGATACGCTGTCTCGTCTGCAACACTGAGAAACGCTTCCCCCAGACAGAAAAGCGTAGCAAGAAGCTATCCGAGCGGCGAAAAGAGGTGGTGCAGCAGGGGAAAGTGGAGAACCAGGATCAGGCTGGCGCAGCGTGAATCTGCCTACTCCTCTACTTCACTCAATGCTATAGGGGGTTCTACCAGATGATTGGATCTGAGTTAGCACCTGACCATGCTCTGAGTGTTACAATCAGGACTTCTTCCAATCTACACGATTTATGAAGACGAAAACACACTGTTTGATGGGTCTGAGGCCATTAGGCATGATTATCAGGCAGGATTCGGGGGATGTGGCTCCAACTGGATGCCAATGACAGCTAGTGATCATCTATGAGAAATCCCTAGTGAACATCAGCTTCACAGCCCTCAATCTCAAATCTTGCTGCTCGAACCACACTCCATGATGAGGTTCTGTCAGCTCCTGAGCACATGTTTAAAGGCCACCACTGATCGTGGGCCACTACCAAAACACGACAGCCAGGACTGCTACAGACGGGCTCAGCAACAAATTTCAAAGCCTCGGGAAATGGCTCCTCCAGTTACAACCGTACAAGAAAAGCTCCGAAAGAAAACCTGTGATCATCTGATCATCTTTGTGTTGGGGAGTGGCCAAGACAAAGCCAACCGCCTGAATCAATATACAAAATTCGCAGAGAGGGGAATCGAAACCACTGGACATGGTAGCACACATCAAGTCAGACAGCAAACAACAGTAACATGTTTATGCGCTCAAAGCAAAGATCCAAGGAACAGAAAGAAACAAACATTAAAAGTCCATCGTCATGGTAGTCGTCAGATTCAGACAAGGCCTGTAGCCTGGGAAACGAAAGCGCAAGAGTCCAAAGTAGTTAGAACAAACAGCCACAGAACCCGAGCGCCACCAAAAACACTGCAAATCCTGGTCATACCCGCAGATGACTCACAACGAGTCCAGCCCTGGGGTAAAAGGTGCCGCGAGGCATGCAGTTCTTTCAAATCAAGAGTGAATAAGTCAAAGTATGCAGAACAGACCCAAGAAGAAAAAAAAGACAAGACAAATGGGAGGATTGACTGGGTGAAGTCGAACGAAAGGGTGTCCGCGAGGACCGTACTCGTATATCAGTTTGTTTTCCTTTTTTTCCCCTTCCATTTTGGAGGGGCTAAGTGTTTTGGTTTGCACCGAGGTCATGAGAAGGTGTCGGTAGGAGTTATAGATAGGTGAGCAGAGGAATGTCGACGGAATACCTGCCCACTGGGATCAGGTAAGGTAACAGGGCAGGGCTGTCTCCTGGTGAAACAGCCTCACAGGCCCCATCTGTATGGAGGGGGTAGATATGTGATTCATGAGGTAGTATATGTGGAGGTGGGATCTCGGTAGGATAGAGCGGATGGGGCTGCTGGAATGGCATCAGCGTCGCCGGCGGGAGCTCTGGTCCATGCGATGATCTAGAGTCTCGATTCGACCGCGAAAGGATTTGACGATATCGCGGATGTGGGAGATCTTGGCAAGCTCATTATCCAGCTCATCGATGCTGGCGAGAATGGACCGAGTACGGGCGATCTCCGCGTCCGCGTTTCGGATCACGTTCCCGGCGCGGTCATAGCTGTTCTGTATAGAGAGTTGCATCTGATCCTCCAACTACATCAAGTGGAGTAAATTTCATGTCAGGATTATGCGATCAAGTCTTCCATTTGAAGTTTTTTTATGGAGTAGGGAGGACGGGGGGTTGACAGTAAGGTACGGGCTATAGGGGTGACCATGCGGGGAACGACCATCAACAATACATACATATTCGATACGACCGCGGATTTGAGCCTGCAGACCATCCAGCTGGTGTGACAAGGCGCGAAGGCTCATAGGGTCCAGCAGCAAGCGGCCCTGGCTGCTGGCGGCGCTGGTTGCGCGAGAGCTGGAGTTGCTGGTTCGGCCAGTACCGCGGCCCCTGGAGACTCCATTGCCGGCATGGCCGCCCTGCAGGGCAATCTGCTGCTGTTGTCGGAGGATCTGGATCTCGGAGGAGGTGAGGCCAAGCGAGGTGTCGGGGATCGAAGCTGCTGAGACAGACATTTGGACCCGGCAGAGACATGCTCTAACCGCCAGTCTACGAAGCGCCGATCAAACTCGAGGTGAGACCGAACGGACCGTAGGTCATGGTGGACGTGACGAGTCGGTATGTGTGTGGGGAGGGGGAGGCGCTGCTGCTGCTGCTGTTGTTGTTGCTGGTGCTGGTGGTGGTGGTGGTCTGTGGTGTAGCGGTGGGAGGAAGTGGATGCGGGGAGGTCAAAGTGAGGAGACGGGGGGGAATCAGGAGGGCCTGTAGAGTTCAGAATAGAAGACCCCTCGGGCGTAAGGTCTGGAAAGAAAGAGAGAGAGAGAGGGAATGAGTCGGGAGAGGCAGGGAAGGTGACAAGATTGCGAAAAAGGTGGTGTGCTGGGCGGCAACTGAGGCGCGGCTCGTGAAGGTCCGTTACACCGAACCAGGAGAGCGAGCCAGTGGTATGCCGCGAATTTTATATCGCGGGCCGGAGGAGGGGGACAAAGAGTGGAAATGCTGGAATTGGGCGTGGAAAGCACAGCCGTAGGGTTTCGGGGAAATCTGATACCTCGGAGACTCCGTTAGAAGGGGGGGGGGGGGGGAAGAGGGGGAGCCTTTGGTGGGCTAGCGAATAGGTATCCTGGGAGATTCTAGAGAAAGGACAGAGGCGGCAAAAAAGCAATATACTGCAGAATATGGACAGACGACTACAAAGACCAAAGGGACTCAAGGATCATGGTTGAGCGGCTCTTGGGGGAGTCTATGGCTGGGGATTCTGTGGTGCATCGCAGTAGGGCGATGGGGCTAGAAGAGATGCTGCAGATGTGGAGAGAGGGCTTGAGAGGATTCAGATGATCCAGTTAGATACAGTACTACTACTCCAGGAGGAGTCCTCTTGAGGGTTAGAGTCTTGCCGACAGCACCTGACTGGCTCATGTACCCAGTCGAGAGACTATAGGCCTGGTCGGTATCTTTGTTCCAAGCAGTAGTACCTCGAGGCTGGTGGAGGATCTTCCAGGTAGCTAGGCCAGTCAAGAACCGAGGAGAGTATAGAGAGAACAATGTACCCTCTATTCCAAGTGTGTACAGTCATGATATAGTACTACTCTGTATATAGAAATCGACAATAGCAACGGGATACGGTAGCTCGAGCTGTCATCGACGATCGAGAGCAGGATCCATTCCGAACCATGGAAAGCTCTCCGCCCACTCCGCCTTTTTCCTTTCTGAGCTTCTTCGCCGCCTTCTCGAATCACCTCGACTCTCGCTCCTGCACCTTCTCGCCTCGTTCTTGTCGTCCAACAAACGTAACCGTCCTCCCCTATCCCCTCCAATCACACGCGAAGCCCGACCCCCGCTGCCTAACTCGTGAGGCTGAAGCAACGGCCAACCCACCCGGACCTTGCCCCGTCGATTGGCACAGGTACTGCGACCGCGGGGCCTCAAGTCAACTCACCGATGCGCGCCCACCCAACACCCACGCAGTCGGAATAGCGCATCTTGCATTTCCAGCCTGTGAGCTGCACTCATTCCTTTCTCCGATCTCCAGGTCCTCCTGCAGCTTGGCCTCGACCCAGCGGCCTGATTGGACCCAATCTTTGCGACCTCGGGGAACTGACGCTTTGATCACACACCGCTGCAGTCTTTGCAGCGACGAGTTTCTAGCCTGCCTCTCATAGCTCGGAACACTGCCCTTGTCTGCACTCGCTCGTCGCGCTATTCTTCACGTGAGCAGCCCGCGGAGTGCGGATCACTGTCCTGCGAAGCCGATCGAGGGGCCTGGTCCAGTCTCGAGACACAGCTTACCACTCAATTCGTATTGACCCGTCCCGTTGACATCATCCCACCGAGCTTATCCTACGGTCCTCGGATCCTGAACTTGACGATTCGCGGAGATCGCGTTTCCATCCCCGCTGCTACGACACCCTTGAACAATACTATACCCATTGGGCGCACATAGACCGTCATTATGGCTAAGGACAAGGAGCGGGCCATCAACCCTGCAGCGGCGCAGCGGAAACAAGAAAAACAAAAGAGTCTGAAGAAGGGAAAGGCGGAACAATTGGCACGTCGAAACGAGAAGCTGGCTCGCCGCAACCCAGACCGACTCCAGCGGCAGATCAATGAGTTCAAATCGATGGAAGAATCGGGCCAGCAACTACGGCCACGCGACAAGGAAGTCCTGGAAGCACTCGAGCGGGATCTACGGGCAGTTTTGAAAGCCCGGGAAGCGTTGGGCGATAAGGCACCCAAGTTCGACCAGGGCGGGCGAGACGGCCCTCACGGCCCCCGGAGAGAAGGCGGAGACCACGTACTGGGAAAGCGGAGGCGAAACAATGCCTTTGGCCGACAGCAAGAAGAGAGCGACGGAAGCGAGACAGATGAGGACGTACGGAGGATACCAATGCCGCGCGATACGCCACCGCCTATTCCACGCGAATACCAGCGGAAGCGAGGCCCCGCACAAAATGAGGATTCAGATCGTCGGGGACCCCACGCGCTGCCGTCGAAGCCGCCAGTCGTCGAGGCCAAGACGGTTTATGAGGCAAAGCCAGAGATCCGTGACTTGCGGAAGGAAGCTGTCAACAAATTTGTACCCGCGGTGGTCCGAATGAAGCAAGATTCCATCAGAGGCACGGGTAAATTGCTAGAGCCGGAGGAAATGGACAAGCTTGAGAAGGCTGGGTATATGGCTGGGCCGGCTGGAGCTAGTCCAAGCACCACGACACAACAAGAACAAGAATCTACGGCCGAGGAGCTGCGGTTATTGGAAGAGGAAGAGAGACGGTTTAATCAAGAGATGAAGAAGCAGGCTCACGTGGAAGAAGTTGAAGACGAGGATGCTTAAGGCCTTTGATGTCCCATGTTGGATACTACGAATTCAAGACACCATATGCAAGGAGATGTCCTTGTCAAAATGTATACTATTCCAAACAGAGTTTACTATTGTACCTCCCCTGAAGACCCAGACAAAGCCACTGCCCTCATCTTGAACTTAATGATGCATACCCAGCCAGGTATATTCTAGACCGACTGTTGATGTCAGCGTATCTATCTTAGTCCTCTTGTTGATGATAAACCACGATCACATGTTACAGCATAGAAACAAGCTTATCTTCCTTAGGCCAGTGCCTCAGACCCCGCCAGTCGATCATTTTCATGTGCTTTCTATTCTCGGACTGCGGATACGATCTCGCAAATCCCACAAGGTCCACTGTATAACAGTATGAACAGAAACTCGCAGCCAATGTCTGCGAGGAAAATGAGAACCCTGCCACAGATATGACTGAAAGAAATAGATAAAGCTATGCTGGATACATGGCTATGAGGTCAGTATGGGGCTACCTCCAGAAAGCAACCTACCTGAAATCCCGGACCCCCAGCCAAACAAAGCAATCAAACTCAAACCTGAAATTGTCTTCGAAGACACTGATAACATCTACAACCCGGTACACCCGCATCAAGCATCCGCCAAAGATCCTCCAACGTCCCTACCTCCATCCCACCAACCCAAACAGAATCACACCATAAATTAGCATTAATAACAATAGCCGTCAACCCCATATGAGCCGCATCCCGATCTGGATGACTATTTACCACACACCGCCAAATTTGAACAGCGGTCATCTCAACAGCAGGGTAGAAAATGGCGGGTCCCTTCTGGCTACGCTCACCCTGTGGATAATCCCGGAGGAGGAGAGCTTGCTCGCGAAGGTGGACCTGGATTTGGGTTAAGCGGTGGATGCAGCAGGTGTGCGTTCCTTGATCGGGTGGGTAGAGTTCTGTATCAGCTTTTTGCTTGAGCATGTTGAGGTCAGTGATGATCTCGAGGAAATACTCGGCTACGGTGGTGAGGGGGAGGTGTTGGTTTCGGAGGCGGTGGTGTGCAGTGGTTAAACGGCTGACTAGCTCGTTACGTGTTTCTCGAAATGATTGAAAGAACATGGTGGTAGATGTAGAATTCGAGGAGGCTTGCACTTGGCTGAGGAGGTATTGTGGTTGACTGGTGTATGTACTGGGGGAGGCCAAGTCATTAAAATATCCCGAGATGACATGCTGAATATGGCGAAGACTGGGGACTTGAAAGATATGACTGTAAAATAAGTATATCCTATTCTCCGTATCGTCAAGAAACGAATAAAGCTTTGAATATGTCGTGACATTCATCAAAGTCAAATGCCCAGTTGTTTCGCTCAATGTATAAGAAAACATTCAGAAATGACTGATTCCCTTGATTATTGTTGTGTTGAAAGGAGACACGAGGAGGGAGACCTCCGACAACTCCATTTTCAGAACCCTTTCAAGTTGGCTAACAAAGAGGACCACCCTCGTATGTAGGGCTCGATGTTATTCATTTCTGGCCTCACGAGGTGGCTTTGTGTTTTCTATTATAACCAACAACAAAGAAGAATTACACATGTGGCCTGCAGGCTCGAGGTTGCTCTAGGTAAGCGAGAGCTGAAGATTTGAACCTGTTCAAGAATAGAAATCAAGGTTTCTGAAATGAGATCACTTGGTTCGTTATGAAAGTATATGTGAAAGTAGAGGGGCTTTGCTGTGCGTAGGCGGCCTTTGTCGTTGACTGCATTGTGATTCGCTGAAAGTCGAAGATAATTGGGAACTTGACGTTTTCTGTAAAGGTTGGGGAAGAGCAGGAAGACATATGGAATTGTGTGCAGGCCACGCTCTGAAAGTGTCGGTGATCTTGTCTCCTGGTGATGGTAGGTCTGTAGGACGATGTTGTGGCCGACCCGGGGGAGTCAACTTGTCAAAAAAGAACATCTGCTATTCATAGAGTCGGATGAAAGACGAGACTTGACGGTAGGTGTTGTTATAGAGGTAGTCGATGAGAGTGAGGCTTCGAACAAAGGTATGGAAGAAGGTATCGGGCAAAGTTCAGAACGAGACCTTGATTGTGTGGCTTCTGCCTGCTCGCGAGCGAAAACGGAGAAATTCTGTAAATCGTTGACCAATGATTTTGGAAATAAGCATTTCCCAGGACAGACACTCTGCATCGTCGGGTCGGAAGTCGGAATTTGGAGGTCGTCGGTCAAATTTGGGGAATGATAACTGATTAAATGCAGGCGCCGTCCAGTCGTGGCAGTGATGCTGAAGGACTGCTTTATCAAGCCGTTGACCTTGAAGCGAAGACCGTGATCTTCATCTTGGGAGCTGTTAGGTTGATGTGTTTCCTTTTCCATCTCCCGGTAGGCTAAAAATCTGCCGTTGACTCGGCTCGAGCTCCATGATCTGCCATCCGTCCATCGTCGCATGCCCCCTTCATCTTCGTCCCATACGAACACTGATCCCGATCGGATAGACAGTCGCTCTTTCCCGGAGAGGCGCCTTTGAAGGCGTGGCAAAATTCCGTCTTCGCAAGCTTGAAAGATGAGAATGGCGTCTGCGCATGTGCGAACGTACCCATAGTACGTCTCCATCGAATCTGGAATAGAATCGACTGGAACCACCAATAATAGATCGGTCTCCCTGCCCTGAAATGATTAGGTGTGATTCTGAGCGAAGATCTCAGAAATGCGGTGCAGTTCTTTTGACGAGTGTGATCTATTGCGTGACCCAGAAGCCGCGACCTTGAGTCTAGATCAACCAGAGAGAAATGATCGGTAAGCGTTTGTTTGCATCCAGGGTTCACGATATGAAAAAAAGTACCACCAAGTAAGGGCTACAAGGATATCTAAAACGAGAGCCGCAGCAAAATGAGGATATAGAATCTCATTAAAAGCACCACAAGAATGTTCAAGGCAAGTCGTCTTGTGTATTGGAACCCAGCAAGGCCATTTTGGATGTCGGCACTAATTTCCGCCTTTAGCTGGTCTCTCTCGACAGTAAAGCCGAGAAAATATATACGCGTTGCATTTGTGGGATGGCAATGAATCTATGGATTATCCTGCTAGTCCCAATGCCAATCTCGGCATGTAGTGCGAACTGTTGTATTAGGCTCTCCAGTGGGGATCATAAGAGAAATCTACATTATTGGAGAGACATACGGTGACTGAGTGGATGGGAGGGAAATGTTTTTTCTTCTCCATGCCGGTGATTTAAGGCTCTGGTCTCCTACTGTTGCATCGTGCCCAGGAACCCGACTGTTTGTTCTGTATGGTATTTTACTTCTGAAGATACTAGAGGTAATGTATTTTGTATCAAGAGTAATTTTTGTAAGACGGATGGTGCCGCCACATCTTTCGTCCAAGTTCCACCCAAATCCTAAAAAAATCTGATGTCTTCGCAAGTCTCGGCTCAGCCAGACCTCAATGTCCGCGTCGGAACAAGAATCGCTTGCGTCTGGTCTCAGACATCGACGGAGCTGCATGTGGCTCGTATTAGATCCACCTTCCTCAACGTGCCCACCATCTTGGGGCTATTAAGCGAAGGCTGTGGGGGAAAACAAATCTCCGACCATCGTCGTATTTTTTTTTTGCCGAGAACTTGCTGCGTCTTCACCGGTTCTGTGCAGATGCTTATTGGATTATGCTCTCTCCATTTGTTTCTTGGCGCCAATCTGATTATATCTGACCTGTGGTTTAAAGCATCTGATTAGATTAGCCCCGCCAGGGACGTTTCGCGTTCAGGTTGCGGGACACGTACACACCACTGTACTTGTATGACTTCTTTACATACAAGCACTAGTGTTTTTTCATCCTCCGAGGTAATCCGAGCTTGTTTTGGGTTGTCTCCGAAGAACGTTATTCCCACCTATGACGCTTTCTGTTGCGAACTCTACAGCTGCGAGACCTGTGCAGTTTGACGGAGATTTTGATCCTATGATTATTGATAACTTGGCAATAAGGAAATCCCCATCGCTGGAAGATTTGATTACATCGGTAAAATTCTAGCTGTCCACTAATTGTGGTAATAACGACACCTATAGCTTCGAGTTTACCCACTTTGGCGGGCGCTTCTCCACGAATGCCTGTATACCTTCGCCAAAGTTATGGCCTGCCATCAGTTGAGGGTACCACTCATTCTCCAGAGTTGTCACTGCCTCCTCAACATTTCCCGATTTCCAGCTCAATCGAATTCCCTGACGACCAACAATCAACGCATCAGGACTATTGGCACACATTTCTTGCGCAAGTGCGAGCGCAGCCTGCACAACGTCATCTCCCGTTTCCACGAGTCGAGAAACCAGACCCCATTCGTAGAGAGTCTTTGCGTTGATATTTCTTCCCGTAAGCGCAAGATCCATAGTACGTTGTAACCCCAGTGTTCGAGTCAATCGAGGTAGACATCCCGCGACCGCGACGATACCTCGCTTCACTTCCGCTAGAGCAAAGATGGCGGATGAGGAAGCGACGACAAGATCGCAGTTTGCTACCATCTCGAAACCGCCCCCCATGCATATGCCATTCACGGCTGCGATAATTGGCTTCTTGCCACTTCTTCGAGGCAGTCCAGCGAGACCTGGTGCAGTCATTTTGTTGATAACCCCGGACTTGTTCATCGCATTCCATTCTATACTGACGCAGATTAGCCACTGTGATGGATAAAACTCGGATTGCTATAGATGGAACCTCACCTTGAAGGTCAGCGCCGGTGCAAAAGGCCCTCCCAGAGCCCGTTATGATGCCGACCCATAAGCTCTCATCTTGATCAAACTGCTCCCAAATTTTCTGAATTTCCCGGCTAGTGACTTGAGTGATGGAGTTCAATTTCTCAGGTCTGTTCAATGTGACCTGCACCACACGCTCATGGGGAAACGTCACATTAAAGTGCTGATACTGTCCTGGATTTGAACGCAAAGACATGGTTTTTTTTTTTTAGCAAGCCGTAGGCTAAGTACCAATGTGAAATGGAACAGCAAGGTATGGTCACTTTGCTCAAGATTAATATGTGCTCAGCCGGTTACAACTTTCCGAGTGCCTACAGTATACCCTTGGCGTTCCTTAACGTACGTACCTGGCGCGGGACTTTTAAGGCGTACTGAACATTGATTCTTCCATTACAGGGCAGTAAAATACGTGTGATGATTTGTAACATACTGATCCACCCCGATTGTCTCCACAAAGTTCGCTTACGGAAGGAAGCCCTCCTAATCTGATCTCCGCACAGGATATTTCAAGACATTGTTGATCGTAAGAGAAAGAATATTAGGAATGGCTCTGGTAAGCAAGGCCACTGATCTGGCGACCTCGGACCGCATACCATGGTTCCCATCAATTACCACCAGGTTTCGAACGGATATTCCGAGATGATACAACTGATTGATAATTCTTATCTTACGGATCTAGACTAATACAAGTACCGCCACGGAAATTCCCGTCTGAGCTCGTACGCCTCGGCTTTCAAAGGTTGCATGGCCTGTTTAATGTCGACCGGATTCTCTTGGATCTCGCCTTTTAATTTGGCCAACTTTCTATTTTGCTACTTGGATTCGCATCCTTTCGTCCCAAGTCTGCCAGCAAGATTCCATCAGGATGGCACCCAGCACAGCCAATTCGCCCAAATACCCCCCAGTGAAGCTGCCACATCCTTTCCTTACTACATATCGAGTGCAACCAATTACTGGGACGACACCGACAAAGCGCAAGTTGGTTTTGGAGAATCAGCCCAGCGATGGATGCCCTCTGATAGAGGCGTTGCATCTCGACTCATTATCATGGATCGACTTAACATTGCCTCCTAAGGATCAATCTCCCCCCGAGTCAGATAACAGCGCTTGGGCACGGGCTTGTCGGAGTCCATTCACCACTTTCGAATGGACGTCGGATTGCCCTACACTGGGTCAGATCTGGAATGTGATTCATGCGATCTATCTTGCCACTCCCACAAACGAATACTTCAGACTGACTCTGGACGGTCGGGATAGTGATATCCTTCGCAAAGAACTTCTTACAACCGGCCTGGCGATCGAACACCCAAGACCATGGCACCGACCCCAGGATAAGGCGACTTGGCAATCTGATGACTTGTTGATACTCCGAAGCGCTTTTTGGCAAGGCGCAGCTTCTCCAACCGGCCCTCGTCCGATCTGGGCAGTTGGAGACGGAACAGATGGCTCTCTTCGCAAGCCTTTGGACATGTTCCCGATCATGCCTGAGAGCTATCAAATCACTATGAAGTTCCCAGAGGAGGCTGTGTATACCCGCCATCCCACACGGCGTCCAAAGCCACACCCAGGATCAATTGTCTACAGCCGATACATCCCTGAGGTTGATCAGCACTTTTCCCTTGAGGTGGTTGATTGGGAGAATCTTGAGCATTTGAAGCTCTTCAACACCTGGCAAAACGATCCGCGCGTTGCGAAGGGTTGGAACGAGACTGGAACTCTGGATGAACACCGAAATTATCTGCGCAAACTCCACTTCGACCCTCATGTCCTTTGCTTGTTCGGACGCTTCGACAACACCCGCTTCTCATATTATGAGCTGTATTGGGCCAAGGTAAGACCCTGTTGAACTTTCGAGAATTGACTCGTCCCAGTCCTTGACACGTATATTTCATCTACAGGAGGATCATTACGGTGCCCATTACGATGCCGGAGATTACGACCGTGGACGCCACTCGCTTGTCGGCGATGCCTCCTTCCGTGGTGCCCATCGTGTAAACGCCTGGTATTCAAGCTGCATCCATTACTGCTTCTTGGATGACCCACGAACCGTCAATGTTGTCGGCGAGCCAAAGGCTACTGGCGACACCATCTTGTCCTATGAGAATGCCCAGGGTCTTACGATCGGCAAGTACGTCGACCTCGGTCACAAACGCTCAGTTCACAGTATTGCCAGTCGAGAGAAGTGGTTCCAGTTGTGCCCTCTGTTCTGGGATGGGCGTGAAAGGCCGCTTGAATCTGCTGACCGTGCCGCTTGGAATGCAAAGCTCTGAGATTTGGAAGTGTACGATATCACTAGCTAGTTTTGTTAAATCGATTTCAGAGCTAGATTCTTGTTGTAAATTTTTCCTTGAGTAAATAAACTGTAAGTTGAGTTGAATGAATTTATCGGGGCGAAGTGCGAAATCGCCCAAAGAGAGCTAGTTCTCTTCGTCTGCGTTGCCGATGACACATGACCTAAAAGGCTGACGTGAATTCAGATCTCCTAAACTCTCCTAGAAAGTGGGCTGTCAGAAATCAGTAGGGTGCCAGGGCCAGGATCTTTGTCAAGAGATACCGTGACGTGTATTCTTCACTGGCCTCGGTTAAGCCATTGAAAGTTCCGTTCAGCTTGCTTGTACTCCGTTCTCCGTAATTTCCCATCACTACCAAGAAATTACCATGTGGAGCGCATGTCCATATGCCGTCTTCTTCTCGACAAGACTAGCCACTGGAATCGCAGAATTGTTGAGGGATGCCAGCCGGGCCGAGTTAGCCTTGCAGGGTGAATGATCAAAAATCCCCGGGGGAGGTTCTTCAGCAGTTCTAGAGACAATTTGTTTGCTCGTTCGCGGCGAATATGCTGGGTTGAGAAGTGATCAGACAACTCTTTTGGGAGATAATGATTTCCAATGAGCGTCGACTAAGTTGCCCCTTTCGCTCTAGTGTTTGAAGTGGCTCTATCCTGAGCATCCTTGTATACTACTATACGATACGATACTGAGAGTGGATCGGTAATATAACAATACGTTTGTTACAGTAGTAACAATCACCACGTTTTGCATGCCCCATACACCCCGTGAGACTAAAATTCTCCATCAATTGAGTCTTTTTTCTTCAGGGGACCAGTGGGTTCAGTTATCTGATCCGGAAGCCAAAGCTACCGGTCCATACCGATGTCGGCAAATCTCCTAAACTCTTTTGGGTTAACTGCAGAGCTCCCTCCCTCTGAAGATTTGCAAACTTGACATGCTCGTCAAGCCAGAGTCGACAACGAAGCCCTCATAGTTGTCAACAAACCTCTTGTCGCGCAAATTTGGAATAAAGGCGCGCTCTAGCAGGTTGTGGACGCATCTCGGGGTCCCCAATCTGCATCTTTACAAGTAAACCACCACCGAGAGCTAGCTCACTGAGGGGTAAGTTCAACAGGGAACTGAAATTTCTTACGACTCATATACCTAACCACGCACCGATTATTGCAGAAAAGAGAGTCTCATTCTCGAATCAGAATGAAGTTCCTCCAGAAGCTGGCGGGTTACCCCCGTCTACTTTTGGCAGCGAACCCATCGCAGCTCGATATTGGCATGCTCCTCACCGGCCTGGCTAGTGCGATAGCATCTGGTGTCCCGTTCCCGATCATTGGAATCATCTTTGGTCAACTGCTTGATGACTTCAACTCCGTCAGCTGCGAGGAAAGTAGTGGTACAAGCACTTCAGAGTCCAATGCGAGCTACCAAAGCGAAATCAACAGCAAGATCTTGTTGATTTTGTATCTGGCCATCGCCCAATTTGCCTTGATTTATGCCCACCTCACATGCTGGACCATGTACGGTGCTCGTCTATCTCAGAGATTACGTGAAACCTATCTGCAAAACCTGCTTCGACAAGAACCTTCGCATTTTGACGACTTACCACCTGGCGAAGTTGCTTCTCGACTCAGCAGTGACATTCAGACTATTCGTTCAGGTACATCGGAGAAGGTTGGCATTGTAATTGGTGCCATATCTTTCTTCGTGACGGCTTATATTGTCGCATTCATCAAATATTGGGAACTCGCAGCAATTCTCCTCTCATTGATTCCCGCCTATCTCCTGATGTCATTCGTTGGAAGTCACTATATCGAGAAGTATACCGGGTTAATGTCTGATTATGCTGCCTCCGCCGCAACAATTGCCTCCGAGGCGCTTTCCAACATTGTCGTGGTGCAGGCTTTCGGCGCAAATGCCCGACTAGAGGAAAAGTTCTCCCGAGCTCTGAAGCTAGCAGAACACGAAGGCTTGAAGAAGGCAGCCGCTGTCGGCACTCAGTCCGGAGTCTTGTATTTCATCGCTTACAGTGCCAATGGTCTGGCCTTTTGGCAAGGTGCTCAGCGCATTGCTGATGCAGTGAGTGACGATTCCGCAGGACTCACTGTTGGCGCTACTTTTACAGTGATTTTCATTCTGATTGAAGGTAAGCTGGGGGATCTTATTTTTGACGAGTCTAATTTCTGACATATCAATTAGCCACTTTGTTGTTGAGCCAGGTCGCGCCATTCCTCCATCTCTTCGTTCAAGCCGTTGCCTCTTATGCGAAACTGCATGAAGACATTCATCGTCAGCCCTTGATCGACGGCACTACCACCTCAGGGCTTCGCATCTCGGATGCAGAGGGTGGATTTGAGTTCAAGGATGTTTCTTTCATTTATCCATCCCGACCTGAAATCAAAGTGCTGGATAATATCACAATCTCTCTACCTGCCAAAAAGCACACTGCCCTTGTTGGTCTTTCTGGAAGCGGCAAGTCAACTATTGCGGGCCTCGTCACTCGGCTCTATGATCCAACGGAAGGACAAATACTTTTCGATGGCAACGAAATACGCGATGTCAACCTCCGCGATTTGCGAGGCTTTTGCAGTCTGGTTCAGCAGGAACCTTCTCTTCTAGACCGTTCTTTGCTTGAGAATATCGCACACGGCCTGATCAATTCCAGCAACCCGAGTCATGAAATTTTGAAGGAGACACTTCTTAGCTCTGCCATTGCTGACCTAGCATCGGAGGTCAGAGATGGCAAGGATCTCGTGGCAGCAGCAGAGGCACGGGGCCCGGAAATTGTTGAAATTGTCAATCTCGTCCAAAACGCGGCGGTCCTAGCAGATGCAGATGGATTCATCTCGAAGTTGCAGTACGGGTATGGCACATCTGTCGGTTCAAGTGGACGTCTCATCAGTGGTGGCCAGAAGCAACGCGTGTCACTTGCTCGAGCTTTGGTCAAGGACCCCGCAGTCCTCATTCTGGATGAAGCGACAGCATCTCTTGATTCAAGAAGCGAGCAACGTATTCAAAAAGCAATCAATAACATCTCTACCGGTCGGACTGTGATTACAATTGCCCATCGCCTTTCAACAATTACCAACGCCGACAACATCATCGTTATGCACAAGGGTAACCTTGTGGAACAGGGCAATCATGCAACCTTGATGGCCAAGAATGGAACCTACGCCGAACTCGTTAACCTCCAAACTCTCGGATCTGCGTCTTCGAACGATAGATCTTCACATAAAGACACTGCTAGCAAGTCTGATCAAGTCTCCTTGACCGACACGGAGAATGAGAAGATCAGTTTGTCGCAGGATCACCTTAAAAAGCAAGAGGAAAACCAGGTGTCGGCAACTGAAACCCCAGCAGCTGATTCAAGTGACGAGGAAGAAGAGCCGGAAACTCCTCGTAAATCTCTGTGGGCATTGGTGAAGGGCTACGGCCCAGCTGTGAGACCCCATCTCTTGATGATCTTTGTGGCTTTGCTCGGCGCAAGCATCGTTGGTGGAGCTTTCTCTGGAGAGGCAGTCATCTTTGGCAATACAGTCGGAAGTTTGAATCCTTGCAAGGGAGCCGATAGCATTCGATCTCGCGGTGACTTCTACGGCCTGATGTTCTTTGTTTTGGCTATTATCGAGTTTTTCGCGAACTTTGCCAGTTGGACTGGATTTGGCTGGGTCTCTGAAAAGGTCGTGTACTCGGTCAGAGTCCTGTCGTTCCGGTCGTTGTTTGAGCAAGACCTTCAGTGGCACCAGTCTAATGGCCGTACTCCCGCAATGCTTCTTTCCTATATCACTCGAGACGGTAATGCCCTGGCCGGTCTGAGCGGCTCTGTGATCGGCTCGCTATTTTCCATTACCGTCAACCTTATTGCTGCGATTATCCTCACTCACATCATTGCCTGGAAGATCGCCCTTGTTTGTCTGTCTTTGGTGCCACTTCTCCTTGGAGCTGGCTTAATGGAGCTTCATGTGCTTGGGAAATTCGAAGAGCGCCATGAAAATGCATACACGAAGTCTGTCGACATCGGCACAGAGGCAGTTACATCTATCAAAACAATCGCTTCACTTTCTCTGGAGGAGGAGACTTTGAAGACCTATCGGCGGTCTCTAAAGGGACCTCGGCAGGAGACTTTCAAGGTCACAGTGCTTGCAAGTCTCTGGCAGGCTATTACCTATTTCCTTGGTAATTGCGTCAATGCCCTCGCATATTGGTGGGGTGCCAAGCAGATCATTGCAGGAACTTACACACAGACCCAGTTCTTGATTGTAGTGTTCTCACTCCTTGTGAGTGCGCTTCTCTGGAGTCAAATGTTTGCTCTCGCGCCTGAGCTTTCGAATGCACGCGCTGCAATGGCAAGAATCCTGTGTCTGATTGAAATTGGATCGGACGGAATGCAAGGACACATCCGTGGTCCTGCTCTTACCGAGCCCACAGAGACCGACCCCGAAGCTAAAGGAGATCCCAAACTTACCATCTCTAGTGGTGCTTCAAGTGTCCAATTCCACGATGTTCATTTCGCCTACCCAGCTCGACCTGATATCAAGGTTTTGAATGGGTTAAGCCTGGATATTCGACCGGGCAAATTCTGTGCCCTTGTTGGGCCTAGTGGTGCAGGTAAATCTACCATCATTTCTCTCGTCGAAAGACTATATAAGCCAGAATCAGGCGGTATTATCATCGATGGAGTTGATGTGACCAAGCACCAAGATGTGGCATTCCGCGAGTCAATTGCTCTGGTCCCACAAGAAAGTGTTCTCTTTGAGGGGAGTATCAAGTTCAATATCAGCCTCGGTTCTAGACCTGACCACGAAGCAACCATGGAAGAAATTGAAGAGGCATGCAAACTCGCCAATATCCATGAGGTCATCATGGGATTACCTGATGGTTACGAAACCCTTTGCGGACCTAATGGCAATCAGTTCTCTGGAGGACAGAAACAGCGACTTTCGATTGCCCGGGCGCTCGTTCGGAAGCCGAAGCTTCTAATTCTCGATGAGTCAACCAGTGCCCTGGATGCTGAATCAGAGAAGCTCCTGCAAGACGGGCTTGAAAAGGCTGCGAGGGGGATCACGGTCATCGCAATTGCTCATCGTCTGCACACTATCCGCAAGGCAGACACCATCTTCTTGATTGAGGCTGGGCAGTGCATTGATCATGGGTCGCATGAGGAGTTGCTTGAACGGTCGGAGAGTTACCGAGAAAATGTCATGCACCAAACAGTGGCTACTTGATGAGAACATTTGAGATAGATTTTCAGCCCAGTATATCCTATTTAGTTTCTAATACAGTTTCCTGCGCCATTGATTACATGCGGATATTCTCCTGTGTCGAGTAAGGTCGTAGCAATGCTATGGGCAATTCTCCCTGTGGTGTAGATTTGAGATTTTAACGAAGTTGAGAAGATTGAGATTAAAAAGGAAAGGCAAATTCAATAATGTAGAAATATCAAAGAAGAAGCGAAGCTAGTAATATAAACAACGAAGCAAACACCCCGCTTCCAAGTCAAACTAAAACATCTTCTCATCAAGCAAGACGTCTGTAGAGCATTTCGAGAGCCAAGCCACCGTAGCAGCCAGATCATCGAGGATTTCGATAACCAAGGCCGAGTCCCTCTCTGCTCCAACGGCCCCGACGTGCACTTGGCCGCCTCGTACAAACGAGACAACCTTGAACGGATATGGTGCATCGCCATGAGGGTTTGAAATCTCAACCCTACATGATCCTCCGGCGAAGGGCATAGTGTCAATGTCATCAAAGTCTTGATGGTGGACGATGGAATCAAACGATCGTGCATCTGATGACCACGAAGTACACTGCTGAGAAATTTTATTGAACCCGAGGAAATCGTGAGCCGCAGACTCGGCACTCTGCTTCTGGACTGATTGCAAAAGGTCCAGAGCTGTCCACTCATGCTGGAACAGAACTCGTATTGGAGTGAGCTGATAGCATGGTCCGACGACATTTTCCACGTTGTCGAGGTCGATCATACGGCCGGAGGTAACACCTCCGAATGTCACATCAGGCTTGCCGAGCCGACGAGCCAGAAGCAGAGCCCATGCTGCGGTCAGTAGGTTTGCAGTTGTAATGTCCTCCAGAGGTTGGCATGAATCAACAGGCTTGGACTTGAACACGCCCTTGTCTCCTGGCTCATAAGACGTTCCGTCCAACACAGACAAAGATGAGCCATTGAGCAAAGTACTCCAATAGCCAAGGGACCTGGTCTGGAAGCGAATGTCCTGAATACGTGCCACATATGAAGAAAAAGGATCAAAATTACCAACGGTCTTTCCGATATACAGTGTCTCCAAATCTTGAAGCAGCCGGGGGAGCGACATGCCGTCATAAAGAGAGTGGGAAAGCCCAAGAATGAGACATTCCTTTCTGTTATCGTCTGCAGCGTGGATGAACTTGAAGAGCGGAGATCCCAGTTGGAAGTCGGAATTAATGTCCTCCGCACAGAGGCCATTGACAAATGAATCAAGATCACGATCTGCCAGGTGCGTGGTCAAAGGAGGCTCCAAATTATTCAGGACAACCTGGAAGAAACTGTCGTTTTCTTCAATGAACACAGTGCGTAGAATATCGTGGGTCTTGACCAGGTCTCTACAAGCTTGGAACAACCGTTGGCGATCGATGGCATCGTCGAAATACAAAATGTTATACTGAATGGACGTCCGAGGCACCTGGATTGTTCCTCGGATGTCAAGTGCTTGTGTGTCCGTAACAGGATAGACATCTTGGACCGACCAAGTTGAGTGACCAAGCTTTGGTTGAACCACTTCAGACAGGAAACGGTGAATATCAATCGATCCCAGGACAGAGAATGGCTTGTAAGGCTGGATTTTGGCCTGTGGTGATTGTCCAACTTTCAACCTCTTTGCAGCATCACCCAGGCGCATATGCTGGAAGATATCTGCAACTGTCAATGAATGACCCTGCGCGCGAAGACTGGAAACAAGCTTCATTGCCAGAACAGAGTCACCCCCAAGGCGGAAGAAATTGTCGTCCACGTCGATTTGGTTCGCCTGCATTCCAAGAATCTTCGCCCAAGATGACCGCAGAATGTTCTCAGGCCCGGTCAGGCTTGCTTGGGCAAGACTCTTCTTCCACGCCTCTTGTAGTCCCTTGTGTACTTGGTCGAGGACTTGGAAAGGGATTTTCGAGGCGAGCTGGTTCAACAGGTTATGGTTAGTCGGCAACTTGTCAACAACAACATACACGGAGGGCACCATGTGAGTTGGGAGTGAATCTCGGAAGAATTTGTCGAGACCCTTCAGTGCTACAACGAGGTTAACTGGTGCTGAGGCACAAACTGAGGTCCTCAGACTTTGAGGGTCCGACGAGTCCCAAACAACATGGTGGCTCTCCGGCATGAGCTCAACATTGTCGCTCTCGCAAGGCTGACTCTCGACAAACACAGCCAGCTGTAGATCCGATGTCTGATTTGACTCATCTTGTAATAACCGAAACACCGCTGTGGCCGCACGAGCCGAGGATGGAATATATGTCGAGAAATGTGTTTCAAGATCTGCGATATCTACTGCATGCCCTTGCACAGGGACAATGTTGTCTTTGCGGCCGATAAATACCAGGGTGCCATCTTCTTGTTGCTGAACAATATCGCCGGTTGGCCGGACATTCCCTGATCGGCCGGAAATTTCCGAGCTTCCAGCGACGAGCCAGGATGGTGAGTGCACAGTCTCGCCTGAAAGGCAGGCTCCTTCCAGCCAAAGCTCACCAGGACAACCAATAGGCGACAACAGCGAAGGATTCCGTGGATCGCATACCCAGTGAACAACGGATGGAGGGTACACCGACCCTTGCTTGATATCTTCATTGGCCCGGAGCTTCCCAGAGGACTGGTCTAAGGATAAGGGAGGTGTCTGATTCCGTCGCCAAATCTGTGCCAACTCTTCTTCAGAGAGACAAGAGATCTGATCAATCTTCCGGGAAAGATCATTTGCCAACTCGGAGCAAGCCACTTCAAGCTGAGCCAGAACTCGATTCATCTGTGACGCGCCGACTAATCCGCTGTCGAAGCTTGCGCATACCCTGAAACCTCCTTTTCTGATTCCACAAGCCAGCATAAGGGGATAAGGGTTGAAGTGAAGGGCTTCGCGAACAACATCTCCATACACAAATCCAAGGTCACTGCCTTCGTACTCCGGTTCTGGCTGAACTACCAGACCGGTGCCAGCTTCACATGCATGCTGAGCATCGCGGCTAACCTTGCGGATATTCTGCATTCCCATGTGCTGATAAGGGGTGCGTGCAAGAATGCTCTGCTGCACGGCCTGCAGATACGACTCGACAGTGCCATTTCGGTTGACATGAATGCGAATAGGTACGGTCGCAATGAGCGGGCCAACGATGCCTTCGACACCTGGAAGCGAAATGTCACGGCCAGTAAGGGTCTCCCCAAACACAACATCGTCACTCCGCGTATACTGAGATGCGACAAGAGCCCAAGCGGCCCGAATGAAAGTAGCCAACGTGAAAGGTGACCCGGCGCCAGCTTCGAAAGGAATGATACGTTCAACCATGCCGTTGGGAGTCGGCAAGTAGTCTCGGTATGGGAGGCGTGGGAATTGGGGTCCAACGGCACCATTCAACTCCTGTCGCCAGAAGTCATGCATGGCGACTTCATCGGTATCTCGCACAAACTTCACAAAATCCTTCATACGTGCATGCATTTCAATTTTCTGTCCCTCCAGCGCAGCGCGAACCTTTTCGAGAATGACCGGCTCTGACCATCCGTCATACAGGACGTGGTGCACAGTCCACACCATATAACGCTTACCGTCAATGACATTATCGACAATAGCATATCGGGCGAGGCTTTGTCCAAGGTGCATCTTTTCCATGCGGTCTTCCTCAAGGTACTGCTCAAGGTTGACAGAGTGCTTCCAATCGAGGCTTACTTTGAGCACAACTTGCTGAAGGCCAGGGTCTTGAAGTTGCACCAAACGGCTGCGTAGAATGGGGCTTGCCTGTACAACATCTTCCCATGCTTTCTTCCAGGCATCGAGGCCGATATGTGCTGGGATGCAGGCAACTCTTTGAGCAACGTATGCTTTGACCGATTTGAGCGAAAAGGTGAACAGAGACTCTTGCGTGGGCGTAGACGGGTAGATATCCTCAACAGTGCCTTGATCCACTCCACAGGCGTGTGACGCTTCTAGTGAGGCACTCGCGACGCCTTGAGTGATCATCGAGAATGCAGCGACCTCAGATCGTGCTTGCTCATCGCAAAGCTTGACAACTTCGGACATAGCCGAAAGGGTTGGGTTGCCGAAAGTGCTAGTCACTGAGAGATCGAGGCCCGAGTCTCTGCAGATGGAAACAAGACGCATTGCAGCCAGTGAGTCGCCACCGAGGGCAAAGAAGTTATCCTCAAGCCGAATATTCTCCGCATCCAGTTTCAATGCTACACTCCATGCTTCTCTTATGCGTTGCTCAAATCCAGTCAATTCCCGAGAGACGGCGTTCCCGGCAGCTTGGTCCAGCTCTCGCAAGTCGACGGTGCTACCGAATTGCCGAAGTCGCTTGCGGTCAGTCTTCCCAGATATCAACGTGGGAATGTAATTGACGGGAATGTAAGATGTTGGAACCATGTATCGTGGCAGAACCTTTGATATCTCTGCATTGGCACTGGAGAGAAGTTGGCTCTGCTCAGGAACGAGCTTGGCTGGCTGAATTTCCAGATGCTCTTGTCCCTTCGCTGACTGGAAAGAAACAAATGCAACCAGAGTAGATTGACCCCCGGCTCCTTGAGGCGCGATAACCTCCGCAATAACGGTTGCTTCCGAGGGCAGCCTGGCATTAAGTTGACTTTCGATCTCTCCAAGCTCTACACGTTGCCCGCGTAGCTTGACTTGGGTATCTTTGCGACCAACGAACACAATTCCTCCAGAACCATCAGGATCATATACACCAAGATCTCCCGTCTTATAAAGACGGCTCTTTCTGCCGCCATAGCCTTTGTGACCAGTCACAAGCCATGACGGGTCGTGAATGAATGCTGCAGCTGTCTTGTCAGGATCGTTCAAATAGCCCTGTCCAACAATGGGGCCTTCGACAAGAAGCTCGCCAACGGCTCCGACCGGCATCAAGACTTCATGGTCGTTGGGGTCGACAATCCACATAGCCGCGCCATTTCCATGTCCGATGGAGATATAATCTCTGCCGCTCGCTGCACTGCTATTGATAGTGCATCCGATCGTACATTCGCAGGGACCGTACCCGATGACAATCCGGGTATCTTGACCCCAGACTGTCACATCTGTAGCCGACGCAGCCTCGCCACCCAGGCCCAGGATATCGAGCGATTTGATGACATCTGAGTCCAGAATTCGGGCCATCGAAGGGGTGATACCGGCATAGTTAATTCTCATCTTCCGAATGACTTCATTGATGTCATTGAGCCGATCCTCGTCCGAGGGAATGCAAAGACAGCCACCATTCCCCAAAGTCAGCAGCATACTGTCAATGCTGACATCAAAAGCATATGATGCAAAGTCGAGAACTCTGGAAGTACGTGTATAGCCCACTGCTTTCGCTCGGGGAATAGCACTGCTGGTATAGGTTTTGTGGGATATTTTAACGCCTTTGGGTGTACCTGTGCTTCCAGAGGTGAAGATAATATACATCAAAGCAGAGGCCGGTACTGATGGAAGCTCTGGAAACACCTGGGAGTTCGAAGTTTGCGAAATTGTGTCCGCTCCCACGGCAAATCTGTGCCCATCTGCTAGAATCGAGGCTGCCAATTCCTGTTGGCTTTCAGATGAAACCATAGTCTTTGCGTTCACTTGCTTGGCCATATTCTGAAGCCGAGCCAGCGGCAGGGTGGGATCCATAAGCACGATAGTTCCGCCAGCCTTCATCACGGCAAGCACAGCGACGATCGTCCACCTTGACTTTTCAAAGCACACTGGTATAAAGTCATGAAGTACGACACCCGACTCACGAAGTGTAGATGCGAGCACTGTTGAGTAGCGATCAACCTCGCTGTACGTCAAAGCACCATCCCAGGATAGAATGGCCTCCTTGTCGGGGAACTCTCGGGCGCGCTCAGCGATCATTTCGTGCATGCAGAAGTCGTATGTTGGAGGCAATTCATGATTCCAATTCCAAATCGTATCGAGATCATGCGCTGTCGCGCGAAGACAGTCTTCGATGGATTTTTCGGGGCTGGAAATACAGATATTGATTGTATCGACTAGGGATTCAATGTGTCGTGTGATTGTATATGGCAGAATATTGTCAGAGTGCCATAGAGGACAAATATTAAGATCTCCATTCTTAGTGGAAACTTGAATTTTGAGCCCACCCTATACTCGACATTGTCAGCCCGAGACCGCTCAGATGAAACATTTGGAAGTATTTCACGCACCTCACTCTTAGCACCCTCAGAGTTCTCTAACAATGATCCAGTGCTGAGCAGAAGTGATGTATGGCTGGATCCTGCTGTTTTGAAACTTCCTTTCACATTCTCGACGTGATGATCAATCGAAGCCAGGGTGGCTTTCACCTTATCTTGTAATCTGGGGAGGACTTCATCGGTAGAAAGTTTACTCGCCACTTCACCGTTTAGCGAATCTCCTTCAACCCGATACGTCCATTCGTAGCTAATACGTCCATCTTCTCGGGTTCGCAGGAGGACTATGAGCCAGGACAACAGCACAATCTCCTCTTTCATGCATGTTGGCGTGGAAACTTGATCAGAGACAAGACCGTCGACTCTAAAAGTTCTAGCGTCGGTACCACTTGGCCGGTCCTTAGCCAAGGCATCAGCGATCAGGGTCGATTGCTCATGCTGGCCCTGTATATGGTCGATGTGTATGAAGCCCATCCTGTCAACGCGGCCTGCTTGTGCTGCCGCTGAATCCTGGCGCACTTGGATGTCGAGTTTGAATGACGGATCGCGACCGACAGAAACCGAGAATGGTCCGATCCCAGGCTATGTACCCAAATTTGTTCTCCACTGGCGAGCTTACCGCGAAGCAAGAACGTTCGCTGACTTTGTATAGATACAAAACGTAGTGGTGTGGAGACTGAGTTTGAACTAGAAATACGACGTATTTCGGAGTATTGGTACGAGCCGTCAAGGCCGAAATTGAATTTCACGGCTAGCATACGTATAAATACCTAACTCCGAGAAGGCAGCTCCACACTACCAAGTTGAATCCTCGTCCTATCCACTCGATGTCTCGGATTCACCCAAGAGAGGTGGGTTGCAGTGGTAGTCAAGTCTTGTCGGGCATATTTTCTGTCATTCAAGTACCCATTTCCACGATGATTTGAAGAATTACACTGCCATTACCGTGTGTCATGATGAATTCCCAAGAGCGCATCAATAGAAATACAGGACCAGGGAGGCCAATGCCACCATGTCGAAGTTCTACCAAATTAAGATGGCACGTGGAAACTGTCGATTATTATTGCGCAACTCAAGACGTACATTTGCTGTTCTCTTCGACTTCTAGGCCTAGGTTGGGCCGGAACAGAACTTCGGAGACATCATCTAATCAGATCGTGCGACATTGCATCCGCAAATCTAATCAGATCCGGTGACTTTTCTGTTCTCTGGTAGGGCGTATAAGGCGTAGAAAAGTCGGTGCGCCACCATTTTACTGCTGGTAGTGTTGACTATAGTACTTATGGGAGTGGAACTGTGTGAAGCGTAGGAACATGTTGATGGTGCCAAGATACGACGCTATCCAGATCCACCTTTGTAAACACTATCTGTAAATACTTCCATACTTACAGTACCGATTCCATGCGTTCCATGGAACCTACGTTACTAGCTGCTGCCCGAGCTTCCGTGTGCTGATTGATAATTTTTTTTCATCTGATAATTTACGCCATCCTTCCCCACCAAACGATGAGGGGCAGTTTTACTTGTTGGGGCCCAAAAAGTTATGACTTGGCGCCTCGGCTGAGAAGAATATTTCATCCTAACGAGCCAAACAACGTCGCTTTGAGCGGGTCATTCTTACCCGGAAGTTACCGAGTCAGGTTTTGATCGCACAATCAATCTCCCTTGGGTGAAAATACTGTTCTAACTTCTGACAGACATTCAAAAAGTGGACACCGATCTCGGAGTGACACACGATCTGATAACAAGATTGTCTCGTAAGCCGCCACGTGCCACATGTGCGTATTTTCGGCGCGGTGTCGTTGAGCATTCCATCGCGACTTTCTCCTACAATCTTGCAGGTCTCCTGTCTCTGCGATTCAACGTCAACATGTACTCCAAATTTTGGCCAAAGGGTGGCCTTCCTGGCATTCTGCATCATTACGTATGTGACTGTCTTTTCATGAGCAATTGATCACCCGGGGGCGCAATCAACAGGTTTACTGACGCACGAGCTCCGTAGACTGAGACCCTTGTCACATTTGAATACGCATCCAGTGCCTCTCGTCAACCTAACAGCCTCCTTTTTGTCGGAGGTCTTGGCGATGGTCTTGCAACTACTTCCTATGTGTGTGATCTTGTCCGCGCGCTCCAGCCAACAGAATGGTCACTTTTCACTCTCAACCTCACATCCTCTTACCAGTCATGGGGTCTCGGACACCTCGATCGAGATACGGACGAGATCGCGCAATGTTTGAATTATATCAAAGAATACAAGACATCCAAATTCGGCAGCGGCAAGATTGTCCTGATGGGTCATTCAACTGGTAGCCAGTGTGTTATGCACTACTTGTCTCGGCCCAATCCCCACACAAGTACGCCGTCGTTTGATCCGGATCTCGAGCACATTCTTCGCATGCCACTTGATGGTGCAATTATGCAAGCGCCCGTATCCGATCGAGAGGCAGTGCAATGGGTGTTGAGCGAAGGAATCGGTGGCAAAACTGGCGACGAAATTAGGCCAGTGTATGAGAAAATGGTCGCAATTGCAAAGGAGAGCGTCGCGAAGGGCGAGCCTCACGATACAATGCTCCCTCTCTGGATGACGTCTCATATCTATCCGGCGAACACCGCAATCAGCTGCCGCAGACTGTTGAGCTTGATCAGCCCCGACAGTCCTCAATCACCGGGCGAAGATGACCTTTTCAGCTCTGATCTAAGTGACGAGCAACTCAAGACAACGTTTGGAATGATCAATGAACGGGGGTTGCTCAATCACAAATTGATGGTCTTGTTTTCGGGTGCGGATCAAGCGGTTCCGGAATGGATTGACAAGGAGAAGTTGTTATCGAGATGGCAGGGAATCACGGATCACAATGGCAAATATCAGATTTGGGATCAGGAGCATAGTGCTATCATCCCTGGGGCATCTCATGCATTGAGCAACGACGATCAAGCCAAGCCACGGGAGTTCCTCGTGGATAAGGTCCTTGGTTTTTTGACATCGGCAGAGAAAGTCTAACCAGATAACTACCTAAAAAACAACGAAATAAAGGAAAAGCTTCAACCCTCATCACATTTCCAATTGGCGTGAAGAAAATGCGCACAGTATTTGCGTGTAGTGGCTTGGTGAGTAGGGCCTAGACAGCCTCATCTAGTCAATGGTACAAGATCTAGGAGGTGCATATACAAGTTATTGTAAACAGGTCATTTCTCGCTGTCTCTACTTTCCGAAAGACATTGCTGGTATAACCGCCGTAGATGCTCCTCCAATTTTTCCAAGCCTGTATTAAAAGATTTGCCATCATCCAGAAATTCCCATCGTGATCTCTTCCTTGCATCCAACAAACATTAAAACCACTCCAACCTCTCTCAAGACCTTCGTTCCAGTACGTGGCCATAGTCCCAATAGGATTCTTTCTTGTATGTGAGCCCTCTCCTTGACGCAAAACCGCAGGACTGAAATCGACAAATTTAATCAATTCTGCCTTGCTCACGTTGTTGATCAAAAACGGCACTGCGTTTGGCTGGCCGAAAAAGAGCCTGGGATTCTTACCCGCATCTATATCGCGGTAAACACTCTTTAAAAAGCATAGAGTTTGCTTTTCGGTCGATTGCTCGGCGAACTGGCGGCGATGGCTCACTGCCACAGCTCCGATTGGGCCTGTGGCAGTCTGTGCAGACAAGACAGCGTATGTTGAAAGAACCATATTCTGTAGAAATACCCCAGCCGATTTGCGAATCTCGGGAATTCGAGACCGAAGGTCCAGGAAGCTCATAATTGCCACTGGACCGGGTCTCGCCATAGTAGATGAACTACTTGACATATCCACGCGATCAGTATGTCGCTTTCGCTGACAAATGGCACATTCTCGCTGCCTTCTGCAATTTCCTTGCGAACCTCAGCTTTGAGTTTATTGAGAACGGCCTCAGGTATGAATACAGCTCGCTGTTGTAGAGGAGAATCCAGAACTTGTCCCACAGACATCGCAATTGAAAAATAAGGAGTCCCACTAGTCAGACGATTCTTTTCGAGCTTAAACTTTTCGCTAGTCTCTGCCTTTTTTGACATCGCTGCTTGCAAAAGGATATCATCTTGTGCGCCTGTCACTACAACAATATCCCTTTCGCGCCCTGTCAACACTGATGACCAGCCAGATAAGAGGGCCTCTCCGGCTGAGGCATCCATCAGCACATGAGGCCATAAAAGAGCGACAAGCGTCGCATCTTTGAAGGAGGTGACATGTAGCGAAATTTGAGGCTCATTTCTTCGTATCGACTGATCAAAAGTTGGAAAATTCGGACGAGCAATAAAAGGTTGAAAGTCTTCCGAGACGAGATGAGTGGATGGTCCATCAGTAGCATTTGGTAAACGACTGGCTAGTCGGTGGTCTTGGATTCGCATCTCGTAAGAATCGTGAGTGAAAAACACATGCCGTTCTCCAGTCGTCGATGGCTTTTGCAAGACGACTTCCAATTTTCCGTCCGCCTTGTCAAGGTTAGTGGTATCTTCTTCACATGGACCTTTATTATGACATGCTCAGCTCTGTACATACCTTGAATCTCAACCGCCCGCCGAGCTTTTTGCAATCTCCAATCTCAAGCAGCCTTGACAAGGCATCGGCCAGTTTTTCGGCGTCAAGGACGTCATTGAATCGCATCATCCATATCACATGATTGCGAAAACTCTTGATATCGTCCAGCTTGTGTAGGGGGTATACTTCCTCATGTCCATCAATGGGCTGTGGGTCGCCTTTCATTTTGTCGGTAGGCGCTTCCAGATATTGGATACATATCAATAGTCGCGGAGGATTTGGATTATCTTATATTGGATTTGCCCAATTTCAGTGCCAGGCAACTCTTGGGGGCCATTCTTTTGGTCCTGTCCCAATTTCAGACAAGGAAAAGTGGGTCAGTAAGCAGGCCCAAAAGATTAGATGGGATGGAGATCTGGAAGGGCCAAAGTCTAATGCAGAGGAGGGTCTCCTCTGAACTTGCCACAAATAGTGATTTCTAGAAACCATTCACGAGGTGAAGTCCATCATTTTGGGTATTAGACCTGGTAGACAAGATTCGGGACTCGTTCACTGTCTAATTTCTTGTTGACGTGAAAAGTGCCTAGAGAAAGACGTGCCTTAGTCGAAAAATGACGTCATGTATATGGTAGACCGTCGATCCTACATCAGAAGGAAGTGTGGTGTATCTAGATTCGCCTGTACAGTGGCGTTCCGCAACACCCGAAAAGATTCAAACCCCTCTCATCAGCTATACTTTAAAGGGCAAGTTGAACAAAGATGCCGGGAATATCTAGAAAGAGGGTTCAAAAAACATTCAGACAGATCTGTTAAAAATATAAAATCGAGGCATATTAGATGGCCTTTTTTCTTGGTCCCTGGTTTCAGAATTTTGAACTGCCACTGTATGTGAGGGTGTGCTAAATACAATAAAGGATCCGAAAGTGGTGCATTGAATAGAACGCCGTAAGAGTGTGCTGCCACCATTCTTGTTCAATATGTTGCCTTTGACTCCTGAACCTATTGAAACCTCCAAGCCAAGCCGAAATGAGAAAGAAACTGAGAAGAAACAAAGAGCCATCAACGCTCATTATGTACATTAGAAATGACGGTCGAAAGAAATTCCTCCCTCAAAGACTGTTGCGCGTTCACTTCACATGCTGCGCTCGAGCAAGCTCGACATCGCAACCACTCCCAGTGATACCTGGTAATCGGGAGGTAGTACTTTGACTTCTCACAAACCTGGGCCACGTATTTGTGAGAACGAGGTATTTGACTGCCCTCACTGCTTCATCGAATACATTTGCACCAAGTCCACAGTTGGTAAATTCCTCGGGAACGTCACCCCAATACCATACGCGGTCTCGGAGCACAGATGACGTTATCCGAATCTCTTTCTCAGAACCGTCCGAAGACATGGCTGAGGGTAGCCTGGAGAAACTTGGGATGTCAAAAGGAGCAATCTGGTTTATCTCCGGCTCATCACCGTAGATGGTACGAGCGGGTTCTTCAAAGATATTCTCGAGTTTTGCGAGCTCTTGGAAACAGAGATTGATAGGGAATTCGGCATGAGGGCTGACAAACTCGACGTAAATGGATAGAGCGCTAGTGAAACGCTCCTGTAGCATCTCTTTGAGATCCTCTTCATCTTCGACATCAGAGGGATCCTGTATGGAGCTTTTCCACTGGGCGACACTTGTAAGAAAGGCAATGTTTTCTCCGGAGAAATCATGTAGCGCTGAGAAATTCTGTAGAGAAGCCGGATCCCGATCGAGGACATATTCAAGAGCAGGCATAGTCATCACGCTCTCATCGGAGTGATCTGTCTTCACTGAGCCTGACATCATAGACTCGACAGTCGCAGTAGCCGATTTCAATGACTTGATATCAGGGTTCGACTTCGGTTTCGACTCCCATTCTGCAATCAAATCGAGAGTCTCCTGGCGAAGAGACTGGTGTCGGTAAACCTCCCAGCAAGGTAGTAATACTGTAAATATCTCGATAGAAACGATTGATAGGCATATCCTAGATACGAGTTAGATGACCGGTTTTTGAAATAGGTTTCTAGTTTATCCGTACCACTGAGGAGGCACCCAGTACTTGTTGACTGCCTCCATAGCAGGTACATAGAGAGCTATCAGCCAAAGCGGAGTGGCGTGGAGACTATCCGAATAATCAGCATGGAGTTTTTCAATCAACTCATGTGCCAAGCTTACCTCGCAACAGCACAGCCAATTGTTTGAACTCGCCAGCCATGCGTATCATGAATATCGCGAGACTTCCAGAGAACAACCGGGGCAACAATCCAAGACCAGAAGAACTGCCAAAATACCCCGGGCCACCTGTTTAATGTCAGCCAATTTTTGGGTTCCGGTAATTTGGAGTATCATTTGGCTTTACCACTCCCAGCCACGACCCATCTCTGTTTTCTGCTCCATTGCAGTCCCGTGAATCTCAGTGCCAGGAATGCCCCAGGAACTGTGCCATTTCCGGGAAATGATATACATCAACGTAGTAAGGAAGATCTAGTCCATGGTGAGAATAGCGACTTTCGACATGAGTCTAGGTATATAAAGGATTTAGAAGCGCAATGGGAGCCGACGTACCTGGAGGAGCATTGCAAAGCCCACGGTGATGAGACTCTTGGTGGTATAGTCAAGACGTCGGAAGCGATCGGCCAGCCCCTTGCTGCCTTTAGGTTCGAATACGGTGTTCCCATAAGGTAATCCGACAAGACGGCTGTTGGGACGAGTGTATCTCTTCTGAAGGTTGGCAACATGGATGAAGCGGCTATTAGACGCATGGAACAAGGCAATGCCACACGGTAATAGGGTCCCCATGATCCAGAACTCAGCGTTTCCCGGTGCCAAAGGGCCAATCAATAGCCCTAACTGAACGGTTATCCAGTATAAATGAAGGAGAATGACGGCAGATAGCGATAGTCCGATGCCTCGAAGGCGAAGAGGTGTTGAATTTCGATGGATGACGAGAAAAACCATGCCCAGTCCAACAACAGCCGTCCAAATTCCAGTCCAGCATACCCACCAGATGCTAACAGGAGTTAGATTGAGCTCCGCCTTGGAATTGGCGTCAAGCCCGAGTTCTGATCCCATAATGGCAATCTCGCCTGGATCACCTTGATGTTGTCGGCTGGCTGCTTCGGTCGCAGTCAGAAGCAGGCTTCACCCTTGGAGCACTTGTGCATTTTGGGTAACAGTTGCTCAATAGCAACAATGGAAACTGAATCACCGGGTCTGACGTCTTCTTTCGCATCGTCATTAGAGCTGAAGAGTTGACGACGACGCCTAGGCCTTCTGCCTGAGCTGTCTTCATCCGTTGTAGAGCATGACTGATAGCTATTACTGGATAGATTTGTCGAGGTGCGTGTTGTGGACGGCATGCCACTTGAGACGCTGGAATTTCTCGAGGAGCTTGTGGCTGTGCTACTTAACGAAACGCTGTCTCGCAGACTTTGGATGGAGTTCATTAGCCGATGTCGTTTTCCAAAAGACATAATATCAAGCTCCTTGAGATCTTCTGCTTGGAGCTCGAGTAGGATCGATCCAGATATATCGTTGTAATAAAACTTTTGAACGATATCGTCTTCGAATCCGAGACTGTGGATCCAGTGGACAACCTCTCCTGGTGACCAGTCCAAGACGGCAGTTTTATGTGCCGAGGCCCGCTCAGCATTGACATTGTACTGTTGTTGCGTGTGTTCGACTGCCTGGTTGGGTACCGGGGTGTCTCGTCGGATTGGATCTAGCTTGGAGGCTCTGTTGTGAAAAGTTCCAGTGGCACTAATTGGCGTTTCTTGGAAAAACAGATTAACCTCCATTGCCGACTTGTGATCCGAGGCCATGGATGTCCTGAAGAGGTGAGGACCAGAGGGTCCTCTGACATGTTTGTCGTCAATGTGAAAGTCGAATGCAGTGAGACCCGTTGACTCTGGGGTTATAACGTGGTCTGAAGTTGAAGCGGTGGAGAGACTTCCGGCCCCGAACTAACCAGCGAGAAACTATCAATATTCGAACAGACAAGAGAATTTGGGAATTTGGGTGGTAACTCACGGAAGCAACGCTTTGCATCGGGGACTCATCATTGCAATCTTCGTCTTCAAAGATTTCAGTCGCTTCGGAAGAAGGTCGAGAGGTCGTCGTCCTCGGAGGAAATAGAGGCAGTGGCTCCTCTTTTCGAGGAATCATCATATAGTTTACTGGGTATTCATATTCGTACTGAGCGTCCTTGAATAGTATTAGTGAAATTTGAGCAGTCTCGAGCGTCTTTAAACATACCATCTTGCCATGCCAATGGCCCGGTCAGCCCAGTGTTAAGTGAATAATATTGCCAGTATCAAGCCTAGAAATGCGGAATCGTCGAGGATAGCAATATTTGCTGGATCTTAAGTCTGATTATGCGTTCAAATCGGTAGAAATCGTCCAAGGACACGCAATAGTTATGGGGAAAGTTGACCGGAATGGATAGAACGGGCGTAAGAAGAGTTTATGTACGAAATCCACCCTTTGAAGACGCTGAGCCGTTCTTTTGTGGGGCCGCCAGTTACAGCACTGTATGCTAAGGACTCGGACGATTGTATGAGCTCGACGAATTGTAATTGCAGCTTAGGCGTCGATTGGCCTTTGGCCAGCGGCAAACCGCCTTCTGATGAGCCCGCTGTGATGTACCTGGGGGTCGGCACGCCAACCTGGAACACTGGTGGACGACACAGGTGATCGAAAGCAAGTATCACGCTGGGGAATTCGCGAATCCTGCATCCTCGTTGGATGCAACAACGTGCATTTGGCTCCTGGTCATGCAGGAGGGGGTGAGGGGAGCGGGTGATGGCGGTTTATGATAGGCGGCCTGCGCGACGCTACTGCCGTGACGATTTCCTTGGCACATCTCGACAGGCCAAGGGTCTACGTAAAGGGTATCACGGCGCGTAAATGGTTTCAGATTCTTCTTTATAAATTGACTGACATTCGCCCCAAATTTTTGAGGTGGCTGGGGTAGGAATTGCCCACGCCAGGTCTGATGATCGCCACGATCGTTATATCGCCCTCAGCGTTGGGCGTTTCCCTCCAAAACAAGCCCGGTCAGTGGTCAACAACGGGAGAGAAATCGAGAATCAAAGCTCCTCGAAATCTGGCCCCGAACTCTGACTGAAGTAACGAACGGGAATTGTAGAAGCATTGTCTTTCTAAATTGGACAATAAGGGAGGATTGACGGTCATTTGCTCCCCATTAGGACTTGGGCTCTGGGCAATTCCAGCGACCGTTCTCAGGTATAGTCGTCACACCACTTATCACTCGTCACCGTAACCCGGCAGCCCAAGGCCCATCACACTGCAGATCCCCCCTTTTTTTTTTGAACTCGTCACACCGGAAGCGATTGGTTGAGACTGACTGCTGCCACATTGGTAGAACTAAATAAGCCCGTAAATAATCCAAGCTCATGTTTTCAACACCCAACCCTGATGACCACAATGTATATACAGCTGCGAGCTCAGACCTGAGAAGAAAGACTGGATATAGATTGTCCATAAGCCCCATGAGAAAGTTCCCTGACGTCTTCGAATATATTAGAGAGTCTCCGTACAAGAATTTATACAGAATCATCATGGCTAGGAATGCCCTGGTCGATTCTTACATGCCGAGAAAATCCGTGCGTGAAAACCCAAGCTTGAGTCCAGGCCAAATGCAACATGGTGACAGTCCCGTCGTCAAAGCAGGGATAACTTCTCACGGCTTGGTCACCTTCATACATACTACGGAGCATCAATGCTACTGTAATAATTTCACCACAGCTATGTTCGCGAGAGCTATTCATGGCTAAATTAGATGCTTTGACGATGCATAAAATCTCGTTTAAATGGATCGACCGTCTTACAACTGACCTAGTTATTCAGTAAATAGTTAATTTCGTACAGGTTACAAGTCTACATATTAGCTTTTTCATATTAAATAGGGATCCGACCGTAGGACAAATTCAGGAACCCTATTGTTACTGTTAAACAAAGGGTCTGGGACAGGTTCTGCGGCCGTGTGGAACGAGATCTCAATCTTCCGGAGGCCCAAGAAGCTGACGGTCATCCCCAAGTCTTACGAATTGCTGTTGAAGTGATCCTATGACTATCCGGGGTTAAGGACTAGCTCCCAAACAATTTCTGTGTAGAACAGATTAGACGGCCCCAGGTATGTGACGCTAGAACATGAAAACTCCAAGGAACCCTTTTTGAAACTTTTGGAGCTCAATGGGTTCTCCGTGGGGAGTCTTGCCTGGGTGACTTGTTGGGTAATCATTCTCATTCATCCCCGGGGATATATTGTACGAATGCAGAGCTTCATGATCTAAGTACGAAGAGACGTCTATTGACATGATACTTTCAGGTCGTTCTATCTCTTTTCTTTCCTCACACATGATATTTCTTGAGAATGGTCATCGAGTCCTTTAATTCTCGGCTTTCTTTTGACGAATAACTTTCTACCATTTTGGAAGTATACAGAACCCATGAAATTCTCACATCCAGCCGAAGCAACTTGGGTACTTGCACTTTGTTTTCGAACCCACTAGCAGTACCCAGCAATGAATAAACGCCAATATGAGTTCGTGGAGCACTCAAGTGTTTGTGGCTTAACCATATCTAGGCACGTAGTTTGCCGGTCACAGTGTTACACAGGCATCTGAAGTACTCTTCCACACTCGATCCAACATTTTATGTACTTTTATGTACTAATACTGTGTCACTACGTGATAGCTTTACAAAGAACTATCTTGTTGAAGAATAACTTGCGACGAAAGTCGGCTTTCAAATGGAGGCTAAAATAAAGCCATTTGAATAGAATTAATGGTGAGCACGAAAGAGCAAAATGAACTATCTGTAGGGAAATTGCATTGCGACAACCCAACCATTTCTCTCAGTGTCTAAGGCTCTCCTAGCTAGACTAAGCAAATTCGGTACATTAAACAATTTCACGCCCAAGGCCATACTCAGATACTTAAATTCGGAGTAAAGAGATGAAACAAGAGTAGACTGCGCTTGTATAGAATATAACTGATGCATTTTGATCCGCCATTGAGAGATTTGATTTCCGACGGGCTCTAGGCTTTCGAGTTGGGCCCAAGAAGTTCAGATTCCTCGAGCCACTCAGAGAACAATGTGTCTATATTATTAAGCACTCTACTCGGTAACTATAGGTATGCTTTCAAAAGCAGACTGCAAATTTGTTTTTCATCGCTTTAAGTAATACTACTTGGCTTTTCGGAAGCTCCGAGCCTGTATCCTGAGTATCTATTCCCACCCCACGTTCAGCATATCGGAATGCCTGTGCTTGAGTTACCTTCTGCCTGTGCTTTGACCCTACAAGCGTAAAGAGAATCTTTATTCTAAGCCAGAGCGCCACAATCTTTTACAATAGATACCCCGCATCGAATGATACTAATTATGTCTTTTGCTGGTGCTAATTATGGATAATTCTCTGGAATTACCCTTAAGAATGCCTTGTATAGTTATTAATAGAAGGTTCATCACAAACGAATGCCTTAATTGTTCCGTGATAACCTTATGGTCGGATTAATTAAGTCGAGTTATTTGCACATAATAGTAAAATTAGACCATAATTCGGCGCTTAAGTGTTGCTAATTAGGGATCATTTCACTCTATTGACATTATCACAGTCTGAGCGCTGCTCTTGGCGCATTAGCGCTCCCCAAGCTCTGCACGGGCCGGCCCCACGGTTGGCTCAGAGCCAGCCGTTCTGCAAAACACCGATGATGGTAGAAACTAGCCCAATCCGACTGACAAATGAAAAGCCCAGGATTGAAGCTTGGCACGCGAGAGCTGCCGCTTCATCACACTTCGACCATACATGCCTTTAGCCGATGATTGCCTTCTCACCCAATTGTGAGCAGTGTTGATCCAGATCTGGAAAATACAGGATTGGCCTGACTCGCGAAGGAACGCCGAGACCCTATCGCTGGCGTTGGGTCGCATACAGTATCACAGACCTCCTTTCGAACTAGCAGCCCCTCTCTCCCATTTATGATAAACGGCTTCAACAATAGCTGTTAGTATATTTGTAACCAACTCAAGAGGCTCTGATCAACTATTTCAGCACTATTGAGATCGCGCCTTGCGACGCATTTCTAGACAGCTTTGAAGCCATAGTCGTAGTAATCTCCGTGGCTGCGATGATACGGGCTGCAAAAAGCAAAACGCGAATACCAATTTGACTGCTGGCCTATTAGAATCTATAGTTTAGGGCCTCAAAGTTCCACTCAAGTGGTTCAGCATGAACGCAACACTACGTGATTGCCCCGACAGAGTTAGACTACTGTAGTCGAGATGTGACGGGACCCACTTCAACATGTATCATGGGACACCATGTGTGCTACTATAGATCATCCCCGCTAGCTGCATAAGCCGCTGGAGGAGATCATCCATGGACACTTGCCTTCCGTCACGCTTGTTCCTTGAATCCCTGTCAAGTCCCAAAATTAGTCTCAATTATGGGCCAACAGGCCATACTCCGATAATGATTTGCTGTTGGGGTTTGCTCTCCACCCGATCTTCGCATATTCCTCCGACTCGAACTAAGCTCGCCTACCGCTTCCAACAAAAAATAGAAGCACGAGCTAACACAGCTGCTGATCTTTCTGTGGAGTTATAATTAGGCGCATCCAAGATCCCAGGATAAGATCTCTCTTGAATCCGTCGCGAGGCTATTTTTCTCATCCTTCGTTTTCACATTCCTTATCCCTAATAGACTGCGAAGCTGCCGGTTCGGCTTCGCTACTGCCCCCTCTTTTGAAGCGAGAAAAGGTGGCTGGCCCTTCATACAACTGTGTTGTTTTCTCGTGCTGGCTGTGCCACGTCGTCCTTCTTCGTTGCGATTGGTCATTGATTGACTGTTTCTTGTTGCGATATTAATAATTAGCAGTTGGAGCTTTCAAAAGCAAACATGCCGACACCAAAACCCCTCGCTGCGGCCTCAACAAGAAGGCCATCGAGTGCCGTTTCTTCCGAGAGGTCTTCGAGCGTGAGTAACAATGGCAATGCTCAGGAAAAGTCCGGCTCAAAAATGCACAAAAGATCGCGCTCAGGTATGCATAATTTGCAGGTCTCAGGCATCATTGAGGATGAATCTGACGCTGAAATTGTCCAGGATGTTTTACTTGTCGCCTCCGCAGAAAGAAATGTGACGAGGGACATCCCTCGTGTAAGGCTTGCATCAATCTCTCCGTTAAATGTGAATATAAGCGACCGATGTGGTGGGGCAGTCCGGAGCAAAGAAGGGTTCAAAAGGAGCGAATCAAGAACAAAATCAAGCAGACCAAGTCCCTCGAGAGGAGTGGATCACAACAGGGTGTGTGGACTTTTTTGATCATTCTCATTAGCTGCCACACTCTGACGCTTTCTACTTGACAGATGGGATTAATCTCGGTCATATCGCTCTATCATCCCCGAGCCCGGGAGAAGTTGATTACAATCAGCCGATCGCCGATGGGTACGAGTCCTTTGGCCCTCATTTTGCGACACCCGGCTTCGTGCCGATCTCATACAGCCACTATTATACCCCATATGAAGTTGATGTTAAGACCGAGCGCCAAACGTTCGTCAACGATGTTCCCTTGCGGCATCACTCTTCCGTTTCCACATTCAGTGCAATGGGCCCACCACAGCTACATGCCACTCTCCCAACCTTTCCTGCTGAAGAATGGTTCCAAGAAGAATACTTTGGCTCTTCGGGGGAATACGTGGCAATGGATCCAGCCCTAACTGGTCAAGGTGTTGGACAATCTTATGCTTCTCTCCATGCCAACATCCCCGTGGACGACTACGATCGGCCTCTCTTGAACCATTTTGTGGAGAACGTTCTTCGAATGATATTCCCAATCCTAGAAGCCCATCAGCGAGGCTCTGCTCGGGCTCGAGCTGTTCTACAATCCTTGGAGACGAACAAGTCCTACTTCCATTGCTGTCTTAGCGTTGCCGCAATTCATCTCAAAACCACTACCGGAATGAGTGGTGAACAGATTGATCATGACATTATGCGACATCGTTATGAGGCAATTTCTCAATTGTGCCAAGCATTGAATAATGACAGCGATCACGAAAAAATACTGGATGCGACGCTTGCGATGATTTTCTTTCACTGCTCGGTTGGCTCACCAGACGACTATCTCCCTGACATCCCTTGGAGTGATCATTTCCAGGCCGTATCAAATTTGGTCAACAAGCTGGATCTGACAAATATGATGGTTCCGTGTGGAAATGGGTATATGCTTCCCCCGTTTAGTATGTCACTGACATCCTGGATTGACATTCTCGGCTCCACCATGCTTGGGAAAACACCTCAATTCGCTCATTCCTATCGCAACAAGCACCTAAGTGGTGCATCATCTGGCCTCCGAGAACTTATGGGCTGTGATGACCGAGTAATGTACCTCATTTCGGAGATTGCGTGTCTGGAGTCCCTGAAGAACGAGGGCCGCATCGACTCGATAGCCGTCTGTACCCATGTCTCAGCCCTTGGAAGCCAGCTGGAGTACACTGAGCCCGCCAACTCGACCCTCGAAAGCCCGTATTCTGCTACAACGGGTGCCATCAGACCTGAGGTCTTGACAAATAATATGACTGCTCTATTCCGACTCGCCGCACGGGTCTATCTCTGCAGCCTTGTCCCAGGAACTGATCGAAACCATTCCAGTATTTGCAATTTGGTTGATACAATTGCGGATACTTTGTCCTATATTCCAGCCGGCCCTGGTGGATTTGATCGCTCGCTCGTCTGGCCAATTCTCATCGCAGGCGCATACTCAACTCCTTCAAGCACCTTCCGTCAAGTCTTGGCCGATCGAGTGGTCGCGATGGAGGACCTTGCAGACCTTGGTAGCTTCGGTCGCATGTACCAGCTACTGAATGAGTTCTGGCGTCTGACGGACGATTTTGTTGAAAGTCCTACGATCAAGCATGATCTTCCGTCCAAGTTAACGTGCGATGCCCCGGACTCTGGAGCTGATACAAGCTCGTCGCCACCTCTCCCATCACCCGGTATGCGAGAAATCAAGAAGCAGCATGTGCATTGGCGGGATACCATGAATCGCAACGGTTGGCGCTATCTTTTGATTTGATTTTCAACCCCCTTTCGTTTCATAGACCTTCTTCGACAGTCTTTTCGCGGTTTGCCTTGGATGTCCTGGGTTGCCAGGCCTGTCATATAGTTGGATCTATCGACTTCTCTTGCCGTTTGTTGATTCTGATACCTGTCTTTTGTGGTTCTTCATAACGGCATTGTACCCCCAAGAAACATCTTGGATGTATCTGTCTTCAAAGCTGCAAGTATGTAGCTCGTTCTGGGTTATTCTGGTTGCATTAGGTGAAGCTACCCAGCGGCATCTGACAATCTCGAGGCTAGGAATTATTTCAGGCGTCTAATCAGGAGAAATGATGGATAAATTTTACTTTCGATCAATTTTTCTCAAGTTCTGCCCCCGAGAAGTATAATTTCACCTTTTTTTCCCTTAGTAATTCAGTGCCTGTCTGTTTTGAGTTAATCGGTATCAACGAAACAGACGACCAGGCCCGAAGGTTCTAACACCCTCAGCGCTTTTTACCAAGCGCATCTGATAGTCCTTGCTGGTCGCCAGAGACCAAGAATCTACCTAGAGGGTTGAAATGATCCAACTTGTTATAAATTCGTATGGAACTAGCTTTGTTCTGAGACCGCACCTTGTAGAAATTAATAGGAAAGAATTCACGGAATTGATCCAAGTTTGCAACTTCCACAGGTGAGGCGAGTTGCAGACAATAATGCTTTCCTGTGCGAACTCGCCTCTATAGAACTCAGTATCTAGTAGACACGGCATTGACTGCCACCTGCAGCGGAAAAAGAAATATGGGGATGGTCAATGTTATGAATAACATGAGTTGGCAAATTAACCTAGGTCTCTGGGGGACACTGAATGAGGCATCAGGGCCGAGTGGTGGCTTTTGTGGTCAATGTTATGGTTAGGCTCCCTGGTCAGTGTCGGCAGTGGGCATGAAGAGTACCTAGTGTTTGAATTGGATTCTGAATGATATAGACTTTCTTTAACAATAGCCTTAATTGATCCAATTACAAGAGCTTAGTTCTGTGGTCCACAACGAGTTAGCACCATGACTAAATTGGGAAATGGGTTATTGAAACTAAGGACATTTTCCCCTTGTTTTGTTCTAAGTCAGAATCGTGTCTTCCATTTTTACCTAGAAAATATCTCCGTTGCCAAGCGAAGCTAGGACGTTCATTGCCAATAGAGGTATTGACCTCGCTGTCGAACAGCGAGCCGCCGGTGTTAGGAACCGCGCGCTTTCAAGTCAGCGAACCAGAAGGGGCACAGGTATACAAGAGCTCCGTTGCGGAAAAAATTAAGCCGCCCTCTAACGCCTCTTCTTCGATGAAAATAGGGGGCTTGCACTATGATTCAGAAAGCGCGCGACAATGTGGATTGTGTTTGAGGCGGAGAGTCCCACAACCTAGGGCGGCAACTTGACCGCATATATAGATAGCCCCTTAAGATCAAACCCTGGGTTTATTTCATAACCAAATTCTTTTGTGCTCTCTCTTATTACAATTTCCCATCTTCCAGTGGAATTTCTTTCCCTTCATTCCGGGGATTTTTTGGCAGGTCTATGAAGCTCTGGACGCTTGTCTACAATTTCGGGTCCATTCGTTCGCTCGTGACCAAAATAAAATCCACACGAAGGACCAAATCCTGCTATAACTTGTTGCAAACCAGCACAGCCCTCTTGACTCAGCGCCGGAACATAACTTTAGGCAGGTGAGTCCTAAGAGTCTTCCTTGGGGCCAGAATTGCTCGTGGCGGCAAGCATTGGGCTAACTGCTTCTAGGGCAGTCAGACCGAGAGCACCGTATTGACTGGTAACGTTCAGTACGGTACTGATAATACTGGGCTGTACAATACCCCTCGTTTCACCACTCTTGTCCTACTTTGCCCATATAGAAAGAAGATCTCCTGGCACTCAGCTGCCTTATCCTCCTGATTCTTTCCCTGGTAAGATTTATTATTTGTTCCCCTCTTTCGTGTTTCCATCATCTTTCTCTAACCATTTCGCTCTCCTCGCCCCCTCAGACTTAGCCTTTTGTCACTACTATCCTTGAGTGAGACTTACTTATAGTCTACACCCTATCGCCCCAATCTGTCTTGAGGTCGCCGTGACTCTCCACTATTTATTTCCTCTAAGGGTCGACCTCAAGCCTGTGCATATTTTCTTGGTCCTTGGGGATCTTCTTGACACCATGCCGACCCAAAAGCCCGAACTTCCTCCACTAAAGACGCCCCAATCATTTACATTCCCATCGGAAATCCAAGACGATCCTAAAGCTGTTTGTATCGAGATCAAGCGCGAAGACAGCAGCGACAGCTCAATCCCCACCCCGGACGCTTATAAAAAGTTCCTCGAGGCCCTTTCTCCTGCCTATGCCAGTCCAGTGAGCTCTGGCGGGAGTTATCCGAAATTTACATTTGATAAAGACGGTCCCTCGCCAACATCACAGCCGTCTACTGCGACCAGTCCAGCCTTTTCCTCTGGCGCGTCGCTGAAGTCCCCTGCTATTTCACTCCCGCCGATCTCCCCACGTAATGTGAGGTCGCCAAAATCGCCACATGCACTTCGACGACTACGTATTCCGCACGCGATCAAGACCTCAATGAAGGACTCACCACGCACTGCTACCCCGTTGAGCGCGACTCCTCGGAGTACGACCGCTCTTCACTCACCCTTTTCACCGACAAGCTGGAAGCTGCGGTACTTTGAAGCACCCCGAAGTGCCACACCCCGAAGTGCTACGAGCGCTAAGGCTGTGAGTGTCAGACAAGTAGTGACTCGCACAGTTACATACAAACGCACGCCCCTTGAGCCTCCCCCAAAGGGAAAACGTCGCAAGACTCAAGAGCGTAAAGAAGTCTGAACACTGCCCTAGGGTTTTTTGTGTCACTGGTGGCATGGGCCCCGGGCTCTTTCATTTTTGATTTTCTTAATGATTGGTTGCATAATGTCCAATATGTACCTGGTATGGATTTACTGGCTTTTTCGAGCGCTGTCTTCATTTCTTTTACGATTTCCTTCTGGCTGAGAATCATAAATGTTATTGGGGGCGAGGAGTTGGTCGAGCATGGCTTTTGATTCTGCAACGATGGCGTTAATTTGTTTTCTTCCTATGTGACGGACAAAACTCGCTCAAAAAGAGGGCTATGATTGAAGTTTTACTTCGATCGATTTTGACCTCGCTCATGAAGCTGAATTTGGATTTCCGTTGATCTATTGGTCTTACCTCCAGGGCGTTTGATTTGGAAGGGATAGCGGGCCAAATGTCACGGAAGGCAAATACATTTTGAATACACAATTCTCATACAAATGCAAGTTTCTTGACAGTAACATATATAGAATGTCCCATGTATCTCCAGTTGCTTATAGTGCTGTCGGTAGTGGTCTGATACCTCGTAGTCAACGTACCCTCAGTATCGAGTCTTAAGGGAGTTCAAGCGCTTACTGAACAAACCCAACTAAGCTGATGACTCGTCTCAAGTCCACAGTTAGATTTTGCCCAGGAATGTTTGTATACTGGTCCTACAACAGCGTGCATGGCTGGCTCGGGGCTACAACCACGTGTCTGATGCATTCAATGGTAACTAATGATAGACCGACGAAGAACCAACAGAGAAGCCAACAGACTGAGCCCTCTCCTAAGGATGACGGGAGCCGCTAGCGCTGCACTGTATAATCCTCCGATCTCTGCAAGGGTGAGCCAGCTGATCGGAACGTAAAGATCAATTGATGCACACTGCAAAGGTATTGCCTGCAGAGAGCACTCGCAATAAGACTCCAATACTCTATGCCTGCTGCGTTCAATCTATACTACTTAATAAATTTGATAAGTAGAATCATCCAGAAAGCCTCCCAATTCCCGAGGATTTGACATAAAGCTGGGTCCTCCTAATGCACCCATGCCGGGTTTCGTTCTCTTTTTTAACAGCGCATGTTTGGCCCATGACGCCACACTCCAGCTTCAGTCCATGAATCACAACCAAATCCCATTCCCAATAGACTGGTACGTTACTCGAAGGATTTTCGTTGCAGTGCGGCTCAGAAAATGTGAGAGATGTTACGATGACGATGGCCGTTGTGTGTCTAGTGACATGACCCCCTATATTTGTACTGGAATGGGGCTCTCTGCAGGCGATAGCTACTGCCCGACTTGTGACTTTCGTACTATTCGACAGTTTGTATATTCTTTCAATATAGTTTTTACCTGTATATTATCATTTTACAATATATACGGTATATTACGAGATCTTTACGTAACGTGCCGTATCAACGTACTGTACGTCCTTCGTCGTTGGTAACAAGAATTATACTGAGGACACGAACCTAGAAGTAAGAATGGCAATACGATACGCATTCAACGACTAGTGTGTCATGTACAGTTCGAGTACCGAATTGACGCTGCGCCTCTAATGAGGTGTATAGCAAAGCTCTATATTATTGATACCACCGTGCCCTGACACGGAAGTTACGAACTTACTGCATCAGTGCTGACTGCAATCACAATTTCTCCAAAGCAATCACTCGCCCCCCTCCTCGAATGTAAGTAATGGAATCATATTGAATCGACCATTAAGCGTGCAGAGAAGGACTCTGTGATGAAGCCTCGAGAAGTTCCCCCTTTTCTACCCACTGTTGGACCTAAACGTATTGCATCGAGTGCCAGTGAGATCCTGGGCATTCTTTAAGCGCCCACGCTAACCTATATCCAGATTAGCCATTCACATGGATATTTTCAAGGGTTGTCGTTATTGGCTTAATGAGCTCATGGTTCTGCTGTGGAGTCTGAACTGAAACTGTATGTTTTTTTTGGGCGTAAAATGCCGATCCAGCACTCCCAACGTACATTATAGGTTTCTTGACTTGATGAAGATATCAGGCGGGCTATCGACACTCTTCTTACAGCCTTTGTCAATATATTTTTGAGCTATATGCTCGATCGTTCTCACTTTATCTATAGCAGATTCTATAGCCCTGAGACATCATGAGACCTCACTCTTCGTGTGAAATAGCTCCTGATAGGTAGCATTTCACTACCACGGCTCACGTACATTGATCTGCATGTGCTGTAGCGTGAAGACTTCAAGGAAAGCGCATTCGGGTCACAATGCCAAGAGTCGATGGATATCATAGCCAATGATATGCGCCAATTAGCCGCCCAAGATCCCACCAAGTCTAGGTCTGTGCGTTATGGGTCATAATCCAATACACGGAGGCGCAATACTCATCAATGGTAGGCTAACCACGAATCGTGCCACTTTGTCGGTATTTCTTCAGCTCGGGACTGAGAGGACCTTCGGAACATCATAAATCCATATGGCAATTTCGGATGATATTAACCTAAAATATAGATCCTAAAATAAACATTGCTATTTTTGGAACAAGAACCTCGGAAAGCAATTTGAGAGCCAACATGTTTCTGCACTCTAAGTGATGTTGGCAATCAGAGAATATAACGCTGCCTTGGTCGCCTCATTGGGGTATTTTGATTCATTTCTTCATGGAGAAATCTGCCACCTTTACGATGCTCTTGACATTGGAAAGGAGATGCCCTCATTGAGGGCAAAGCTTATCGTGACTTACGAATTTCCCCAAGCCCCCAAATCTCAACTAACGCTCATCATGCAAAGTCATTTAGCATATGAACGAATGCTGATTGAAGCTCAGGATCCCTCTAGTGGACAAAACTTCCAATACTTCCATAGATTTCAGGTGAGAATCGCTTCTCCACTCCTTACAGGTCTAAGCTAAGTTCCATTTCCAAGAATAGAGCCTTTGTGAAGCAATCTCTCGCTGAATATGATATCTTTTCCGACGGATCTTCACATCCACTACCCATATTAGCCTGGTGGCGCTAGAAATCTGGGTCTATGGGAGTGACTGCACCTAGCAAATGATATCTCACGCCAAATCTTTGTCACTTCGGACCTCTACTCATTGGTCTGGACGCTTTCTTCAGCTGCCGCTTTGCCATTGATGTTGCTAAACTTAGCATGTCAGTGGTTTGTGTGACTTCTATATCGAGCATACTGCCGCTCTTCATCCAGAATTATCCTGTGATGCCAGACATCATGTCTGTCACGAGAGCCAATCGTCTCGTTAATTCAGGGTCTTGATAAGCTCCACACTCAAAATATTAGCTTGACTGCCGCCTATATTGTCGCTACCGGAGATGCATTATCACACCATCACTGCCTATCGCCTAGGCTATGTGACAACCCCGCGTACGAGGTTTGTCTTCTTCAACGATGTCCAATTAGCCATTGAAGATGTTCTAAAAATATACTAGGTATTGTTCTCTTTCTCCGGACTGCAACTGTCTGCACGGTCTGTATCATACAGTATGATACCCCTATCGTCTTGGAAAGATCCCAAGGACCTGATCTAGGACTCATAGCTGAGTTCTCTGGCTCTACATACATCACACACTCGATGTAGTGTTTGTCCAAGCATCCCCAGTGGGACATCAGGCGCTTCCAAACTTCTGACTTTGTTTAGCGCATCGCCTCTCCACACGAATATTGCTAAGAGTATCCTTCGCTCGACTTCGCTCGAACGCATCTATCGACGAGGTGGAATATGCTCGCCAAGGTTGTTCAAACCTTTCCATGTCCATTCAATCAATTGAAACAAGACAACGGTTGCTTCTCATGTTTACTCTTATTCTATGTTCATTCTAACGTCTACAGGAGTCGGTTTCATTCAGGGCAGCCATCAATGATGAAATCTGTTATCGCTGGAGAATATCAATCGAGAGTCTCTGCTGGGACTTCTTCGATGCAATGCTGATGCGAGATTTACATTGGCAGTAGATATAAATAGAAGCTCTCTAATGCATGCAGTGCGGGGTTAACCACAACCTCTGTATCCGCTTAGCCATGCGCTCGGTAAGCGATCCCTTATATATCCTTGATGCTGGACATCGAGAATGGGATATGAAAAGGGCCTTTGAAAAAAAGAATGTGGTTCCAGGTGTATATGGTTTGCATTCTTTGTTGGCTTCACGCAAGGCTAATATCAAGGTTACGTGTTTGGGATCCTTTCGCTCTATGTGTTCTATATTTAGAGGCGGGGAGAGAAAAAAGCGGCCACCACGGATCGTCGTATTCTATGCCCCTGTATGAACCAACGAATGACTGTCCCGGAGAAGTGACCCCTCTCTTTCGAGCGGCTAGCTAGTGACTTTCACCTGAGGCATTCGGTGATAATGAAAGTCGCCCCAGGGGGAGTCCCATAATCATAATCCCGTGATCGACCCGCTCCCTTCAGCCGTCCCTCACGTATGTGCCTTCCTACTGCACTGTACTCTCATTCCACTCAGCCCGCCGTCACCACAAGCCCTGTCACCTTTCTCGAGCGGCGCGTCACCCTAGGCAGGTCTTGAGTACCCAAAATCTGCGTTCCGTGCGCCCCCAAAGTTCGACTACCCTATTCTCACCTCCTGTGCGTCTACGTCGCCATGGCCCAAGCCCCGCCGACCTTCACGCCGGATAGCGAATTCGCCGAACTTGAGACCCCACGCGGCCCGAAGGCTGGTAGTCTTTCTATCACAGCGCTGGCACGCTTCGAGTTTGAGGCTGGCAAGGGTAATGAAGGCACCAAAATCTTGATGGTGGAGTGGGAAGATGACGACCTGGCTCGATCGACCACCGACGGTTCATGGCATGTCTCCTGGGCAGGGAAGACCACGGTGCTGCCCGCTGATGAACGACCGAGCGAAAGCACGCGTCGGTTCTATTTCCTACTGCCACCACATGTTACGATTCCACCTGTTGTCACCCTGTCATACAAGCCACGACAAGTCAAAACAAACAATGATGGAGCGGCTCCAGCCTTGGACCCTCGCGATATTCTTCAGCTGAACCCCCTACCTGCGATCTTCCCTCCCGAGTTGGGCGCAACAGGTCGTTCCGCTGGGAAGAAAGGAGTGCTTCACACAATCTGGGCCAAGAAGCGACTACGTGTTTTGGAGAAGGAGATTCGCGAAGAATGCTTGACCAATGCCGAAGGAGTTGCGCTACATATGGCAGTACAAGAGAAGGAGTGGATAGAAGGGAATTTCGGCTTGAGCCCTCGTGGCGTTGAGAACAGCCACGACTCCTCCAACTCTTCTTCCACGTATCCCACTGGGCCCGCTACGCCCGTGTCTCCTGTCAGTGGAAGGAAATTAATGGATAAGTTGAAGGGACTGAAGCTCCAGACCAGTGAGAGGGATTTGTCAGCCAAAGATGGTGCGCAAGATCAAGACTTGAACTCTGATAGAATGAAACTGACCGCGAGAAAACCAGGCCCAAGTGACTCGCACCTTCTATCGCCTCAATCGCCGGACGTTGCTGTCTCCTCATTCAGCTCGTTCCGCAGCATAGCTAACCGGGCTCCTCACTCAATGCCAACCCCAGATACAAATCCGACTCCAACTCCAAGCCTTCCAACGAATCCCACTGGACCTGAGTCCTTCAGACCCGTTGCGCTTCATCCGCCCGAGTCTGTTCAGGAGGCCCAGCAATCGAGTAGACCTGAAGGTTTCGCCGCAATCGGCTCTATGACAACAATTGCCCGTACATCGAGCGCCGACTCTGGCGATGACCTCTTTGCCAAAGCGCTGAGTCCGCGCTCTCCAGATCTACCTCGGAGTCCATTCTCATTTGCTTGACATTGTCATTGATTCACTTCGTTTCTCTCATTGTCATGCCCCCCTTACCATTACTTCATGATTTTCCTGACCTTATGATTCCCCCTCCGCAGAGTGACGACATATACCATCATTCTACTCATCATCTCAACGATGTTCGAGATACATTTACAGATCCGGTCCATTCCCATGTCTATATTCCTGACCATTTTGACTCTCCCAATGTCTCTAGCATCTTCATTTTCATATCATTCGTACAGAAATGCTATCATACTGTGCTGTGCCACCATGGACCTGTCTGTGTACATAGAACAATCCCGAATCCAACGCCTTGGAGACGATATTTCTCTTTTCATCTTCTTGCGCAAAACAAACAAACAGTTTTCTTTCGCTACAGACCGTATTGTATAAAACTCGTTTGCCGTGGGCGGCAAAAAATCGTACACGCCACATGAACAAAGAACAGTCACGCCCCCTCCAGATAACCCAAGATTGTTTCGAAGGAAATCAGAAGCAAGCGCAACAGACAAAAAAAAGAAAAAGTAACTAAAACAGCGCCTAGTTACCCTTCTTGCGCTGGCTGCTCTGACGACCAGGCTTGCCAGTCGATGATCCAGAAGCAGTAGCCGAAGGCGCAGCCTCACCCTCATCCTTCTTCTTCTTCCCCGCGGCAATCGACTCATCCTCCTGCGCATCCTTGCGCTCCGCATACCACTGACCAGCCTGCAGGACCAGAATGCCGACCAACACCAGCGCCAGGATAGTGTTGCTAGCCGCGAGGACCTTGAGCGAGTCCTCACGACCAAGGATTTGCTCCTTCTCCTCCGGGTTAGTCGCGAGCTCAGCGCCGTACTGGCCGGCCGAGGCGAGACGCAGACCCTTGACGATGTTGGCGATGTAGACGGTGATGCCGCACATGTAGAGGACGAGGGAGGCGCCGTCAAAGAGCATGTTTGATTCGGAGGGGCGGTAGAGCTTGGTGACTAGGCCGGCGAGACCGAGGAAGATGACGATGTGGAGGATGCGCGGGATGAGCGGGGGCGAGGCGTGTAGGAAGCGGAGGTGGGCTTCGAAGTAGTCGAAGTGTGAGGCCGGAGTTGGGGTGGTGGACCACAGGATTGGGTAGTCGTAGGGGAACATGGAGAAGATGATGCCCAGGAAGAAGCATGTTGCTAGAACGTGGCTGGTTAGTGATGGTCTCGTGGGGAGGATTGCGGTGGCTGTTGGGCGCTCGTGGGCGTCTTGAGTTGAGGCCTTGGTGGCCTCAGTGCAATTGGAGGCGGGTGGTGTGGGATAAGAGCTTACGGCATAGGATGAGGAAGGTCGCGAACGACCCGCTCTTGAAGGCCATTGTGAAGAATGGGAGGAGGAGAATCTGCTTGATCGGGGCAAGCGAGAGGGATACGAAAGGAAAGAAGGAAACAGGGGGAATGAGGAGAAGGATCTCAAGGTTATCGCTAAGCGGGTGCCAAGGCTGCCCCCAGAGACAGAGACGGGCGGTCGGAGATAAGGCTAGACACGGAGCAGGGGGACAGAGTTTGGTTATGCTTTGATGTGTCAACGATTTCCCCGCTGATAGGGATCGGTGGGAATTTGGAGAGAGAAAAAAGGTAAAAACGGGACACACAGGGCGAGAGAAATGTTATGGTACATTGAGGCTCTCAACGCCGTGGTTTTCAAAACCCAGCGCCATTGTGACTGATGTAAATATGCGAATAGTGGTATCTTCCAGAAATATCCCGGCCCCCAAAATGCAGAATGTACAAGAAAATAAAACAGGAATAAAATCGCCGAACACAATGATCCCATCACCGCTGATACCGAGGCAAGGACTCGTCCGCATGCGCTGTGCCGCCCACCAATTGATCATCTTCATCAAAGGTCGGCGCCGTGGGAGCGGTGGAAGACTCGCTAGCTTCGCCATTTCCTTCTTCGGGAGGAGCATTTGGGGCACTGATATGTTCCATAAGCCGTTGTCGCTCGAGCTCCTGCTTGTCGTCTGCGGGCGCCGAGGGTTCGCTGGGTCCTGCGGCGTGACCGTTGGCAATGACAACGGTCTGTAGCGATTCAGCAGACCGGACAGCATGCGGCACACCATTGGCTACCGGCGACGGCAAATGCTGATAGTCTTGCAGATGGTGGTCGTCTGGCAAAACAGGCGCAGTCGGCACGGCCACTGCTGCATTGGAGGGCCCTGCCTCTTCTTCCTCTGGTGGTTGGCTAGGCAGAAGGGTTTCTTCATGGCGTCGTAACCTGGCTTTCTCATCGACAGGTTCTTCTACCTCCGGATGCGCCAGCATTGGGCCGATCGGCTGGAATGATTGTGAGTAATCTTCGGGATACTCTGACCAATGGCCCTCTTGAGGGAACCCGTAATCATAGTCTTCTTGGGCGCCGTAATCGTGATCATTATGGGAGGTCGGCATCGGGCTTGCTTCAGGCCAATCTTCTCCGTCTATGGGATGAACCATTGCAGAATGAGCTTGAGGTGTGGTGTGAGATGCGGTCGAGTCAGCAGCCGCGGAAGGGGTGCGTTCAATAGTAGCTTGGCCACGCTGTGTATCGCGCGTCCCAACCACAACTTCAAATGCCATCGAAACGACGCCTTTCTCTCGGCGGATCTGGTCCGTGTCCAAGATGTTACCACCCCAGTTGGCCGTGATGCCACTTCCATTCGCATCTGCGGGGTTGAGAATTTGACCGCTGGGCGAGAATGTGCTTCCACCAGAGACCATATTGAAACGGGGAATGAAGCGATCGGGGGAAGTGATCTTGCCTCGCAAGTCTACCACAACCTCGACATAATAGCGAAAATTGATCATTGCACCAGGGACACGAGTGATAGTGGGGAACGCGTCTTCGGGAACTCGAATCGATGTCTTGACAATGGCGGTCATGTTGGTCGGGTCCACAATCAGTGGCGCGAATGTCTGTGACAGATCTTTACGGAAGGTGCTGCTGGTGCGACTTGTGCCAAGAGTCAATCCTCCTAGCCCAGTGCGTGACCTTGGATAACAGTCCTCGTAGACTGGCTTCTTTCCGGCGGCCGTGGTACCGATAGGAATGGCTGGGTGCATATCGATACGGCCCTGTCGGTAGAGAGTCACGATAATTCCGTGCGCGCTGCGCACTTGTTTCCAATGGTTGATAGTAACCTTGACGGGTAAAGTGTCCCCTGGTAGCACGCCTGCGCGCAAAACCTCGGCCTTTGCAGTAATCGTCTTATCTGAGATCGAAGGGGTCGCGCTGCGACCTTCACTGTTTCGGCCTCCCGTGCTTGTGGAGGAGCTCGGGTCGCTCACAATCTGAAAGCTCTGGCTGCTTTCACTCGGGCGGCTGGATGAGCTGACATTGCTTGGAGAGGGACTGACGGCGGGACGATTATCCACCGAGCCGGCTGCACCGCTAACGGGGGTATCTATAGAAGCGGAATCCGGGGCCGCGGTCGCGTCGGAGTTTATGGATTTGGCTTTCGCCTTGGATTTGGATCGTTTCGAAACCGGTTCGAGCGTGACGATGCGGGCTTTGGGTGCGGGAAAGGGCGCTATATCAATATTTTCGAGGAAATTGACCCGCCTTCGGCAGGACATGGTTGGATTCATGGTGGTGGGTCGGGTAAGGGTCGAAGTTAAGGCGTATCCAATGGTGCCTCGTTCGAACTTCAGGTGTAAAATGTCAGTACTGACCAGGTTTGATCAACTGAGGGAGATAAGGAGACTCACGTTGAGGCTACTGGGCAGGGCATATGGAGGAAGCCCCATCTCAAAGCGGAATTTATAGATACCCTCTTTGAGCCGCCCATCACCACAGAGAACGACTTCATCCTCAAACAAGGTGGCCAGGCCGTTCCCCATATATTCGGCGCCTCGCCGGCCACGCCCGGGTCCAAGAAATCCCAAATCGGGAGCGGTTTCTCCGGCGGGAACCGCGTTTTTAAACACCTTCACATATCCATGCAGACAGACCACTATATGCGTAATGCGAACCGGCCGCACAACTGTCACGATCACCGTGCCTTTGATCACATCTCCGGGAAAGTACGAGCGCCATGGGTCGTCGGGATCGATATAGAAGTCGGTAATGCTGCGATTGCGGTTTCCAAGTGGGGAGCGAAACTTGGAGAGAAAGGAGCTGCGATTCCGACTGACCGGCGACGTAGAGGTCTTGATAGGGAGGGGGGAGGACATGACACACTGCCGCTATCCTGCTTCATCCATACAATATGGCGGAGACTGAGGGGGAGGGGAAATCGTCAGGGGAGGACCGGAATGGGTCGCAGATCGACCGACACAACGACGGAGTCCCCTGGCGCAGTATGTATGAGAGGTATGGCGATATAATATTCAGACAGGGTGAGCCGGCAATGCGCCCCGTGAGTGAGTCCAATGGAGTAGCCGGACTCCTTTTTCAGTCGTCCTTATCGTCGAGGGGGAATCTGGCCTTCAAAGGCACCGACTACTGTACAAGGGCACGGTCCGATTCCAAACGCCACGGTATGTGTCCGTGTCCACGGCACGCAAGAGATTCCCCAGGTCCAAAGAGCGGAATGGGAATTATGACCAAGAGCCCGCGGGCCACATTGTTTCGCGGCGACGAAGCGCAGAGCCGGGGGTCGAGAGTCACCCCCGCTAGGTACGCGCGTGGGAGGTCGACGGAGCCCAAAAAGTCGCGGAACGGATTGGGATTGGGATCGTGTTTGGGCGAGCGGGGAGGGAGAACCAGAATGCGAGTCGTGGCGTGAAGGGCGAGACGGTCGAGGATCGCACGAGGGCAAGGTCGAGGTTCGAGGCGCGACAGGAGATGGAATGTGGGTCTTGGGAGTGTGGCGCAAGGTTCCGGGTAGAGAGGAGAGGAGAGGAGAAGACGAGGAGGAGGAGGAGAATTAGTCGTTGTGGGTGGGGGGTTAATGGGTGGTTGAAGGTAGTGAAAAGGTAGATAGGAAAGGAGAGTGATCACGAAGGGATGAGAGGAGGGAGGGGGAAAGCGAATGGAGACGAGAATAGTCAGGCAGGGACAATCGTCGGTCGAGGCCCCGGACGGGACTAGTTGAACCAGGGAGGCAGTAGTCCCTCCCTCACGAGAGTGGGCAACGAGTTCGAGATAAACCAGTCGAAGGTCCAGAGTTCCCCCCGGGCGGAGAACGGAGAACCAGCCCGGTACTTCCATTCGCGTGTCGCACGGTCAAGCTTCTCTTGGTGGCTCGCAGGAGTCAGCCTAGTCGTCCCTTTCCGGGCATTCGGAGGGATTATCACGATCATCACGATCATCACGATTCTCATGATTCTCATGATTCTCATGATTATGCATCACCTGGCGGCTCACCCTATCCACAGCCCTCTACGCTTGCTACCATGAGTCTATGGACGGAGTACTACTGACTCTTTCTCCATGCAATAACCAGACCTGGACAAGGCTTAATTTCTCGGTTTCATCCTGGAACACCACCACCCCCCATGCTAAGCTTTTCGCTCATCCCGAAGGATCCGGGGGAAAACAACCCATGAAAGATGCCTCGTACTCGCTCCTCGCTCCCCTCGCTCCTTTCGCTTCTGCTGCCTTTCCTGTCTCTCCAACCGAGTTGCTGGTTGCTAGCAGGTAGCGGGTGGCTTGTTCATTTCTTTGTATTGCACGTCTGGTTCAGCCTCATAACTCTTGTAGGCCTTCGCCGTCCACGTAATCGACCCCGTAGCACTCGCGCAGAATTGCCTCGACAACCTCCCGGTCCCCGCTAGCCAATCTGCGCAGATACTCCTCCAGCACGTAAACATTATCGGTCCACTGAAGCGCCCGCTGCCGAAACCCCGCTAGCTCCGTCTGGAGCTGCTGCACGCCCTTGTTGCTGACCGAGTCGGTTGCAGAAATCTCTGCAGCCTGGAGCCGACGAATCTCGTCTTGTAGGTCGGCTCTCTGGCTTTGCAGGATCTCTCGCTCTGCATCGCAGCCGGTGTCGTCGGCCTCCTGTTGACGCTGTGCGGTTTCAGCGGCCAGGCCCGCCTCAGCATCAGTGCAGGATTTCCAAGCTTTCTCCACGTCCGTCTTCACCCGGGCCAACTGGCGCTCGCAATCCTGCTTTTCATCACTTCCGAAACTCCAGTACCAATTCCCACTGCCGATCTTTTCGACTCGTAGTTTGTTTTCATTGGTGAGTGCCTGGATGTATTCTTTGACCTGGATGCTGTTGATGGAGGCCACGGTGGGGAGCGCCTTTTCCAGATCTTTCAGCGTATGACAGGTGCCAGTGGCGCGTAGGTGAGTTAGGATCAGCTCCTGCTTCTCACTTTTGGAAAGCTTAGGCGGCTGGATTGGACACAGGACGCGTCAGTAGTCTCGTCTTTTTGTTGTGTGGTGGGTGTCGCTAGCCCCAATCATCCAACATCCCACCCCAGGGACGTCTCCGTAGTAGGGGGCCACGTACCATGATGTCGTCCGTGCGAGACTCGGACACGCTTCCCGTGGTTCAGATCAGAGAAGCTTAATCAATCACGAACTTATCCCGATAGGGTAGATCGGGGAAGGCCAAGCATTCAACGGTGGAGGCTTGGGAGAACGCCAAGTTGGAAGACTACGAATCTTGTCACCTGCCATGGAGTCACGACTTGACTATTTTCCCCCGGCTTTGTATTTTGCACGGGAGTGGCCTGGGTAATGCTCCACGATGCAATTAAATACTGGAGTATATAGGATAATATGTCAACTACACATAAGCATCTACCTACTGGGGCAATTCGTTCTAAAACGTCTGCTGGTGGTGGACCTAGTAGCAGGGTGTTCATTCAAATGTGCTGCTACTAGCCTGTGAAGCCCAGCTATAATTGACACGTGCGCACATAAGACTGCCGTTAAGAAGGTTTGTCTATTTCAAAAGATACTCATATTGCTCGAGGCAATGCCTGTGGGCAAAAGCATGGCAAATCTCTCGGTTTGCACGCCAAAGCCCTTGTGTGATACTCGCCAGCAACAAACACCGGGCCGATGTGCCTAGTGAAGACATACGAAGCTATTAACGCCACATCAACTCATATGGCGCCAATGAACCGAGAAGACGATCAAACTGCGTGGATTGCCGCAGTTGACATGGCAGATCAATAATCACAGCTCGTCGGGTGGACAAGCTTGTTCTGACGTGAGACTCTGCGCTACAGTATTTTCCCCGTAGCGCTCACCGGTGTCGAATTACACGTCTCTGTCCCAAGATGGTTGGTCCAGGGAGTGTGATTGGCGTGATGTCCCGATGCCGCAATTGCTGCAAGCGCCGAGTGGCTGTGTGGGAACAGCACACACAGTTTTCATGCATCTGCCAGATCACCTGGTCGGGGCTGAAATAGTCCGCAAAAATACAGACAATCTCATAAGGTACAGATAATCAATGAAGTTTGAACGATAGATGATGGCAAGTACCAGAGCACCATGCACCAGCATCATTAAATTCATCGTTCATCAAGCTCCTTGTCCGCGTCGGAAGCGGCACGTTTCAATTTCCGCCGCTTGAACTTTTGCCGCACACCCTTGAGATTCTCTTGCGAGCTAGCCATGTTATTGGCACCGGTACGCGCTCTCTTCCTCCTCCGGACACGTCCTCGAGACTGGGAGGCGTTGGTGTTGTCGGTTTCCGCACCCGTCTCGTCCTTCTCGTTGGCCACCTCTTCGCCTTCCACGAGCACCAGGTCTCCCGTTTCCCCCAATGCCTCCTTGGCCATCTCCTCCACTAAGATTCCCATTGCGATCAGGGCCGTCTCATCCATACTGTGGTGATCGTGAAGGCCATGATCCTCCGTTGCGAATTCATAAAAATCAGCAGCGTAAGCGTGGATGGCCTCGAGTATCTCGGAGCTCGGAAGTGCGGTATCGGATCGTATATTCTCGTTTGCGAAATAGTTCTCTTCTTCCAAGGGATCCGTCACGGTGTTCTGTGTCCGAAACAGAACCTCCTCTGGTCGGAGAGTTCGGGCTCCAGACGAGGCAGTGTCGCGGTAGCGAGAGGCGAAGCGCTCTGCTGGATGATGTCCTTTGCGGTTGACTCGGCCTGGAACTGGTCAGACAAATTCGTCCATTGTGGAGTGTCCTGCCTCTCGGCACTTACCAGCAACGGCATCGTAAACATTAGTGGTGCGTCGGGTCTGTCTGTAAGAATACTCGCTTTCCGGCGCATGAACCTCAGCCTCCGGAGGCGCAGTGAATGTATTCTGGCTCAGGTTGAGCGATTTGCCATAGGACATTCTCCCTTGCTGCCAGCAGCATCTAGCCTGGCCTCGGCAAATCCTCGTGAAGGCGTAAAGACCGAAGACTCCGACTTGCCCAAAATTAATTGCGCCGGCACAACATTAATCCGATGAGGTCACCGCCCGCAGCTACCCCGTCCTTGAAGCGCTACCTGTCTTCGTGTTTGACTTACCTCTCCAGCTGCCTGATGTATGAATGAATTCCTATCTTCTCAACAGAGCCCTCGGGTCTGTCTCGCCAAATGCATTCCACGTTGCACAAACCACACGGCTAGTCCATAATCTCGAGCCTGCGCCTGGGATTCGGTTCTCCAGCCGCAGAGCCGCACCCAAGGATCAGAGTCAAGGTGACGCGAATAACGCGACGCCTTTGGATCGAGAGGATCCTACGACAGCTGAAAATGTGATTTCCCATCAATCTGGCGTGAATTGCCTGGCAATTGATCAATTTGAGGGCCGGTAGTACGTGCAGTAACAGCCATTGTTCCCTGCGGACGTGTTCCTGACTAGTATAGCATGATATCTGGAGGCGCAGATCCCTCTATTCATCTCTGGGACTTCGAAAGTCGAGGATCAGATCTCGATCATATCCACCGTGCCTGCGCGACTGTCAGGAAATCATCACACAAAGATGCGCATACACACGCCATCACTTCTCTCTCTATTTACCCATTCGATCCAGTCCCGTCAACCATCTTTTCGACGTCTCATGACGGCACGTTAAAGCTCTCTGCGCTGCAGTCGCCTGAAATCACTCCGGTCCACACGTTCAATCTCGATTGCACACCATATGCGCACTCCTTCTCCTCCCAACCAGGGTCTACCTTGCTAGTTGCAGTCGCTACATCCGAACAATCAGTCCGACTAGTTGATCTTCGATCCGGGCTAGCCACGCACGGCTTGCCAGGCCATAATGGTGCCGTTCTATCGGTGGCGTGGGCTCCTCACCGGCCGCATTTACTTGCATCTGGTTCTGTCGACAACCGAGTCGTCATCTTCGATGTCCGACGCGGAGGTCACAACTCTGCAATCGCAACCTTGGACATGGACGATCCGGTAGGCCTTGTAGCGCCAGGGTCCGGATCTGCACCAGCATCTTTCGAGAGCCGGCCAGCATTTTCGCGACATGCACGGGCTCACAACGGCCCTGTTACTGGGGTGCGTTGGACGTCGACTGGCAGCCATATAGTCACGACGGGGCAAGACTCGCGTATCCGGGTGTGGGATGCAGCGACGGGCGCAAACACACTGGCACATTTCGGCCCTCGGGTTCGCAATAGTTCCACTTCTCACATGGCAGAGCGGGCGCCACTGCTGATACCCAAGGGCGTCATGGGCCCTGGGCAGGAGACGCTCTTGTGGTCTAACTTTAACGAGCAAGATGACCGGGGTGAGATCTTTATGTTCGAGCTTCGAGAAGGGACTTTTATTAAGCGTCTTCGGGTTCCAGGGCTCATGGGTGGAAACCAGGCAGCACGTGGCCGGGCAAGGGCCTTCAGTGCTGCGCGTATTAATGATTTGACCTGGCGCGGGAACGGTGCATCCGGGGAAGGCCTCGAGCTTTTCTCTGCCCATGGCGACGGGACCATTCGCACATGGGTTTCTCGGGAGCCTGATGGTGAGCCTGATGAGGAAGAAGAAGCCGAGATGGCCGACCGCAAGAGAAAGCGAGAGGTTCTAGACGAACTCTACAAGGGCTTCATTGGACCCGATGCTGGACTCTATACTTGAGGCAATCATTGCACAAAACATACTAGACAAAAAGAAATATCAAGCAACATTCAAACCCAATTCAACATTCTAGATACGTCTATCTAATCACAAAAACACCATCAACTTCACTCATTACGCAAACTATGCTCCCCAACATTCTCCCCCGCATCCTCATCCTCCTTAACATACCGATCAAACTGACTCCGATTATGATTATGATGCTTCATCCCCCGCGCATCCCCAGTTCCCCCCGGGATATTCGTCCCCATAAACGCCCGCTTCGACTCGATACCCGCCGGCAACGTATCTCCCGTTCCCGTGATAACTTCGCCTGTGTGTCCGACATCACGCGTGGAACGGGGCAAGTCGGTGGCGTTGTCTGCGGCGAAGGCGGTTGAGGGCTGGGCGAGGCCGGAGTTCTCAAAGGCTGCGTTTTCGGCACGTTGGTCGGGCCGTGGCACGGAGGGGATGGTGTTCATTTTGCCGGCGTCGTTGGGGATTGTGGTGCCTTTAACGGCGAAGTCGGAGAGGCTGCCTCCTTGGTGGGGGTCTTGATCTTGGCCGACCATTTTGTTTTGCTAGATGGAATTGGGAGTTGAAGATTTGTGTGGTTGGATGGTAAGAAGGCGTTTGCGGAAAATCCGATGCGAGGATGGATTGCTGGTAAAGAGGCAGCTGTTAGATGAACGCTCGAATATATGTACTTATGTGCCGTGCGAGTTAATCTTAGTTAATACTTCGATTCCATGATTTTGACTGGTTGATGTCACTGCGCTGCAGGATTGTCGGGATGATGAACGGATGATATCACACGACAACTTGCCATGACTGGGTGAGACCTTCCACGAATGAGAGGGAACTAATTTGGATGATAGACCAGCGAGATAGATTGACTTCCGGTGTATGCTTCTTGGATGCTGGTAATCTGGGGTATTCTTGGAAAGTATTTGGTAATGACCGAATGGTCAATATCAAGCCCTAAACAGGCGGGACGGGTCTACATGTAGTGCTATCCGCAAGCGGGGATCTTCTAGCAGAACAAGGACATGAATTTGCGGACATCCAAACCGGTACTATCAACCAGGACAGCTATTTTGATACTATTTATTGAAGGGATTGAAAGGGAAAAGAAGAAAGCAAGTTCATGTTTCAAGTAAGTACTCGTGACACCTCATTTCGAGACGGACATTCAACATTAGACGACTCAATCAGCGCAGAGGTTCACAAAGCTATACGAAAAGACACATGACAGGGAAAGAAAGAAACAGAGAAAAATACAACGACTCAGTGCACTTCTCCATCCCTCTGACAGGGCAATCCCGCAACGAGAGATATTATTACAGCACGAAAGCAAGAACACCAAAGACGGCAGCAGCGACCGAAGCGATTCCGCCAGAGACACGAGCAGCGCTGCCTTGGAACATGACGGCAGAGGGCTTGGCAGAGGGCTTGGCAGAGGCAGAGGGACGTTGCAGAGCATCGGCACCGCTGGGCAGACCGTGGCTACTGGACGGGGTAGCCATGGACATCATCACGCTGCTGGACGAGGGAGTGGCAATGGGGACATGCACGGGGATCACAGAGTAGACGGCGCTGGAGCTCATGGGGCGCTGGGGCGCGTATTTGTAGCTCTGGGACGGGGCGAGGGATGAAGGAGCAGCTGCAGCGGAGTAGACGGCGCTGGAGCTCACAGGGCGCTGGGGCGCGTAGTTGTAGCTCTGGGACGGGGCGAGGGATGAAGGAGCAGCGGGAGCGGAGTAGACGGCGCTGGAGCTCATGGGGCGCTGGGGCGCGTAGTTGTAGCTCTGGGACGGGGTGAGGGATGAAGGAGCAGCGGGAGCGGAGTAGACGACCTTGGGGTCGGTGTTGGACTGCTCAGGGATAGCGGACATGGGCACTGCGGCGGAAGTCTGGACGACCTGGGCCACGGGGGTCGCGTAGACTGTCAGAGTGGGGTGTACCTCCTGGTACTGGGTCTTGGTCACGGTGTGGACAACCTCCTCCACCTGGGAAGCGCATTGAGGAACCTCCTCGTGTTCCTCACTGGGCTCAGAGGGAGGGGCGGGAGCAGCCTCAGGGATCTCAGAGATGGGAGCCGATGGAGGAGGAGCAGGAGCAGCCTCGGGGATCTCAGGCTTAGGGGCAATAGGGGCGGGCTGCTCCTCGTGAACCTCGGAGATGGGAGCCGATGATGGAGGAGCAGGAGCAGCCTCGGGGATCTCAGGCTTAGGGGCAATAGGGGTGGGCTGCTCCTCGTGAACCTCAGAGATGGGAGCCGATGGAGGAGCAGGAGCAGCCTCGGGGATCTCAGGCTTAGGGGCAATAGGGGCGGGCTGCTCCTCGTGAACCTCGGAGATGGGAGCCGATGATGGAGGAGCAGGAGTAGCCTCGGGGATCTCAGGCTTAGGGGCAATAGGGCCGGGGTGCTCGATGGGGGCCTCCTCTTTGTAGGTCATCCATGGCATCTGAGGAACCGCAACGGCAGGACCGTGGACGTGCGTAGTGTCCACCTTGATGGCGTGGTTGTCCTCAGAGTGCTCGTTCACGTTGCTGTCGACACCAACGGAGGTAGGGTTACCGAAGCTGACACCACCGTCCTCGCCAGAGGGACCACCCAGGGCTGTGCCACCGCCAGCAACACGGTCAGGAGAGTAGGCACGGCGGAAGGGACCACCGTAAGGAATGACAGGACCGGGGCCACCACCAACTGGGAAGGTGGGAGGAGAGTAGACATCGTCGTGCTCGAGATCGATGGAGTGGTCATCCTCGTAGTGCTCGTGAATACCAGTGGTAACATCGACAGTGATAGGAGCGGAGAAAGTCTGGCCACCGTCATTGCCAGAGGGGCCACCTATGGCAGTACCGCCCTGCAAGGGCTCCCAGTCACGCTTGAACGCAGCAGGATAGATGTCCGTGTTCTTGACATCGATAGAGTGATCATCCTTGCTGTACTCGTTCACACTGGTGTGAACCGACGCAGTGATCGGGTTGCCGAAGCTGATTCCATCATCATCGCCAGAAGGACCACCTTCAGCAGTCCCGCCAGAAACGAAGGGACCCTCGAATCCATCGGGTGCCTCATCGTCACCACCACTGGGACCACCCAGGGCGGTACCACCGAACTCAGGCTCCCAGCGCTTCTCGAACGCAGTAGCGGGAATATGGTAAGGGTCTCCGTTAGGGTTGGCAGTCTGGCGGAAACCAACAGGGGGACCTCCAAAGCCGGCAGGAGGGCCCGCTGGAATGAAGTCCGGAGGTGGGTGGGTGTCGGTGTCCTTGACCTTGACGGAGTGGTCGTCCTTGGCGTACTCGTCCACGGTAGTTTGGATATTGGCGATCATTGGCATATCAAAGGTCTGACCCTCGTCATTGCCGGAAGGGCCACCAATCGCGGTGCCTCCGTAGTGCGGGTACTTGCGCTTGGGGAAGGGGCCCTCGCCAGGTCCGAAGACAGGGCGAAGTTCTGGGTAAACATCAGTCTCCTTGATGTTGACCGAGTGGTCGTCCTTGGTGTACTCATCCACATCGGTGTGGGTTTGCACGTTGGCGCCAAAGGGACCAGTGAAACCGCCATCCTCATCATTGCCGGAGGGCCCGCCCATGGCAGTGCCGCCGACGTGAGGGTAGTAGCTGCCAGTCTGGATGCCCTGGCCGTTTGGCTATGGAGTTTGTCAGTAATCTTGCGCTTGCCATTTGCTGTCCTCAAACTCACAGTGCCGTGCTCCATGGCCTGCGCGGCCGCAGCCAGCAGGGCGATAGGAATTCCACCAACAAAGCCCTTCATGGTGATGAAATGTATAAGATTTGAAGATTACTGGGCAAGAACCGGAGCAGCTGTCTGTAGTTAAAAGAGTGACTGTATCTGAAATGCTGCGGAAGCACGTAAAAGAATGGCAGAGTTAGTTAGAAAAGACTCCCAGCACGTCGCGACAGCCAATACTCTGTGGCCGAAGGAGGTCAATAGACCTTTAGTACTTGGTTAGCATTCATGATCACTGGCGCTCTCGCACGATGGAATGTGAGTCTCCAGCAAGAAACGGGACATCACGGCCTAGCCAAGGCAAGCAGACCCCACCAGAATGCCGCTGGGAATGGGAAACAACATCCACGTCGCAGGATAAACCCCCTGGAGCCATCATCAAAATGCCGGATCATTTCCCTGCGTGGGCGATGTTGCTACATTCCTCGGCCCGTAGACAGGGATGGTCACCAGGCAATTGGTATTCACGAGGGCCAGGGAAGGGGGTTTAGTTGGTCCTAGACTGATCTGATCGTCCTTGAAGACTTGAACCCCACGGTATTACTACTCGCCGGGCAGGGCCATAACGGGGTGGCCCTTCGATTTGATCGGAGTCCTGGGCCAAAGGGGTTGCAAATATGGGCGGCTGGCCCACGATGGTGATGAGATTTTAGGATGAAACATCATCGTGGCCCTGGCCACGGTGCCCAGTGTGGAATTCCAAGTGATGTCAATCAACACGCTACTGGCGGTGCATAGACCACATTGGTGTTCTCGTACACACAAGAGGTTGATATGGAGGGTGGTGGATGGAAAGTAATAAAGTCTGTCCTCCGGCAGCCGTCAGGACGGAACACCGGAGAGATGCGTCCAACTCCCAACGCAACCACGCAGATCCAACGCAATTCTGGAATTGAGGCTCTCTGCAATTTCACCATTTGCTACTTGAGTCTACGAGGATGATTTCAGTCTCTCAGCGAATAATTTCTCTACTGGGACTCTAATACAACCATCGGTGTTGGGATTTAGGGATGTGTCCCGTCTTCGACATTCCCCTCCCATCGCCCTCATTGAAGAGGACCCAACGGGAGGCGAACTTCCTATCGGGGAAGTTTCTCTACAGAGCCGATCAGCCCCGTAGGGCCGAAGGCAACCCATCGCCGTGAGAGGTCACGAAGACAGAGCGAGGGTCGTGGCAGGCTCTGATGCTTTTTTGATGAGGAAAGAAAAGAAGAAGGCTGAGAATTTTCGTTCCGCTTTTGTAGGTGTGGGTGGGGTCACGTGGTCGGCCCGTTGTTGTTCCTGCAGTGGAGCCTTCTTTAGTTTCTCAACAACTTTGTTTAGCGACAGACGCCAAGGTCCAGCTACTTTTACGAGACATCGTATTCAGCGGATGGAGAGAGAGATATGTGTGGTCTGATCTTTCTTCGCAGTTGTAAAGATCACATAAGAATAAACAGTCGAGCCAGTGCAGGCAATGTACAATGCAAGTGCTGCGGCTTTCCATCCTCTTCCCAATGAGACCGTGAGGATAGTCAACAAAAGTAACCTTCGCCATCAAGCCACAAAAGTCCTTTCGCCTAAACGCCATGCAACCGTGGTTTTCGCCCATTGAATCAAAGAAAACCAAATAAAGTGGAAGAATACTTGCGAGTTGGGCGGGGGTATAGGAAGCCCGCCCAAGCCCAGGTAGAAACGAGCGGCCACCCAAGATGTCGCGCTAGGCAAGAAATTGAGCCGAATTCTGGGGCAGATAGTCAGTCAGCATCTAGTATCACCATCGTTATTCTTCTTCGACTTTCAAGAACTCACCTATCATCCGCCGAGAGCTGTCTGCTCTGCACTGGCTCTCCAGGCTGCTCCGCCCACCGCCGCCGTAATCCCCAAGGCGATGGCAATCATTGTGCCCACCGTGACCACTGCCACAACCGCTTTCAAGGCCATGCGTTGCCGTGAAGTCAACGATTGCATACATGACCGAGGCTGATTCTCGCCTTCCCACAGCTTCGAGCGCCGCGGGCTATCATTCCGTGTCACAAAGTACGGTTCGGCATTCTCAATATCCCTCAATCCGCTGTGCTCGCGGCTGGCGTTCTTGGTCTCCAAGGTGAGCTGCTCATAGGAGATAGTAGGCGATCCATGGCGGTAGAATGGCGAGTACGGTTTCGCTCCAACATGCGGATCAAAGTCCTGGCTGCGGTGCTCGTGGATGGACGGCGTTGACTGAACGGAGGCTGAAGGGGACTGGATCATCGGCGTCGAGGTGTGCTTCTCATCATTGCTCTTGATTGACACGGCCACTTGCGCCCCAATCACCCCGAGCCCGTGCAAGCTCATCGCGCAGCTTGCAAGAAGTCGACGGGCGAGTTGGGTTTGGATATCCCCGAAATCAGAAGATCTTGGAGAGCGAGATTCAGCGAGATCTGGAATTCTTTCCTGGAGGATAGACTCGCTTCGAAGTCTGGCGCTTAGAGGTGGACTTGGTGGTCGACTTGGTCTGGGGGGTTGCTGGGTAATTTCCTTGATGGGAAAGGCTACGGTTGGGACACCCCAATACATAAACAAGGTTGTATCCACCTGGAATGCGTTCCAAGTCCAGGAGCAGGAGGCCCGAGACAGTCTCATCGCTTAATGACGAAAACGGTTTGGTAAAATGGGGTAAGTGGCAAACTAGTTAGCTGGAACACTAGTGCAGCATATTAAGCCGATCCAACCTGCTAGTTGAGGGAGAAAGCACGCGAGTCACGCTTTCCAAAAGTTTGTGATTCAAGGCAATTGTTTTCCATTTCTCGGCAATAATCTCCCTAACCTGCATTTTGGATTGAACAGAAATTTAACTCGAAGAGTTACAGTAGCCTATGTACCGACGGGGTGTTCCAGCAACGCGTTTTCTTTCCCGACATGCAAGGTGCCGTTCGCCATTTGTTTCCATCCCTGGATTTGGGCATCCGGTGCCACTTTTAAACAACATTCCTATCTCTTGCGAGAGGAAGGGATTTTCTGCCCCTGGAAAACGATAAAGCTATGTAATTGGCAGCTCGTGCCTTGGGCGCATACCAGAGATTCAATTCGGTCGGCCAGCTTTGCACGGCCGCATTCGTGGCCACGAGTCCATCCCCCCTTTTCCGTCGAGTTGGCTCGGTTAGCGCAAACCTTCTCTCAACCAAGGTAAGGCTCAGAAATTAAGTTGTGGGTCAAACCCCCCAGGCCTGCCCAGTGTCTTCTCCTCATTTGTATTTGTTTGTCACAGTATTATTCTTGGACCTAACAGGTCATGTGCTCAAGTAACAATGATTTAACACAATCAGACAGACAGCTATCCCAATCCTCAATCCTTTGTGTGCACTAGATAATCATAGCCTACATATGCAGTGTCACCCACGCAGTCTGACTTCGGTATGATCTGTCGGCTGCTTTCAAAAGCAAACATGAAGATCGATAATCCGGAAAAGTTTACCCGAACTCGGGTGGCGCGAGTTGAAGAAAAAGCAATACAATATGGGCGATAGTAATAAGGCAGCGGACATCATTGAATCCGTATGGCGGAGTACACATAGCCGGGTGGAATTCAATTTCTTGTATCGGTCCCTCTTTGATCCTAAACCTAGGGTTAAGTGGCGTTGTTAGGCCGTGGTTTCTTCCGACTTAGCATTTACTATGGGGTGCCTCTCCGCACGCGATGCTCGGACCCCCACGTTAGGATACCCCAACGATCGGGACATCCATGGCCCTTTTACGGTCGCCATCAGCACCTCGATGTTACATGTAGTCATTTTCCATCCCTTAGCAATGGATGCCAATTGAAGTTATTCACTGCTGGTACTCTTGTAGTATGCTATTCTCTACCCTTGTGTGAAAATTGGAGTGGATTTCGTAGAGATTAGCGGCAACATCCCGCGCAATATATATCAAACTATGCGCTCTCCCGGCTGGCACATATCACCCAGGCAGGTAGGAGCTGCTTTTCAATCTGCGGAATCGGTTGACAATAAACCTTACAAAGAAGAGGTGACCAGCAGAAATACGGACACAATCTTCTTTACGAACTTGTTCGTTCGAATAGGTGTCGTTCAACATCGAAACAGTGGACGCTGGGGTAACAGCCCAACGTCGCTTACTGACTTAAACTATCCGCAAGACGTATTCTATTACAATAGGAGAGAACTCCAGATAATAGGTGTTCACTGCTTCTCCTTTTCGTAATTTATACCAGACGTTGAGTAAGGAGGAACAATCATAAATGCAGAGGTAGGTAGACCTCTCCTAGTGCCGGTTGGCCTCGGAGAGTGACTAGACCTGCATTAAATCATCACCATGGAATTTCCAAGTCATCAGGCTTGCCCATTTGTATCCTACGTGATTGGATATTCCGAATGCGTTACGACCAAAGTTCACGGTTAGGGCCGATCAAACCACACTGAGAGTGAAGTATGATTCTTGAGTCTTCTCAAAATTCAATCACAGTTCATGGTCAGGAAGCATCCGGAAGAATAATTGCAACAAAGCATTCGGGTTGATTCGCAGTTTCAAGTGGATTCTACTTTATGTAAACATAATTCAGATCTGACCTGCTCTCATCATCCCTCACTTGACTGTGCAAATAGCACCATGGAGAGATCAACAAACTAACCATATTAGCAAAAACCCTTATAGAACGGCTAGTCAAATACTTACTTCCAATAACACCATTAACAGGTATATCAATCGAGGTTGTGTAGCTTGCAGCATCACTCAGCAGATACACATATGCGCCGCCAAGCTCTTGAACCTCAGCCAAACGCGGGAATCCTCCGTAGTATTTCAGCTGCTGTTCCCAATCGGGCTGTTGCGGCACCCAGTATGTCATAGCAGTGTTGACCAGACCGGGTGAAACACTATTTACCCGGATGCCATGGGGTGCCCATTCCATAGCGAGTGTATGGGTCATGTTTCGGATCCCAGCCTTTGATGCTCCATAGGGGGGTAGATGGCACGCGCTGCGAATGATTAGCTTTTATCACTTGGTAGAACCAACCATTTAATGAACAAACCCGTCATAATAGCTTGTGAGGTGAGGTGGATAGAATGAACAGACCTTGTTAGGACGATAGGAGGCCATCGAAGCAGTAAACACGATTGATCCATTGATTCCCAGCTTGATGAATGCTCGTGCGGCGCACCTGGCTGTGTAGAATGCGCCAAATAACTGTTTCATTACCGGGTGCCAGTCAGTAAACAAATTCTCCTTCAATAAAAACTCTGTGGTAACCCACGTTCACGGAAAACAGCGCCTGGATTTCCTCAGTCGTAAAGTCCAACGCTGCTTTGTGATTCGTTCGTCCCGCATTGACAACAATTCCATGCAGCGCCCCAGCTTCCTCGACAATCTTATCCACTGCCCCCGAGATACTGGCTTCCTGTGTCACATCGGCTTGGATTGCGAAAAGCTGGCCAGGGAAGCGTTTGGATAGGCTCTCGAAGTCGTCGCCAACTTCGCCTATGTCGATGGAATAGATCTTGGCTGCACCATTTACTAAACAACACTCGGCAATGCCTAGCCCAATTCCACGATTCGCACCGGTAACTAATGACCGGTCAGTATTTGTATGAATTCCTTTTGCAAGAATCCCAAAAGAATCGGATTTTGTAATCACGGACTAGCAATGACTTTTGCGTCGAGAGCAACCTTAGTTTGAGGCTCGGAAGGAGCCGACTGAGCAGGGATAGACGTAGACATAATGTAGATTATTGATTGAAAATAAAAGTTACCATGCTAAACAACCATGTGTTGCGCCCAAATGCTGCTTTTGTAGTTCCGAATGAACTCGGGGGGTACTGATGCAGGGATGTACCTTAGGGTGAGGGTTATCGTCTCGGGGCTACAGATTTGCGTTTGGGAACACAGGATGTGGAATCTGGTGCCAACCCCACTGCCAATCATCACAGTTTCCGAGTTGTCATTGACATAGCCCATAGAAATTGATTCTTCGGCGTCATCGATGATTTGTTGCAGTCAAGGTGGATCGTTTGTGCCTCGATGCGAGAACATTACCCCGCACTGGAAAACAAGCGATGACTGCGAAACCGGCCAAGCAGTATCAAGTCATTCTTAGAGATCAGGACCGGAACGAGGTCTCGAATTGACAGAAGTAGAAGTACTCCATCGCTGAAAGAAGACTGCATGCAATAAACAAATGACCTCTATTACCCTGCAGCCACTCTGTCAGCCGCAAGTTGCCGCTGGCCTGGCTTGATGAGTAGGAAAACTGCTGGAAGTTGCACAGCCGCAAATCCAATCATGACCCTCAGCTGTGTAGTGTAACTTTCGGCCAAGACACCCTTGACCTGCTCCTGTAATTGTGGCGACAGGTGTGTGATTGATTTCACATTCTCAAGAAACAAATGTAATTCGTGCGATGATAGGACACCTTTTAGATGATGTGAAAGGTGGCCATTAAGGATATTCGAGGCAATGGCGAGCCCAATAGCACCACCCAAAAATCGAAGCTGGACCACAGTACCAGTGCCAATCGCTGAAAGGGTCACGCGCGATCAGTTAGTTATGAAACAAGCTCGTATTCAATAGGAGTCACCCAGAAGAACACATACCGAGATCTCTATCCTCAACTATGTACGGTGTTGCTAGCATTAGAACACCCAAGATCAAACCCATACCGATACCAGCAATCACTCCATAAACGACATCCGTTGCGTGAAACCCCTTTGAAGTGGCAATGGTTGACAGGAGTCCGACACCGACGGTGTGTATCACGCAGCCCACAAGCAGAGAATAAATGAAAGGGATACGACCCTTGGAGCTGATAATATTGATAAGAGCAGCGGCAGCTGCTGCAACAGCAGAGTATCCGATGAGATAGATGCCCGAGTCGAGAGGCGATTTGTCTAGCAGGATTTGGGCTTGCTGTGGGACATACACCAAGACGACGTTGAATGGTGCACCGGTCACGAATGACGTACTAGCGTGACCTGTCAGACTGAATCATATTGTAGAGACAACGTTTGATCCAACTCACATGAGAATACCCATCCATGGACGATCAAAGAACCAACGCTTCGGAAAGATTGGGTCCTTTCCAGGAATCCCCGATATGTACCACTCCCAGGCAAAGAACGCAACCCAGGAAACTCCCGTGAGTACAAGGAGCACAATCGCACTGCCCGAAACCCATGAAAATGCAAGATTTGTTTCATTTAGGACTGTGACGATCAAGAATGATCCAATTATCATGAGTACCGATCCCACGAGGTCAAGGTTGGCAAAGGATCTGTATGATGCCCTGGTTCTGAAGGAAGGTGTGTGTTGATCAAGACCGAAATTCTTGGGCATCGCAATCATGATGATGGCGATTGCAATAGCACATAGCGGAGCACTTAATGATATCATCAGCATTGTTCCCAATGGTATCGTGATAATTGGCATACTTGATAAGGAAGACCCATCTCCAAGCCGAGTCCCCCGCAAGGGCACCTCCAATGATTGGCCCTATCAGGCAAGCTAGAGCAAGACAGCACGACATGATGCCACTATAGGTGGGAAGGCGTGTTTTGGGGCAATCTCGTATATGCAGAGAATTGCGAGCGCGTATGCACCGGCACCTCCAATGCCTTGAAGTGTTCGAAATATGATTCTAGAACGGCACGTTTAGATTGAGGATAGCTCGCGTCAAGCGAAATCGGGTCTTACAGTTGATCGACAGTCTGCGCGCAACCACATCCGATTGAAAATGCGAGCAGAATCACGAGAGCAGCAATTGTAGTCTGTTTCCGCCCGATTATGTCGCTGGCTTTTGTCCATATTGCCATAAAGCCTGGATTAATCGTGACATTAGCCATTAAGGTTTGATGCCGTGGCGCAAGTTACGGTACAGGCACGTCCAGCGATTCGTTCATCCAGGAGGCACGAGCCAAGAAGATTATATGGGTTGGTCGCAAATGTGATTCATACCTGTATAAGTGGCTAGATACCCGGTGATAATCCAGCTTCTTTTCTCAAACCCGTCTAGACTATCCGTAATGTTGGTGAGTGAAGAGCTCACAATTGTCACGTCCAAATTGGATAGGAAGAAGCCAATCAGAAGCCTGTCCGAATCTTTGGTAAGCCTTCATATTCCAGAATCCCAGGACCGTGAGGGACTAGGTACCCTATGGTAGTAAGGATGAGCCTCCATCCTGTCGGGTAAACGATTTCACTGCCAGGAGACAGTGTCCTTTGGGTCGACCCCTTTTCTTCACTCGTGATATTATCCCTCGTCTCCCTTCGAGACGGTCGGACTGCTTTTTTCTTCAAGGTCGGTTCTGCAAACTGGATATGGCTAGGCATGGCTGTCAGTCGGGACCCTTAGGGATCCTGGGAGCGTCAAGTGTAGGTGATGAGTGGAATGACAGCCATCGCTGCATAAGAGGAAGAAAATTTGGAACAGGACTGCTCACTATGTAGGACCAAGCCCCGCATATATTCACCCCAGGGGGGACCTCAAGTGGAACGCGGGAGACGCGTGATGACAGAATGTGGAATATTTATGGGCATACTGATCGTCGCCGATCATTGAACCTAGAGCTTGGCCTGGGTGGCTTGGCGCAAATCTGCCAAAAGGCTGAACCTATTACAAGTCTACATGACGAAACAAAATCTTTAAGGCCTTATCGCAAAAGTGAACGTGCTACTGTAATTTCTGGGCTTGATTGCTCTTTGTGGCTGGCAATTCTGGAAAGGGGGTGAACGGCCACTCCCTTTCTTAGGGGCCGTTTCATACCATTCACGATAGATGAATGCACTTTGTCAGTATCTCTCGATTTCAAAGTCAGTGGCCTGGATCTTCACAAACAAAGTCTCCTTGCTCGGCTTTCTTATCTGCCCCTGAAACATGCAGACAGGTTTAAGCTTGGTTGATTCAACGTCTGGAAGTAAGGGCTACGCACTGTCACAGGCCATATGAGGGAATGTGATTTTGCATACCCTGAGATAATGCCCTGCAACGTGCTTCTCCTAATGATAGCACGGGTTGCTTGATCCTTGGCAGATGGGTACAATTGAGGGTACAATTGACAGCAAAGAGGGTGTAAGAACAGATTAGTTAGTTGGCTTGGCTAGCGCTCGATAAACCTGCCACTAGCCGGGTGATCTGCACTTTAGTGACCCGACTCGGCCAATTATGTACTGACAGTACACATGAGCCTCGACATCCCCGGAGACATATCTAAAGAGTCAAATGAATATATTAAAAATAGCAAGACTTAAATGCAATAGGTCCTGCCGATATCAATTTGCAAATTGAGTGCCCTGTAATAAAGAGGAGAAGGCTATAATAGCTTTTTCAGAATGAAGGAGGAGTAGTAAAATGCAGAGGCTGCAAGGATAATCATGGCGGTAGCGGTACGATGGCTCATCAATCTCGAGGGCTTGGCAAAGATCGGTGACAAATTCAAGTCAATCAGTGCCCAATTGCCGATTTCAGGTCTCGACTTGACAGCATACATGCCTAAGATGCTGGTCGCCTGCACAGCCCCGAGTTCAACCCGGATTTCCAACTGGACTTCCATTATTAGTCACCCGAATTTTATGTTCAGTACTAGTTAACTAATCATAGAAATCTTCTCATATCACTCATCCATGTCAACATCACGGTCATCGTCATTATCATAATCACCCCAGAAGTCTTTGAGGTCCTCCGCTCGCCACGCTGTAGCCCAGCCGGTTTCACGCTCGATTTTGATCAGAGTCTCCACAATGGCCATATGTTCAGAGTAGTGCGACATGACTTTACCTGCAATCCACAAAGGCTGGAGTGCATTTGTCCAACAGCCACTGGAGGAAATATTCAGCGACATTTTTGATGATCAGAATAAATCAACACGACTTACTGGTGCATATTAGAGGCTGAGATAGCACATATTTGTCGCGCATGCCAGAGGACGGATTTGGCACTTAATCCACGCATTGGGGAGCTTTCATGCGTTGATCCGATATAATAAAGAACATTAATAGGAAGTCGCAGTCAAAGCTCAACACATCAGTCATAAATTTATCAGTCGTTAAGATCCTCCATCATATTGTACCAATCGTTATAGACAATAAGCAATATCGGCGCATGATTGGCCATTACCTATAACTTGTAGAAAAGCGGAGTGCCGCTGGTGCATATATGAATGAGGTAGAGAAGCAGAGAAATATGGTGAGCCAGAAAGGCTCCGGTCCTGTCAGCACTCCACGGCCGCTGCTAGTTACGACACGGATTATTTCTTTTTGTAACGGAATCTCTGAGATATACACTTGAAATACTCTTAGTATTCAGAGTCTATCGTGGGACGTAAATTGAACACTTGTCCAAGAAAATTCCATGCGATTGAGATCCAAAGATCATCCGCTGCCGTCATCCAGCCCCTCATCTGACGCTCTCAGCCTCAGCCTCAGCCCCGGAATTTCCCACGACAGCACGGAGCCTCCGGTGAAAGGGGCGGATGCAACCTAGTTCCAAAGTGCGCGAGCCAATAATATTCGCAGCTCCGTCCACGCAATTTTCAAGCCCATACAGGCCAGCGCTAAAGGTACCGAAAACTTGCTGAGTTGTCGTAATACTCTGATTTTTTGATACCCTTCGTAGGTTCGAGAACCCACTTCTCAATTTGATACTCGTGGTGTCCAATAAGATTCTGGGCTCGACGAAAAGAGAAGTCAACTGCGCCTAGCACAATTTCGGGAGTATCTCATCTGCACAGCGATACCACCATCTTTGAGCTCGTCGCGGGGGTTAGATAAATAAAACCTAGGTGCCTAGCTGGCACCCTATCAACGCCACTCTCGGGGATCCACGAAAGGCCCGAGGCTAAGTAATAGGTGGACACCACAATGGAGGCTACTGAATGAATTATCGAGTCTTATCAGAAGGCTGAGAATCTATGAGACGACGTTTCGTCACCTTGTTACTTGGAGTCCTAGAGCCGGACCACCTTGAGAACGACTCAATAGTGCCCTTTTTAAGGCTAGTCGACGATCTCTCAATGGCCTCTTAACGAGGCGGTATGCAGAGCTGCGTCTTAATGTCTGCTACCTTGTTTAAGAGTCTCTCTCAACGTTATGCACCGTAACGGACGTACTGTGCCCAGCGTAACGGGTGTTTTCAATATTCAGCGCTTTTCAAAACCTCAGGGACCACTGAGTGCACTAGCGGCATCAGGAGTCGTCGATTCGGTGGGAAATCTCGTGATTCCAACACCGTCCGACCCCGGACAACCCTCTGCAATTATCGGCTTCCCGTAGCCGCTTAATGTAAGCAAGAGCGAATACTTTCTGCTACTTATAGTGTTGGAATATGATAGTATGTCTAAGGAGACATTGGAGGTGGTTAAAAAGGTTAGATTCAAGGAGAGGCGAAGAGATCTCGAAGAGAACTAAGCCTAGATTGACTCCAGTATATTGCCCATGACGAGGCTCGAAGGCTAGTAAGATCTCTCGGTAGTTCCAGTCATGACCTATAAAATAGCTTGTGATAGCTATAAATGCCTGTCGAAAGGGTGATGTCCAGCAGTCTAATGCAATAGAAAGCTTAGCCCCGGTAGGTAGCTCTTGAAGGAGAGTACGCTGTCTTTCTGCCAACATTCCTTTAAGTCGGCGTCGGATAATATACGCAGAGGGTATTTCCGGGAAAGATAGAGCAAGCCTATGGAGAGTAGATATTTCCCGCTTCATGCACTAATTATATGAACCACGACTTCTACAAGGATTTTCCTCTAGGAGCCTCAAGGCTACTAAGTTCAGCCAGAAAAAGGATTTGTAGAGGACTAATGCTATATACAAAAAGGTTTCATTTAATTTCGGGTGTTCGATAGCTATATTGTGACTACCGTTGCTGTTGTGACCAGAACTGATGCAAATAGCAGTAAATAGTTAGTTAATCTAGATGAATCATCAATTTATGTGTCCGAAAAGGAAGATCTTGGCAAAATTATGCAATTCAGGTTCTATCAGGTGCGAACCTGAGTCGACCTGATGGAACTGCGATCCGACTCAGGTTCAGGTTCGGAATTCCAACCTTGGAACCTGAATCGGACAATTACGAAGCCTAATTATATGATGAATAAGCTCGAGCTGTAGGGTTTCGATGCTGGTTCTTTATGATCGACTTGGTTGGGGTTAGGAGCGGACCTGGCCGGTGTAAGTTTAATCCATTCTTGCTTCGACTTTGGTACCGCAAGGTCAGCAAGATAGTGTAACTACTGCGGTTGGGCGGCCGTAAGCCACGGTTATGACTGGTTCTTCTGAGGTACAACTACGTCACGTGAACCCCAGCTAGAACACCCAGAGCCTGCGTTCAGCCTCACCTTAACCATCCCCCGACTGGCAAATCACAACATCCTTCTTTTCCCCACGATCCCACAGATCTGTAGGCTATTCATTGCAAGGCAACTACCCTATCGGTACATTAGTAGGGTTCATTGTTGATGGATGCATCGTTGCCTTGCGAATAAAGGAGACCAGGCTATGAGTAAGCACGACGCCTAACTAACTAACTAACGTAATTCACAAGCGAGTGGCCCACACAAGCGAGTGGCCCACCCCACCTGAAATCGCTCATTCCTACCTACCTACCTAATTCAACCACCTACTATGCCACCAATTCGCACTGAATCTTCGCAAAAACCGGCCAATCAGGAGGGCAAGATCTTGTTAGCCCTTAATGATATTAAAAATGGCCGTATCGCATCTATTCGTGCAGCCGCGAAGCTATACGATATCCCCCCCAGAACGCTATCGCGGCGGGCGAATGGAACAATCTCACGCGTCGATACACGCGCAAATTCGCATAAATTGACCCAACTAGAAGAGGACTCGCTTATTCAGTGGATCTTCTCTATGGATGCGCGTGGAGCAGCGCCTAGGCCTGCTACTGTACGAGAAATGGCCAATATCCTCCTTGCAGCGCGTGGAACAACCCCTCCTCCGACCGTTGGTGTTAATTGGGTATCAAACTTTGTTAAACGACGTGATGAGCTTCGAACACGTTTCTCTAGACGATATGATTATCAGCGCGCTCTTAACGAGGATCCAAAGGCTATAAAAGAGTGGTTTTTGACGGTGCAACGCGTAATCGAGGAGAACGGGATTCAACCAGAGGATATCTATAACTTCGATGAAACTGGATTCGCAATGGGCCTTATATCAGCGCAGAAGGTTATTACGCGAGCAGAATACTACGGTCGGCGATCAATCCTACAGCCAGGAAATCGCGAATGGGTTACTGCGATCGAAACGATATGCGCTGATGGCTATTCGCTGCCGCCGTGTATTATATTCAAAGGCCAGGTCTATATCGCTGGTTGGTTTGAATCGTTAAATCTTCCTACGAATTCGCGCATTGAGGTATCGAATAACGGCTGGACTACTGATGAAATTGGCCTACGCTGGCTACAAAATCTCTTTATTCCATGCACTAATTCGCGCGTACGAGGGCGATTTCGGCTATTGATTCTCGACGGGCATGGTAGCCACCTAACACCTCAATTCGATCGAATCTGCGCTGAAAACGATATTATACCGCTCTGTATGCCTTCGCATTCGTCGTATCTACTACAACCGCTTGATGTTGGGTGTTTTGCTGTGCTTAAACGCGCGTACGGTCGCTTCGTAAGCGATCTAGCGCGGACTGGCTATAATCATATCGATAAGCTTGATTTTCTTGCAGACTATCCTCGCGCAAGACTAGAAGCTTTCCAGCCGAATATCGTTCAAAGCAGCTTCGCAGCTACTGGTATCGTACCAGTATATGCCGAAAGAGTGCTTTCTAAGCTTAATATATCCCTTCGAACGCCTTCACCACCATCAAGCCGACCAAGCAGCAGATCTAGCCAATTCACACCGAAAACGCCTAGAACGGTAGTTCAGCTACAAAAGCAGGCTAAAATGATGAGAGATCTAATAGATCAGCGGTCAAAAAGCCCACCAAGCCCTTTGAAATTAGTGGTTGATCAGATTCTTAAGGGCTATGAAATTGCGCTGCATAACACTTCACTAGTAGTGAAGGAGAACGCCGATCTACGCGCAGCGAATGAAAAGAAACGTCAAAAGCGCACTCGATCGACTAGGCAGATCGCTCACGAAGGAGGCCTATCGATCGAAGAGGGCCTACAGCTGGCTCAGCAGCCAATTCAGCCAGTAGAAGCTGATGAGGTAGTATCGCATGAGCAGGGCGATTTACCTACTCAGCAGGATCAGCCACGCAGGAGGGCTCCGCCAAGGTGTAGTGGATGTGGAACGATTGGGCATAAGATTAATCAATGTAAAAATCGCTAGTTTAATATTAATTAATGCATTTCTGTTGATATATTCGCCTTCAAAATATTGTAATGGGAAGGGTGGGCCACTCGCTTGTGTGGGCCACTCGCTTGTGAATTACGTTAACTAGTTAGTTAACGTAGTCCACGGCCGAGCTGGCCACCCACCCCAATTGCAAATTTTCAAAATTGATTATCTTAACCAACACCCATTAATTTAACTAGATAATACGATTTTTACATGAAGTAATCCTATGGCCAATTCGGCCACATCCACTGCAGGTAGGCGGAGCCCTCCTGGCCGGTTGAATCGGCTGATTAGGCAGATCGACCTCCTTATGCGATACTGTCTTATTAGCTTCTACTGGCTGAATTGGCTGCTGAGCTAGCTGTAGGCCCTCTTCGATTGATAGGCCTCCTTCGTGTGCAATCTGCCTAGTCTATCGAGTGCGCGATTGACGTTTCTTTTTATTCGCTGCGCGTAGATCGGCGTTCTCCTTCACTAGTAGCGTAGTATAGTGTAGGGCTTGATAGTGGCCCTTAAGAATCTGATCAACCACTAATTTCAACGGGCTTGGAGGGCTTTTTGACCGCTGATCTATTAGATCTTTTATCATTTTAGCCTGCTTTTGTAGCTGGGCTACTATTCTAGGCGTTTTTGGTGTGAATTAGCTAGATCTGCTACTTGGTCGGCTTAATGGTAGTGAAGGCGTTCGGAGAGAAATATTAAGCTTAGAAAGCACTCTTTCGGCACTAACTAGTACGATACTAGTAGCTACGAAGCTACTTTAAACGATATTCGGCTAAAAAGCTTCTACCCTTACGTGTAGATAGTCTATAAGAAAATCAAGCTTATCGATGTAATTATAGCTAGTACGGGCTAAATCGCTCACGAAGCGACCGTAGGCACGCTTTAGCACTACAAAGTACCTAACATTAAGCGGTTAAAGTAAGTAAGACGAATATAAAGGTATATAGAGTAGTATAATATTATTTTCGGTATAGATTCGATCGAATTAAGGTATAAGATAGCTACCGTGCCTGTTAAGGATTAATAGCCGAAATCGCCCTCGTACACGCGAATTAGTATATAGAATAAAGATCTTTTAGAGCTAGCGAAGGCCGATTTCATCGGTAGTCTAGCTATTATTCGATACTTCGATTCGCTAATCCCTAGAGAGATTCGACGATTTAAACTAACTAGCGATATAGATCTAGCCTTTGAATATAATACAGGGCGGTAGCAAATAGCCGTTAGCGTATATCGTTTCGATCGTAGTGACCTATTCGCGATTTCCTAGCTATAGAATTAATCGCCGACCGTAGTATTCTACTCGCGTAACTACCTTCTACGCTGATATAAGGCCTATTACGAATCCGGTCTCATCAAAGTTGTAGATACCCTCTAGTTGAATCCTATTCTCCTCAATCGCACGTTACACTATCAAAAACCACTCTTTTATAGCCTTTAGATCCTCATTAAGAGCGCGATAATAATTATATCGCTTAGAAAAGCGTGATCGAAGCTCATCGCGCCGTTTAACGAATGTTGATGCCCAATTAACGCCAACGGTCAATAGGGGGATTGTTCCACGCGCTGTAAGAAGAATATTGGCCATCTCTCGTACAGTAGAGGGCCTTGGCGCTGCTCCACGCGAATCCATAGATAGAATCCACTCAGTAAGCGAATCCTCTTCGTATTGGGTCAATTTATGGCCATTTGGGCGTATATCAGCGCGTGAGACTACGCCATTAGCACGCGTCTGTAAGGTAGAGCGCGGTATATCGTATAGCTCCGCTGCTGCGCGAATATATTTGATACGGCCATTTTTTATATTGTCAAGGGCTAATAGGATTCTGCCCTCCTGATTGGCCGATTTCTGCGAGGATTCAGTGCGAATTAGTAGCATGGTAGGCGGTTGAATTAGGTAGGGTAGTGGGAAGACGCGATTTTGGATGGGGTGGCCAGCTCGGACGTGTGGCCAGCTCGGCCGTGGATTACGTTAACTAACTAGTTAACATAATTCCCTGCCGACCGGAACACCCAGTCGTGCGGAACACCCTAAAACATCATACTAAATACGATATTTTATAACTTCACAAATTAACGCTCGAGGCTTGGTATATAGACTTAAAGTATCTTGGTGTTTAATATATCATAATATACATTTTTATTAGGTCAAGAAATATTTTGGAACGTGATAATGTAGGTATGTATATCTACGTCGCTCGATCGGCGCGTAATTTTGGTAATGGAAGTAAATAATCATTTCCTGAATATATCAGTTGTACTATACTGTTTTAAATGCTAAGAAATTCTTAGTATGATGGTTTACGGTGTTCCGCACGACCAGGTGTTCCGATCAGCAGGGAACTACGTTAACTAACTTAGTTAACATAACTAGTGTTCTATCCACGATGGAGAAGCAAACTATACTGAAGCACGACGGCAAGCAGGACCCAGTTGACACCACGGGTCTATGCCTGTTGTCTCTAGATGGCGGTGGTGTGCGAGGCCTCTCGTCACTCTACATCTTCAGGCATGTCAAGCCCGACCGGAGAACTCGATCTACAATGCACCTGCCCTCTGTTGCTTCAAAACGAAAACCGCTTTTGATTACCCTGGCAGCCAAGACACCGCGTTGTTCAGTATTAAGTCCTTGATTTTGAGGGCGGGTGTCTTGAATCTCCACCGAGCCCCACTGACTGATCAGAAATGAATCGGTGACGTCATTTGCTCTGGCTCAGTCCCTAACATAGCTTGATATTCGAATGCGTTTTTAGAGATAGGCCAAGCAAAAAAGTGAAGCTTAAACCAGCTTTTCTCCGAATAGACAGCATATCCCAACTTTCTGTACCTCGTAGCAGCTGCTCCTGTCCAAATAAGGCTCAGAGGACCGCAAGAAAAGTAGGCAGAAATTATATCGGTATGGTTAATGGCAGATAGCCCCTGAAATATTATTTCGACGAGTAATGTATCTGTTTAGAAAGTTTTCGTTGCCTACCTACTTGTGAAATTGAACGGGCGACCCGACCCATACGGTGACGGCACTTTTATGAGGGCGGTTAACGTGACATTTTTGTCTTCATAACGTAAATCGACACAAGACCACGATAACTTTTCGTGAAGAAAATCATGTCTTACAATACAGTGCTATTTCCAACCAGCCTTTAAAAAGCCACTCTCAGCCCACCATCTGACAACTACTGTTCCGTTCAAGAAACCTCAAAGAGCAAGACATCAACTTCTAATGGCTGCTTTAGAAAGAGCCCAGTTTAAAAAACCCTCCACGAGAATTTACACCATAAATGGAAAGCAACCTGTTCCAATGCAAACGCAAGGGTTGAGGTCTTGGTAGGTTCACTGAAGTCCTATTAGTTTCAACGACTGAAATATGGCATTAATTCATGAGAATCTTTTTACTAGCGACATGATCAAGTCAGAAAGCGTGGTAGAAGTTACGGTCTAGTCGATGAGCTTGCCAAGAATGCTCTGGAGCGTGCAGACCTCCGGCAATGTCTGCAATCGCACATCGAGAGACTCCTCGCAGTGGTCAAAACTAATAGTTCATTTGAAGAAAAACATAAATCGCAGCTTGAAGAAAACATCAGCGGAATTGACCTGGACGTGACCGTAAAGCTTGACCATATGGAGCAGGCTGTACGAGATCTTTTGCAAATTGTGAGCTACCTTGCAGAAATTCTCCTCCAGGTACTAACATCAACTCCATAGGAGCTTGCTTGGGTTTCCACAAACGAGGCAGCAAGTTTTAAGCGTCTTAGCTGGATTACCGTAAGTGAAACTTTCCATGACTTCCAGGGCTTGTTGGTAATCAAATCTCGATAGTTCATTTTCCTGCCGCTGATGTTTGTTTCGGTGAGTGGAGCGGTTTATACTCAAGATACCTTTTCTGAAGACCTTGACTGATTGGAATCCTTAGAGCCTGTTTGGCATGAACGTGGACTTTCTTCAAGATAACCCAGATTGGAGGTGGTATATTATTTGTGTGTGTGTCGCTTGTCATTACCGGCGTTACATGGTTCATTTCCAAGTGTATTCTCGTGAGTATCGTTGTTCTAGACTATATGATAGCAGAAACTGACACCCATACCCTAGCAAACGGTTCATGGCAAAGTGGTAGGGGAATGGAGAGTGTTCTCGCGCAGAAGAAGAGACAAGGCAGGTTCAAATTCTTCAGTATGATCTCAAAGAGCTTTCTTGTCTCGAGAACGCTTGGCGATCTACCTATTCGATGAGTCTTCACAAATTTCAGTGCATGGGAACGCCGTAAGCTATGTTGGGTCCGTCAAATTATATATCCTCCGCTCATCGTGTATGCTTCATGTATAACCGTGATCATAAAGATTTCTAGTCCCCGAAGTATATTCAGAAGTTAGGCAGAAGTCCCAAGAGGCGGGTTGCCAGGAGTATCTACGTAGCTTCTATCCTTGTCACAGCCCCCTAGAGCAATACCAGGCCTTCCAAGGTGAATGGAACCGTCCCCAGCACCCCTTCATTCAATCATGTATTAAGAAAATGGATATTCGGATCCGCATATCGGCCGACTGGAGAGGTCGGATGGTGTGCTGACTTTCGGGAAATCGGGCGACGTTAGCGGGGTGCCTGTTTCTTTGGCGTAGTTGTCGTACGCTGTCTCCCAGAGCTCTGAGAGCCTGTCGCCTGCAGCCATCTTAGAGAGCATTGCTGAAGTCTCCGCTTGTGGCTGTCTATACAGTACGATGTGGTAAGTATGGCGAGGAAATTGTTCACATCGATTGAGTCAGATTGCGAAGAGAGAGATGTCCTGGCTGAAATCCACTACCTCAGCCGCACTAATTGTGCACCTCGTTTGGGTTAGCTCTACAATCATACCTGTTCCAATCTCGACACCAGATTCTATCATCTCTTTTGAATTCTACCGCAGCTGATACAACCCAGTCGGCGTGGACATTGACTAAATTAAAAAAAAAAATTCTCCACAAACACGAACCATCCTGCTTTTTGTATTTCCCTGAGAGACCCAGGCGCTCTAATGAGCGCTACTTCATAAAACCATGCACTAAGTGAATGGTACCGCAGAGCGATTCTTGCCAAATATAGCTACTTTAGGTTCAAATCGGATACATGCCCTCAAGTTTCTGTAGAGGGTTTGAAGGTTCGCGCCGCTTATAGCTTATAGAAGAAAGATTTCATGTAGATAACCAGCTATAATCGCCCGGACGGAATGAATGTCCGTACTGTAGGAGATAGGACACCTGGTCCTCGCCAAGTGGCACTTTGTCGGTGGCGGAATGCTCCGCAGGCTCAATATGAGCGATCAAAGATGAGCTCACTTCGTGGTAACACTTAGTGACTGACTTACTCTACACGCACTCTGGCACCTCCTGCACAATACTCAAAAGGACCCGGGCCCGTTTAAGGATTAGCATAGTAACGGTACAGTTGCGAGATACTCTTGGGATCGAAGTCTGTGCCGACAGGGGCGGAATCAGCCATCTCAGCCCGTATAGTTGTTGTACCCTACTAAGATCTAATTACTTCCATAGGATAGAACCATAATTGGAACGAGCTTAGGCTCAGTCAATATCCGTTCGAACGATCCTCTAGAGTAGTCCAGCTCAGGAGGTCAGTACGGCGATCGCACGATCTGGGCTCATTCTCACCCGCGCTAACTCAGGTTCTGAACGTGTCCATTATGCACTCGCTTTCCTTACAGTGGCTTGCGCGAAACCCTATGTTGAATCTTCCCTCTGTTTAGAATCTTCAGCCGACGTGATCCCCCATTCCTCGCAAATTCGCTGCAGCCACTTATCGACTGGTAGGATTTCCTCGCCAACCTTGACATTGCCCTCCCCAATTCTCTGGCGCTCAACTGGATCATAAGCTGGAACGTGCAGCATCTCGTGATCTTTATTACAAGATTTCAGCTTGATGGTCCCATTCTGGATATCATCCAAGCACTGTTGGTCAAACTCGACGTAATTACAGTACTTGCAGATATAAAAGTTGTCTGCAAACGTCCAGTAGGTGCCACAGCCACCGCTGCAGATGTCTTTCAAGGGTCCCTCGAGTTTCCTCTCAGTTGTGTTAGAGGAACCGGAATTTCCAGCGTTTTCCGTGGCATCATAAGGAGTTATCAATGACCAAGCGGCGAGAGCGTCGGCATCCTGGCCTGCGAACATAAGATGGAGCGCCAGACCATGGTATCCTTGCCAGTCATTGAGTGGATCATCATCTGAAAGAAGGTCAAGGTTCAGCTTGATGTAGCCACGTAGGGAGTTCTTGGTATTCTGTTCATCTCCTTGCAGAGCGTAGTACCGAGCAAGAAGTCGCGCCGGATGCGTGCCGTAACCAAGATCTTCCATGCTCTTGAGTGCCGCGACAGTCTCTAGGCGCTCAAGATAAATTGCGGCAGTGTCTGGGTATTGTCGGGCTTTCTCGAAACAGACGATAGCGAGCTGTGAACGAGCAACAGCCTGTTTCCCTTCAATGAGCAAGTCGTCGGTTCCATTAATTTGGAGAATTTGTAACCACTGATTGATAGCAAATTCCACCCGGTCGGGGTTTCTGGCGCTGTTGTTGTAGCATAGAAGTGCAACCTGATGCATCAGATCGATCTGGCATAAATGCGCACTCCATTCCTCTGCGGGCCTGCAAGCCTTTCTTCCCTCTGCGACGCGTGCTTTGGCAGCAGTAATGGCTGCCTCGTAGCTTTCGAAGACGAGATTGAACTCTCGGTCGCTGCGAACTGATGCAAAGAGAGCTTCATGGTATTCATCCCGATAGTGATGGGTATGAAAATTCTGAGTTCGCCGATCAAAGCCACTGCTCGCATCTGTAGAATCTTTCAGTGACTGGAGAAACTCGAGCAAACGCTGGTAGTTCCCCTGCGTATGCAACAGCGTCATAAATGCAAGAGCCGTGTCATAGTCGTTGGGGATTTCTTGAAGTAGTTTCTCGTATATAGCAAGAGTAATTTCACTTCGGCCAAGCTCCTTGTTCCATTCAGCTAGGTTACGATTCATCTCCGCTAGCTCATCTTTGAGCTCTTCAGTATTTCCTCTTGCTCCAGTCTCAATACCTTTCTTCGCAGCCTCCAAGATTTCGATAGCAGTAGAAAACTCGTTCCTGCCGGCATAGCAGTCTGCGAGTCCCCACTGTAAGACCCAGTTATCCTCAGCGAGAGTCGACGTGAGTTTGAATTGTTCAATAGCCTCATCGTACTTGCCAAAGAGTTGCAGAGTACGTGCCAGGTTACGGTTCTCCTCATAGCCCAGAGAATCTAGTCCAATCCGTGCTTGAGCCCATTTCGCGGCATCTGTTATCTGGGAGGCTTGGATTTGCTCAGCGTCCAGATCGTTAGTCAATCTCTCGATCTTCGGGTCTTTACAATTCTCGATCTGAGGTATAGTCAGCTATTGATCGTTTCTAGGGAACGTATGAGTAGAGATTACCTTGGTGATGTACCCATGCACAGCATTGAACCTAAATGCAACATCCACCGAGCCAGACTGGAGCCAGTTGCGGGCAAGAACTCTGCCAATATGCTCAAGGAGATCTGCATCGGGCTCGGATTTAGAACTCAGACTCTTGATCCACTTTCTCTGCTCCTCGGAAATATTTTTGGTGACGGCAGAGTCCTGCAGCCATCTCAACGTGACCTCCGCATTTTCATCGTCATAGATCCATAGAGCCCGTAGCCAGAGACTGCTCACATTCCACCATCGGTCGATGACCTCGTCATCAACAAAAATCTTCACCAACAGCGGGCCAAGAGCGATTTTGTGCCGCGGTTGCGTTAACGAAGGGTCCGCTTTCTTGAGATGCTCGCCGAGACGAGCGGCCGCATACTCGAGCAAACCATCCAGATTTGGCGATGTCTTCGAACAGATGACCTCGAGGCACGCCGACGCTATCATCAGGTGTGCAGTCTCAGTGTCCACCCTGATCCGAGCGGTTGTCCTCTTCATTTTGCGCTTGAAAAATTCATCAAACCCGAATTTGCTGAACAGTGTCGGGTCGCAGACGGACTCGAGGAATCGTCGCACTATTCTCACTTCGACCTCACTGACATCTCCGACGGTATCCAAATCCCGGTCGTCTCTCGTGCCTTCAGAGTCGGAATTTGTGCGCAAGTAGTCCTCTATCAAATCGGACACAAGATGGACGTACGTGCCTGTAACGCAAAGCAATGAAGAATAGTGATCTCTTATTCTCTCCGTCAGTGGTCGGAGAGAAGTCTCGCGAGATTTGAGGAAGAGCACAGCCTCCAGCTCCGCGGGGGTGAGTGGACGGTCCGCAAACATGACCCACGTAAGCAGATGGTTGAGATCAGAGATATCCTCGTCGCTGAGCGTCTCGTTGAGCTTGTCTATCTTTCTGAAAATCGTGTCCGATCGACTTTCTCCCGCTCGGACCAAAATGTCTCGGATCTCGCTAGGGCGTTGTTTGCCGCTGATTTCGTCTAAAAGGAGTCCGACGTTGACAAAATCGCCATTGGTTTTTCTGGTAAAGTTCTCCAAAATCTCGCCACGCAGAGCAATTACTTGGTCTGAGGATCCATCGAAAATCTCCATCTTGTTCATTCGGTCGTTGATGAAGCTGATCATATCGTCACAATTCTTGGACGCCAGGTCGATAACTGTGATTCCGTCTCCAAGTTGAGTCTTGATCTTGTCCATTGTTTCTGTTCGTCCACTCAGGAGAATACGAAGAGTGAATCGAGGCCATATTGAGGCTGTGGTTTGCCATTCCTCTAAAACCTGCACGAACTCCTTCAGGTGTTGCTTGTCCATCTGGTTAATTCCATCTAGCAAGATAAAGAATGTCGAGTCGCTCTTATAGGATTTGCCAAAAAGCTTCTCGCAAAGGCTCCCGATCTGATTAATACCGGCAATTTTGACTGAGCCCACATCCTTGCGATACACCACATCCGAGTTGGCAAGTTGCCATGCAAGCACTTCCAGGGCCTTGATCAGAGATGGGCTTTTCATCTCTTGCTGATCGAACATATAGTAGGCAATGGAGGTGCATGTCATATCCTCTAAATCCTCAGAAAAGACTTCTTGCAAGTGCTTGATGATGGCCGCAAAAAGGAATGACTTGCCATAGCCCTCACCCCCTGCGACCCCCAAAATTGAAAACCGCGACCGTCGGACATCTGCCCAAGCCGTGTACAACGGGTCGTGCTGAAGCCATTTTCCACTGCCTGGAACTGAGTCATTTAGGCGACATTTGTAAATCGCCTCAATATCCTTGTAAGTCTCGCTGGGTGTGTCGAGACTTGCATCAATTGTGCCCAGGTGCCGCTGCGCCGCATTATCGGCGTCTCTCTTCTTCTCGAGGGTGAGAAGCTTGTCCACCGAGGCAGTAACCTTCTTGGTTCCATCTCGGATTCCGACGATCGCTTTTTCGCTAGTCTTTTGTGACTCGAACCCCAAAGTTGCTCGCATGTGAGACTCGCGTTCAACCAGCAAAGCCAGTCGAGTCAATTGGCCGCTGACGCCTTCATCACTATCAAATGCAAACACCTTAAGGGCAGTGAAGAACTTGTTGCCCTTAAGAACCTTGATAGATAACGCACAAATGTCGACAAAACACACTAACTCCTCGTTAATAATCTTCCGGAGGGAAACGTCAACGGCATCAGCCGGCAAACGCATATAGATCTTGCAGCGCTCTAATACGTCGGAGATCTTCCGGAAAAGCTCAGCTAGACTGCTGAAAATGCGCTTGTATTTAGCCCCGGCAGCAACGAGGTACGAAATTGCATTGAAGCAAAGGCTACTAGGTGCGAAGACCTAGAATGCGGTCTTTAGTAGCAAGTACTGGCCTGTTCCACCAAAGATTATACTCACCATGCTAGCACCTTGAGCAGCTATACCCCCCAGCACCGTGATAAATGCCAGTGTCTTGCCTATCACATCCTTGGCAACCTTGAATTTGTTGTTTTTCTCGTCATCTTCATCTTGCTTAGACCGGATCTGGTCAAGGACTTCGTCGACAGTGAATTTTGGAGACGTGATGAGATCGACCTTGGTGGTCTGCGCAAATGCCCCACAAGCCCTATTCCATGCTTCCTGGATGTTATAATCGTCCTCAATTTCAACGGCGGACATCGTTTTGGTGGATCACAGTGACGGGTTATCAATTATCTCTTTTGTCTCTTCGCCGCGGGCAATTTATATGACAGGACCCGCTTTTCCGCTGGTTAATCGCACTATCAAAGGAAAATCATTTTCGCAGAGGTTAGTTCCAGTGTTTTATCGTTGCACCGAGCCGAAAACACCGTTGCCGAAAGAGAAGGGGCTGAGAGCGTTAGCGTGGCGCCGTTCCGCCAATGGGGATAGGGCATGGTCTTACTTGAGCACAAGGGGACATTCAAGACAGCCTCGCCGTTGATTTAGCCAATCCTGCGTTGAATTTGGACGGGGGTACAGACATGCCAAGAGACCGCGGTTTCAGCCGAATTGAAGTGGATCCAATAAGGCATTCAAATCCGATAAGCGGGTTTGTGCGACGGTCGCGAGACGGAGCCACGCGGTCTTTGCCATTCATTGCTCAAAATCAACCGCGGTATCGACACACTGTTACTGTAAGTGGCGTCGCTGCGGCCCTGCAAAACTGGCTTCCGCTCCCTTGTTCAAGAGTAGTTTGCCAATCTCTTGACAGTCACTGTCTAAGGCTGGCTATAGGGTACTGCCGTAGTGGCCGCCCTGCGCATTGACGTCCGCTTTCTAGTCCAAGGGCAAATATCTTGAGAGCTACTATATGGATTGATCTGGTGATGATAGGTAGTCATGCCTATCTTCATTTATCGACTAGTTGCCACACTATTTTCAAGAGTTCTTTGTAAGGGATTTTTGTTCTTATTCACAAATGAAACAAGAGCATTAACTGCTTCACCCCCTAATCAGGGCTTAATTCCTGTATGCCTTTAGATAGCTGTGGTTATCAGGTGATACGCAACTGTGTATAGGCGCCGTCTCAGCCGAAAGTCGGTGTTACGGACCTCAAGTACCATGGTTAGTGTAATATCTCGAACATGGCAAATGTATTACAGTGCGAATCACAAAAAGACTTTGATGTTGGTGAGAGGAAAATTCGTTGTGATGTAAAGTCATTATTCCTCCCATTCAGTCAGTTTATGGCTGTTAGTGCATAGAATTGGCTGATGAACTGAGCCCTTAAGCCGATTGTGTAGCATTGTGATAGGAATATCAAATCAACGCGCCGCTTCACGAAGAGATGGAATTTCGCCATTTTTCAATGCTTGGATAGCAAGTAGGATTTGGCCCTCCTGTTCCACTAATTTTTGACGCGATTGAGTGCGAATTGGTGGCATGGTAGGCTGTTGAATAGGGGGGTTGGAAAACGCGGTCGCGTTTTGGTGGGGCCGTCCAGCTCGCGCGTGTCTCTAGCTCGCATGCGGGTTAAGTTATTTCAGCTTTCCTGCCTCCAATTTTCAATAATAGGTAAAAATGAAAATAGTTTTAGAATCTGGCGGACGCGAGCTTCTCTTAATACTAAAATCCTTTCTATCTGGGTATTGCGGTGTTGTGGTCACCAGTCACAATTTGCCTGTTGGTAGTTGATACTTTGAGCCACGCTGCAATTTATATGTGCCAAAAAAGAATTACCGTTATTAGTACGTATGTGGTGCTAATAGCCCCGTGACTGGAATCACGTAACTTTATAAGAATTAACTGAGTAAGATTGGACTTTATCTGACAAGGTTTGTTATCTTCACCTCCGGAATTAGTTCATCGTGGATGGTTAACTTACCATTCTGACCAGCCCCATGCCTAAGCTCGCAGTTCTAATCGACGCGGATAATGCACGGTACTCGGTAATCGATCTCCTCCTGTCGGAAATCGCAAAGTATGGCACAGCTCATGTGAAGCGGGCGTATGGCGACTGGACTTGCCCTCATCTGAAGGGCTGGAAGGACGAGCTCCTTAGGCAATCGATACAGCCGATCCAGCAATTTGCGTACACCCACGGCAAGAATTTGCCAGAATATACTGTAATCAAAGACACTACATCCCGAACTCTAGATGCTGAACGCTTAGACAGTTTAATTACTACGTCCCCTATAAAGATACGATCTATATCAATAATCGGCTCAAGACCTCACATAAGAATGAAAATAAATTGACCAACGTATGCCAAGCGTCTACTCAAACAAGATGGGTACTGTATGCTTGATCTCTCCGAACTAACAATCAAGCCCCAGCAAGAACCAACTACTAGTCCAACCCCTTTAAGGTAAGGCGATTTAATCGAAGTACGAATTACGCACCTATTCGTAACCTTTATTCTTGTTATTTCATATGATAGACTGGGAAAATATTATAACTCTCCACCCTCCGTCTTGGGTTCTTAGAAACGCAGCAAACACACATTCGATCCATCGGACATAAGGCCCTGATAACCTTCGAGTTTTGTGAAGCTTGTGACAAGGTACCAGGTAGTCTGAGAGTGCGATGAAACTTCTATATCTCGACCGACATCCGCGACGAGCCTTTCATTCGCTCAGGCCCGGACATACTGAACTAAATCGACTACCAAAGCGCAACCCTAACCATCAGAAAATTCTGCACTTCTGCAGGTAGCCAGCACTTAAATTACTTCACAGAGTTTCGGGGGGGGGGGGGGGGGGGGGTTTGCTCAAATGCAACGCAAGTTCAAGCGGCAGATCATGGAGCGATGACAATTGCTCGAAGAGCAAAAAAATCCTCTCTCGCGGAGTGTATTCACCATTTGCAACTCCATCTCACTGAACAGATTGATCAATCAACGCACATTACCCAAGAACAGGTACTTGGAATAATTGCACAGCGGTTCCCCAAGAACAATTCGGTGATAAGTGCAATTCCGGCGGCGGCGGAGTGTATCCCGGAAGATTTAAAAAAAGACCTAGTTGTCAGAGCGCAATCCAAGTCATTCAAAATAGCTTTGGTACTGTTAAAGACGTGGGTGAATTAACGTTGTGACTCTCTTTCTCATACTGGTTATTCAACGTTCTTTCTAGCATTAACTAACCAGGAGATCTCTATTGACATCTATAGACTCCGGGCAGAGCGCTACTGATCCAAATTGATCTAATTTACCGCACGAAACTATGGCGGAGTGGGTTTTTATTGAATCAGCTAGTCCTTAGTGATAGAATCCCTCTCAGATTGATAAAGTACAAGACAGCTGAGCATCCGGTGTACATCTTGTCAAACACGATTTCCCGCAAGACTTTCTGGTAGCATACACGTACTGTTGGCCGGTAAGAGTGGCCGCTAGAGCAGTTTATCCGTTAATGGAATAGGCTGCTTTACCTAGAAATACTCGTTACGTGTCGCAAAATAAAGATTACTCCTCCCTGCGTAAACGAGAATTTGCGAGGAACAGTGTTCATACAAAGCGCTGTTAGTGGCCAGCGGAAATCGAGGAGTGTATTGCTCAGGCTCTTGAATAACCGGACCTATCTCACTGCAAAATTGCCGTTTCTCATGATCAAGCCACTTCGGTCGAGGTCCAAAATATGTACTCCTACCACAAGAGGGATACAGCCAGCCTGCAGTATTATAGGATAAGGCGGTCAACATTTTAACATTCAATCGGCTTGCAAATTGGCCCCCGAGTAACTAGTCAGTTAGTTAACTAACGTTAAGTTAGGCAAAAAGGGTAGAGTATTCCCAGACGAACTACTTGACTGGGTCGCTGCGGGGCGGCCCGTTGCGAATCGTAACCTAAAAGAAATTAGTCATGAGTGTCGAATCTAATATTAATTACTCGGGGACGGTAGCAGAGGGCAGTCCTCTTGACCGTGGTCCCTCAGAATCTCAAATTGCATCATATACTCCGTAGTAATAATCCATTTTTTCGGATGATTACCTGTTTGCAGATCATGTGATATGCACCTGCATGTATCTGGAGGAAGCCCCGCACACACGACAACATTGAGAAATCTGACTTTCCCAACCACTTCATTCCTCTTCCACCGGTAAAATTAGAGTCCTTTTCATCCTTTATTTGTCTTTACTTCGGTATCTTTGATTACTATTACTATGGCCACGACCAGGGGCTCAGCGGCCACCACCGGCCGACTCCACGTACTACGAGATCAAGTCGATCCTTCGCATAATGGCGTTGAGTAAGAAGTGACTACCACCAAGCAAAGCCAGGCTTCCACTTATCCTTAAATCTAGCATAGTTCTTATTCCAGGTATTAGAACACCTTTGCCAGTGACCTAGCCCTTTGCTAATCTGGAGTGGCTCACTACTCTGCCTGGCTTCGGTGCTGGAGCACGTATCCTTGCTTACGAGTATCCCTCGCTATTTAGGGGTAATAAGCCTTTATAGGAGCCAATCTTAATACTAGGCTATGACCTTCTTGAGGTTTTAAGTAACGAGCGATCGGGATCCGATTTAGACCTGGTTAGTGGATTCTATAGGATATATTCTCCAATATCCGGTATCCTTACTGATGTGCCTTTTCTAGATCTCTAGGAGGCCGATTTTCTTGGTCTGTTACAGCTTGGGTAGCCTTATAGTCAAGCAATCTTTGTGCGTTGCCAACAAGCAGTTTTCTTGGTACGGATCAACTGTCAACTTTATCGCGGGCGCTATATTCCTAAGCACTCCGCACCGGTACGGCGACAAAATAACAAATCTAGTGCGATTTCGAGATATAGTAGAAGCAACAACTAACAAGGCTTTCAAGATTCCGAATTCTAACATTAACTAGGAAGGTGCTATTTTACTAGACCTTGTAGATAGATTTAAAGGGATCTTGTTTCGTACTCCTCTACTCTCGGTCTATAAACTAAGAGAATTAAGAAATAGCTTAATAATATTACGATAAAAATACTAATAGGTAACTAATTAACGAGCTACTTTTAAAGCCACGAAAGCTAATTCGTGTTCTAGTTAGTTAACCGTGAAGCCTGTTTAACCCACGCGCTAATAGAAACAATAATCGGTCTTAATCTCGACTATTTTAAGACCTGTCTCTTTACTAAAAGTACGGGTAGTGAAGGTCTGCTAGGACTGAACAAGTTTATTAACAAGTCTTTAGTTAACTCTATTAATCTTGTTGCGTTACGGTTCAAGGAACGTAGGTTATAGAGCCTCCCGAGAAGTCATTAAAACTTGCTAAGGGTAGTAGATAAATATTAATACGCTATAATAAGCGCCTACTCGCCTACTATAAGCGAATTGTAGCTCGTAGGTAAGGTTCTATTTATATACTTTCAATTGACCTCTTAACTTTACCTAATTCAATAACAAGGGCCTATAAAATGGCCTTCTCCCAAAGTAATAGAATAGATATCGAACAGAGCAACGGAAGGAACGTCTATTTCAGGCTTTAATCTTATATACCCCACCCCGTCAAATACGGAGACTAAGAAACCACTTCAATTGCCCTGTATCCTTCTCAACACGTATTCCGCGAATAAGGACTTTTGCGGTCGTGAAGATATTCTGGAACTCCTCGCTACGGAGCTTCTGCCTTCAAAATCAACAGCGACGGCATCAGGCAGCGGTCTAAGACAGTTTGCACTCTACGGTTTCCGGGGTATTGGAAAGACAGAAATCGCCCGCAAGTTCTCTCGGCGCCATAAAACGTCCTTCGACGCTGTATTTTGGGTGACTGCAGATGAGATTGCAAAGCTTGATCACCATTACCAGGAAATTTCGTTAGCATTAGGACTCGAAGATCCGGCGGAATGCAACCACATCGAAGTCGACATAGCAGCACCGACACCCCTTCATATCCGGTGCTGTTTGCTAATGCGGAATTGTCAAAGAGGAGTGGCAACCCAAGAACTTTATGTTTCTTGACCCCCAAAGAAATAGCTCTTGACCGTTTATTCTGCAATCTCGGTTCTTTACAATGCAAGATACGAGCACAATAGATAGTCAGTTGGACACGGTACCTGAGGCACTTTTAGAGTACTTCCTTGGTTTCGTCAAAGTCTATATCGGAATAATTGACTATGAAGTTAACGACGAAGAGAACGTCCGCAATTATATCCATCCATTTGAATTGAATGGCTGTGATCGATATAATGGCGAACATTACGTTTCTTCTGTAATAGACAAGGATGGTTTGTCAAGGGCAATGGAGTCTCAACACATATCAGTCAAAGAACTTTGTGATTCCAGAAATCCGCCTCTCCTGCGGCTTACATCTGGAGCCAAATTCAGGTGTGTCTGAGGATGTGACCTACTCGAGGCGGGTCAACGCTACCTACCTCCTGGCCAACGCTGGTGGATTACAAAAATTTACTCTAGCGGTAATGTGATGATGATTTCTTGAAAGCAATCGAGGTTTTTAACTTTTATCAGATATCCCAAACAATTTCTCTTCCTCAGATACATATATTGCTCAGATCCACAAGCGCAAGCCTATCCGACGTCATTTGCAATTATGAGAGATTTTTTTAGGTCTTTCTTCGGTCATCACTATCTTCTGAGTGGCGAAAGAGAGGACGCAATTAGTAACACGCGCGAGCCTGTCGACCCGTCAACGTTCTCAGTATCGAGCTTAGAATTAGACCAGCGATCAGAGTCTAGATACTCATCACCGGATCGTCGTTCACTCGCTCAGCATGATGGTCCATCCCGATCTTCTGCCCCATCGGAGGCCGAAATCTACCTTCAGGCTCCTCCGGGAGGGTACCGCCTGGCCTCCGTTTTCTCGCTACCTCCACACCCTGCTGAAATCGAGGAGCTGGACAACGAGAATTTGTGGGCTCCTGGTTTTGAGGAGAAGCGATGTCATGCACCTTCCAATAGAAGGAACAGAATAACCCGGCAAGCTAATGCCAAACAGATTCTCTCTGAATGGCTCCAGCAAAATGGGGATAACCCAGATGTTGTGGTATTTTATCTTTTCAAAAGCCACGAGTATTTCAAGTTCCGTAAAAATGATTTAATAACCATAAAAAGCTGGCTTGAGGATCTTTCACTTGGCCGTCAGCACTATTTTCTTGCTCTTGATGACGATAAACTCCGTACTATCGAAGCTGAGGATGCCATTACGGATGTGATAAAAGAACGTCTTATTTTCGTCAGCGATAAAAACAGCTTCTTTGTCGGTGATAAGTCAAGAGAGCTTACCCAAGGCATATCTCAGTCACAACTTGATGATTACATTTCCCAATATGATCTAGCGACTGGTAAGCGAAAAAGAGGAGCAGAAGATCCTGGAAGGTCATGAGTGACGAACGAGAGAATCAATGGTTTTCAATGGTTTTCAATAGTCTTCAATGCTTTTCAATTTCATTGACCAAGTTCAAGAGTTCAATATGTCTAATCACTATACTCTGCTCAGAAAAATAATATGTCTTAACATAGATGCGGAACCAGCTGTAGTTGACGTATAATTGTGCATCGTGATTCGTACTATGAGGACGATGGGTACTATCAAGGTGGCAAAAGTGGAGAAGAGATCTTTCATACAGGAAAATAAAACAACTAGCTTGCCTACAGTGACCGAGTGCATGACAGTATCAGTAGATAGCAGTGAGGATATTTCGCAAAGCTTGACGGAGGCTAGCGAATGAAAAAACATCTCCAGACACTGGCTGACAAACAAACTAAAAAAGGAAACTCAAAGCTTTCGAGATTTGCTTTTTTGTTCCTCAATATTCTCTGATTCCAATTGTCTCCCCAATTTCCGCTTGAGCGTAATACAATTCGGTCGCGGTTCTTCAATGGAGTGCCCATCAAATAGATGGTACCGGAGAATGTTCTTCTTGCCGTAATCTCTCTCACCGCATAATGGATGAGGGCATCGGAAATTGGTTCCTGCATTCATTTGATCAAGATGGACGTTGATATGGTGCATCAGTGTAGGTTTGGTCAGCCACTGTTGAAACCTCTCATCGGGCAACTTGCTGTTGTCCCCAAGACAAAAAGGGCAAAATCCGGGAGCAACGAGCGTGTAACGAAAGGTCAGGAGACCACACCTGGGCGTCAGATGCTCTAGATGCCATCTGCAATGTTCGGTCCAATCATGTTCATGATGAAAAAGTCTGTACAGAGATAACAGAATTGCAGGAATTTGCGACGAACACGCCGATGTGCTCGGTTACCGGTTCTATAACGCTGCTGATAGGGTGCCGAGTCTAGAGACTTTCTCCTACACTGGAGGATATGCTTTGCACGACTACTTTTCGTAATGCTTCATCCACATTAGCTAAAAGTTTCTTGGGGCCAGAAATTATGCAGGTGTGACGTGCAAACATACCTAAGAATGTCCTTAGAGCAATATGGGCACTTATCATTTTCAGGGCGCAATCCAGGGTAGTAAACAACATTTTCAGTACCCACGCACAGGCTGACCATATCATGCAAGCATTGTTTCCCTGCATCGCTGTCAAGGGAAGCCTTTTTGAAAAGATTATCTCGAAGACGTGCCCGTTCTGGGAGATATTTTTGAAGATTGTCAAACAGACAGGTTCTGTCACGTTCTTTCAATTCATTCCCCGCCACGTATTCATCATAGGAGTCGTCCCACCATTTGGAGATAAATGACGACCGATAAGCCTCACGTAAGCTTGCCATCTGGCTATGAAGCTTTGTGCGTTCAGCAGCGAGGTGGCTGTGGTCCTTAGGCCTCCTATTGATTTGCTCAGTGAGGAGAGCAATCTTGGCATCAATAGCTACCACCTTGTCACACCGTAAAAATCCCTCTCGTGCAGCTGCATTCAAATAGACGGGAGCATTAGAATCGCGGTGGTGAGCCATGCTTTGTTCAATAGATGCCTCTGATGAATATCTGAGTAATCAGTGATGGCTCAGTGAGCATCCAATCAGACTCACTGAGCACTCACTGAGCACTCACTGAGCGCTCACTGATCATCACGTGATGACACCAAGCAGCTCACTAAGTCTGATCCCCGGACTGAAATTTACTCAGTGAGTCTGACTCTGAGCGCCCTCATAAAAGCGGCGGCAGCTCAAATAGGAAAGCCCCACATGGCATAGGAAAAATGGTACGTATAGTGTCCTAGGTATGGACATTCCTTCTGAGCCAGGTGGCTATCATACTGTATGATGCATCTCCAAGCGAAGAAAGCTCTATTGAATTACCATTTCTGTCCCTTTGTTGATATCATTCTACTCGACGTGTTGAGCATTCACGCTCTCGAGATCCTTGCCCTGAGCAATCCATGCATCGACGTCCCCGGCCATGCCCATGGACGGATGCCAGTAAAGTTTGACCTTTTCTCCTGTAAAAAGGTGATCGATCTGCTCGAGGGTAAGGTTACGAGCCTCCGGGTAAAAGAGATATATCAGAGGAAGGAAGCAGAAATTGAAAACTGGCAGATAATGGAAATTAGATCTGTTGCACGTAGTTGTGGTGGGAGAGGGACATACTAGCAAAGTATATGTACGTTCGATAACCGATGTTAGAAATGCTGACGGGTGTGATTTCGACAACCAAGAAAGTGCAAATCCCTGGTTAATACTTTTTAGCTTGAAGTAAACAAACAGGGAGTTCTCATTGAACGCTTCATACAATTCGTTGCAGTCGCGAGAGCCGCCGATCGGGTTCGAATGGCAAGTGGCGAGTACTCCGCAGGCACTGTACCAGCAGATTGAGTTAGCCGAGATTGAGATTTCTGAAGAACCTTACGGGAATACATACGTAGCCAAGGGATAGCAAGGAGGCCAACTGCGAAGAAGAAGTTGAACATGAATAGCATGACTGTTGCAACTAATCCAGCTGCATGTCCGCCATTCCATACTGTTCCCGCCAGAATGGCCATGCAGGCGCGTTGGCCAGTCACGGCAAACATCATCAGCTTACGGCGACCGAGTCTGTAGCCCATTAGTGATTGTTTATAGAAATTAGCTGCTGCAGAACTCACCTGTCGATGACCCAGATGGGAATCAAGGAGGAGAAGAAATAAGCGACCCGTTAAATCCAGCCAGCAGGAGTGCCGTATTGTGATCCATCCCAACAGACTCTTCAAAAATCACGGTTGCATACTATCCCACGTCAGGTCAAGCATGTTGGACAATCCTATAAAACTTACGTATGTGATCAGGTTGATTCCGGAGATTTGCTGCATCATTTGTCCACCCATGCCCAAGAGTGTTCTGTAGAAAAAGCGCTGTGGTCCATTCTGGAAGATGAGCTTGAAGGATCCCTCGGTCGAGGCCGCTTGCTCTTCTCTAATGGCCTGAGATATTTCCTGGACCTCAAGACTGACAACAGTGTCACTCTCATCAATCTCTCTGGCATTATCCTGCAGTCTCCAAATAATCTGGCGAGCCTTGTCTTCCTTTCCATGTTTGATAAGCTATGTCACTGAGTTAGCTCGAGATCTGTCATGAGATAATGGATAACATACCCAGCGTGGTGATTCCGGCAGAAACACAACACCGATGAACGTAAGAATAGCAAAGACGATCTGCAGTGCGATAGGGAAGCGAAACTGAGCTTCACTCTTGTTGTACGAAAACCCATAGTCTAATTTGAAATGGTGATCAGCAAAAACGTAAGAAGAATTCGGATTAGAATATACTGACCAACCCAATATGAAAGCATAAAACCAAATATGTTGATGGCTCAATGGCCAACTGTAAAGTCACCGTCAGCACGGGAATCTCCATGCGTCAAGAATAATCAACGTACCCCCTTTCCACGACTCGCGGCTTTGCTCAACTCCGAGTGCCAGACAGCTAATGAGATGGTCAGAAGCTGCTCATAATCTCTCTCGTCCATAAGAACTCACGGATAGTACTAGTGTTGAGACCATTGCCAATGCCAGCAATAATACGGCCCACAATAAGATGAGAAATACTGTAGGCACTGCACTGAAGCGCAGCACCGATACTCAGAATCACACATCCAGCCATGATGCACTTGCGGCGACCGATTTTTTCACCAACAAACAAAGACATGATAGCCCCAAGGAAACATCCCTGAATTTATCAGCGTTTTAGACCAGTCTTTGGTGTTTTTTCGACTTACTATTTCGTAGATAGCAACCCTAACCAACAAGAGCAAGTCAGTATCCTGTCTTGGAGTATCAGTGGAATAAATTCCTTACACTGTTCCCTGGAGGGATGAGCTGCCATGCCCAGTTGTGGTCGTGTCAATCTCAGGGAATCTTGCGGTGAACGCATCTCCCGTCAATAAACCGGACATGACACCTTGATCATAACCGAATCTTCGTTCGATAAATTATCAGTACATTCTACACGCATTTGGGTGAAAGACTCGCTCACAGCAAGAAACCACTGCCCGCAGTGGTCGTGATGGCCCAGGCCAACTGTCTTCCCACAAGGAATGACATGACTCAGTGTGAGTACTCAAGTGTTCGAGCGATTGGAATGACAAAGGAACAGATGACTGCACATGCAACCTAATTACAGTGGGGCCTACTACCATTTTATAGAACCCTTCATCACGATACTCCATCGTCAAAAACGCCGTGCGCTATTCAAGGTTTACGGAACCCACGGTCATTTGTGAGCTGGGGACCCCAAGTGCCCCAGAATATCCTGCCGTGTTTTAGAAGCGGGCAAACTCCGTGATTGCGGGGTGCATAGATGAATCCATAGCAAGGAAAATACCTCGTGTATGTATCTAGTTGATAAAAAGTGTGTTGCGGTGGGCCGAACCGGATCGTCTGCCCTGGGCATGCCACGGCGTAGTTTGGGTGATCGTGGCTAAATTCTTAAAAGTCTGAATGCGCAAAGGCCTACCGAAACGGGTATTTCCGCATTGGGAAGTATTAAGCACCATGACTACATTTGTGACTGGTGTATACGATATGTCCCCGAGAAATATTACATTTCTCCGCTGATCCTGGCTCAAAGTATCTTGCAGTTGGGACCAAGCGTAAGGTTAGCTCATGGACAATTATTTTGGAAGCCAACCAAGCCCTCATGGCATTATTACTGTAAAGCGTAGGCAGTTGCACTCCGCGCCTGTTCATCTGACCCTGCGAGTATCGGGGGCATTCTGTTAGCCCAAGAAGAGCCTGGAGAAACTGGCATTCGCAAACAGGCCATTGCTTAATTCGAAGTTCCACTGTGGTTCTTCGAGCTCAAAATTCCATGATTCGGCCCTATGTAGACTTGGTGGAACCAAGTGCCGCAAAAGTCACATTGTAAAAGCTGTCCCATATAAAGTGCAACCCCTCATCCAATACCTCAGGATTGCGTTTGATCCTCTAATATTCCAAGGCTCCCAAATCCCAAATTCCACCGTCCGGTTTCCTGATACAACAAGATGGTCCCTTCCATTAGCCTCGATCATACTACTCCTGTGGTCGTGCCCGAGTCAAATGAGACTCCAGCTGCATTAGCGCCCGCTAGCGACCTTTTCTCTCTGGCAGGTCGCACCGTTGTGATCACTGGGGGTGGCCGAGGTCTGGGAATGACCTTGACCACTGCCGTCCTTGAAGCTGGCGGCGAGGTTGCCTGTCTGGACCTTCTCCCAGAACCTAGTCCTGACGAGTGGGTTGCTGTTCAGAAGCTGGCTAAGGGCCGTGGTCTTCAGGCTACCTATACCAAGTGCGATATTACCGACGAGGAAGTTACCAAGAGTTTGTTAGAGAATATTGCTGCCGGTGCTCTGAGCCGAAACAAGCCTTTGCGGTGTCTCATTACCTGCGCTGGAATCCAGCACATGGTACCAGCCCTCGAATATCCGATTGAGGGTTACCGAAAGATGATGGATGTGAAGTGAGCAACAACTGTATTTAAGAGTTTACAACCGAGTCACTGGTTTGTGTTTCACAGTGTCCTTGGGACCTTCATCCCCGCTAAACACTGCGCCCGCATCTTTGTGGAGCAGAAGACAGCGGGAAGCATTGTGATGATCGCATCCATGTCAGGCCAGATTGCCAACCGAGTTAGTGCGATACATAGTAGAACAAAAGAACCATGAACTAACAATATTCTCTTCGTTAGGGGCTGACTTGTACAGCGTACAATTCTTCCAAGGCAGCCGTTCACCAGATGTGCCGATCGGTCGCTCAGGAATGGGGACAGCACAACATTCGTGTTAACACACTTTCTGCTGGGGTGAGAATTGGATTAAAGTTCTTGAGACTTGATGGGTTCCCCTAGCACATTTTCAGTATATCCGCACTGCCATGACCGATGCCCTATTGAAGGAGAAACCCGAAGTGGAGGAGACCTGGATGCGCGGCGCCCTCCTCGGACGCCTAGGTGCGCCCGAGGACTTCAAAGGACCGACCGTTTATATGCTCGCTGATAGCAGCGCATGGATGACTGGTGCCGATCTTCGCGTTGACGGCGGCCACTGTGCTTCGGCATAGGCTGATCAAATCGCAGATAAGGATCGGATATGCGTAGCATGTTTCTGGCGTTTTGGGTTTCGCATAACATTGGTATAGAAAGAATCTCCAGAATAAATAGATCATATTTAAATTTGCCACAGGAAAATCATTGAGGGCTTTCTGAAAATCGATAATTCAATATCCCAATGGAAATTCAAAAAGCCGAGGATAATTCATGGACACTCCAAGCATCTCATCCACATTGTGTGTCTGCAGATTCCATAAGCAATGGGCCTGGTTTGGAGAGGGTAGTCAAGTTGAACTCACCATTTCCAACAGTCCTGGTGGAATATTATTGTATGAAAAAGGAGGCTCAATATCATTCGGTTGTATATGAGTCATGTCCATCGCTTGGTCTAATGACATCGTGAAGTCAATATCAAGGCAACAGGTTGAGATAGTTGAGAAGCATTGTCTGGGTTACATAGTCATTATTTGTTGAATTTCAAGTCAAACTCCATAATCTCATGAAAATTAGAATGGATCAAGGCCACAATACCTGCATTCTGCGGTTGGCTAGTTGTAACGTCTGCCAAGCCGCCAGCTTCGAGGGCAAGAGCCGAGAAGACATCTCCAACCTGTCTCTGGGCTTTACTAAAAACCAGATCCAATGCTTGTACTGCCTTTCCAGATTCATTGGGTGCATCTTTCAGTTGAATCCATACGGTGTAAGATCTTCGCAAAGCCTGAAGGATCCGCTGGACCACGACTTCGGTTAATGGGATTTGCTCTGGATTTGCTGCCGAATCAATTGAGAAGTGGAAGTTCAACTCCAAGCAAAGCAAAGTGGTTGCCAGTAAGAAGTTGCTTCGCATGATCGGCGATAGAAGTTTCCACTGCTCTTTGAAAAGGCGACCCCCTGGCTTTGTTTCCTGGTGGACAAGGAAGTGATAATCAAGGACATGAAGGGCAGACTCAATGCATGTGGTGCGAGAGAAAGCAAATCCCTTGTCGGTTCTTGCTAGAGCAAGAAATCGATAGTGTAGTACACATTTTGCCTTCTCTAGGAGAAGGATTAATTGAATCCGAAGAATGATTGTACCCGGGGTATCCATGAGAGACTTGCTCATTGATCTTTCTCGCAGATTTTCAGGTGTGGAAGTGTATGTTTCTTGGACGAGTTTGTCCATGCGCATGACTTCTGCGTATTCTGGTCTTCGAATCGATGTTGAAAAGTCTGTGATGATGCCAAACATGGATATCAATCTGTTCTTCGCCACCAGCCACTGTGTTGGTGTCTCGAATGAGCTAGGGCGCGGTTGAGGTAGCTCGGCTGTATTTTCATCAAAGTCATCATCCAGTAAATTCCTGGGTGGCGCGGTATCCGACTGATATTCTCGGAGAAGTCGTGGAAGTCCAACCTGAGCGGACACTAGAACATCCGTGTCGACAATTATAGACCACACTCGACGTCGCATCTCCCCCTGAAATGGCGATGTGTGGGGAAAATGAGAAGGATCGCGGTGATAGCCCATTCTTTGGGCCATACGCACAATAATGCCAAGGAAAATGAGATCGTCCGTTTGCGCATCTCCACTCTGTAGAAACCGTGCATTTAAAGCGAAGAGAAGTGTCTCAATTGTATCCGGAGGACAATCATGATACTTACCCAATACCAGGCATTGGCTAATTCTTTCACGGTATTGCTTTATTGAGCCACGAACGTTCTCTAAGTCAGGATTGGACTGACTATGGAAGAGCAAGGATAAGCACATCACGCCGTACAGCTTCCCGGTCCACATGATTGGTGCTTGGTGAGGGTTTCCCCAAAATCGTTCGTACTGATATGCAAATTGAATAAGCATTGGGCCCAAAGCCGTATTGTGGTTGTGTCAGCGAGGAGAATCTACCTACCGCTCTAATAAAAGATGGACCGTGAATCACTGGATTGCGGAAATTTCAATGAGCCCAAGCCATAAATCACAAGGGGTTTCGTACATGGATCAGTTTTGTTGCCAAAGTATTCAGCTAAAAGCCGGTCAGCTATCCCCCGCGAGGGCAGAGAGCTGAGAATTTCATCTTTCGTAGCGGGTTGACTTCCAGCAAACAATAGCTCAGGAGTCCTGAGATCATTGGTAGATCGGCTTGAAGTCTCATCAGTTTTATCCTGTAGTGAATTTTGGAGCTCATGGATCTGTTGCCACGTTATTAATCAGAGAGGATCTGTCATGACGGAGGAATTAGTAAGACCGTACCCCATCTAATACGGCGGTCCAGTGGGTGCCTTCCACATATGTCGTTTTGCTGTCTCGTAGTCGCATGACCAAAAGATTCGGTCTGTCCGCTCCCACCTTGCAGCGGCTTCGATCTCAGATTGTGCGGATCTTTGTCAGTATTGTTTCCAGGGACTGCAACCTGACCAGGCGTGCTTTGGTGGGCATGATCCACAAAAGAGGCGATCAGCTTTTCAAGCTGTCCAATACGTTCGCCCAAGCTAGGCCCTGCTCCCTGTTTTTGATCTCTGGATATATGCCCGGCATCAGTTGGGCCGGAGTGGGCATATGTACAGGAAAGTGAGAGTCCGCGGTGGACGCAAGATCCGCATGGCTGGCCTCTATCGCAGCGAAGTCTATCAATAACTTAGTTTCTATACGAAGGTCAGTAGGATCTGGGACTCTGACTTTCTCCTTCTGCAGAGATTGCAGGATAACTGTGGTTTATCTCGTCTGCGACTGGGCGGCGGAAGGTTCCGCTGGTGCTTTGTTCCCGCCATTGCTGTCAGAGTAAGTATTATCAGCCCAAGTACCTTCAGAAAGTATTTTTTTGGGAATCTCACCTGAATGGATCTTGAGGGGGGGGAAGTGATTGCGTTTTACGAGAGTCCAGACGCATGCCGACCGTCCGCTCCGACCGTCCGAGCGATTGGCTCCCACAGCACAGCACCGTCATCGTCGAAGAATTGGGATCCACCAAGTTTAGAGTTAGAACGTTATTGACATCTGTAGGAATGCTCAAATTCTACGAACAATTGTATGCGATTAGTGAGCTTTTCAGCCCGTATTTCATCTATAGTCACGCTGTATCCTGACGTGGCTTCGAGATTAATGACCTCGGATTTGACTTTGCACGTCAAAATGCCAAGAACTACACACTACAGTCAGTAGAATGTAATCCTGCCCCCGACGAACTCGGTTATACAGCCCTGATCTTTCTTCATCTGCTGTTCCCCTCAAACCTTTGTCTCAAATATCGATGCTCTCAGGTACAGTGTAACTCGCCTCCTTCATGGGTATGACAGTTCTGCGACAAATCAGTTCCCTATCTTGATTTCAATTTTGGCATGGCTCACTCACAGCAGGCACATCGACTGTAGTAGATGAGGCTTTGCTAGTCGCTGTTGTAGCAGACGGCTGGCTCTCACCAAAATTTGCGTCACCCGTCTCATCTTCGTGTTTGTCCCCATGTTGTTCTCCGGGGCAGCCAATACCTGGAATTGAAATATCATGGGCATACACTTCCAGCGCGAAGTATTGAAGTGTCTCGGAGTCATGTGTCGATAAAGTGACATTCTCAGTAGCGAGTTCGATAACCTCATGGTATCCGTCTGCGTAATGGTCGACCCAATTCTGCCCGATAGCGGGGAGATGGTACAATCGGTGCAGCAGATCAGAGGCCCAAAAGGTATTGGTCTCCGATCCAGAAATTGTGTAGCCCATTCCGCACATTGTTGAGAGAGAACGACGAGTCTCGTAGCTCAGATCGCAAATAACTGTTTCTTTGGTACCATTTTCGCCTCGCCAATGTCCAGCGTAACCTGACAGAAAGAGTGAGATAATACGCCCGGCCAATGAACATCAGGTGCCTCGAGGATTTACCTTCGAGATCACAGTTCCCATCTGGGTTATCACAGCGAAATAGAACATCATTTTTGTCACCATTGACAACCACTTCAAAGGCCCCAATAGCTTCCATCGAAGGACCATTGCCAAAGTACTTCCGGTAAATCTCGCTTTCATTTCTCCAGCGCAAGATGTGGTCTCTGGCATGAGCTGCAAGGTCGACAGCTTCGGCAAGCCCTAACTCAATTTGACGACGCTGCGTTGCATTACAACTAGAGTGGATAGGGAACTGTGTCACTCCGCCTGCATTCCAAGGTGTATGGCCGGTGTTCATAAACGGCTTTGAAAGGTTTCCAGACCCTAGAGCGGGCAAAGCAGATGTAGTAGCGGCACAAAAAATCAAGAATCCCAAGAAGAACTCCATGATGAAGATTTTCCTCTCTTGAACCTTCGGTTATGTGGCTAAACAACAAGGCTAGTGTCTACCTTTTATAAAGGAGACTCCTCTCCTCTACTTGACTCTGCTAATCTGGAGATTGCACTGCCCATTCTTAATGTTTGTAATACTGAGCTTTCTCGGTTGATAAGTTTCCGAAAATGCCGCAGTAATTACTTGGCCCAACCTTGGGAGATCAATTAAACATTCAAGCACGACGAATCGAATATGAACGACGTAAGTACCTTGATCGCCTTTTTCTATGTCCTTACAATTCGCACCGAGCGAGTAGTAAGATGGCTCATCCAATGCCAAGAACCAAGACCAGGGGAGCTTTGCCAAGAAACTTGGAAAGGGGACCTTGATAGCACGAGCGTGGCGGAAGCGATCATCTCAAAGGTAAAAGGCTCACTTGTCCGCTGATGCCTATGCTTGGCGGTGGCCAAGACTATTTTTCTCTACTTGAGCGATCAAGGTTTTGACGAAGGAAACTGTCAAGGTACTCATCGGCATTTTTACTTGAGATTATTCATAGATAACCACCCACCCAGGAAACTCCCAAAGAGGTATGCTCAATTGATATTGATTTATTCTCAGTCACATTAACTCTCACTATGAGCCTTCTCAGGTCTATCGTCATATCTTTGAGCGCAGCCAAGGCATTTGCGGCCACTTCGACAGCAGATGCCACGGCCAGCTCCATAACTGGCTGCCATACTCATGGATCAGACATCTTCTGCTCCAATATCGAGGGACATGAAGTGCTGGTTTCAGTGGCTGCAACACCCATGAGCGGAACACCGGCGCAGTACACTGGCTGCCACTCACACGGAAACGCCTCGTAAGTTTCGCAAGATGAATACACAATCAAGCTGCTAACGTCATAACCGCAAAAAGATATTGCATCGATGAAGATGGAAATGATGTTCTAGTTCAAGTGCAAGACAATGATGATGAAGAGTCGCACGATCACGATCATGCCCAAGAGGAGTCTGAAGAGTCCGAGTCGGGAGGAAAGGCTGATTGCCATTTCCATGCTGGCGTAGAGTAAGGTCAATTTGTTAAACGGAATCTTCACAAGTGCTGACTCTTCTTTGATATAGACACTGTGTCAGCGCAGGGGAGTCAAAGCACAGTAGCCACCAGTCTTGTGGCATCCAAACAAGAGATTATAATGTGCCGCTGAGAATTGGAACACTCTTCGTGGTTCTCGTCACCAGTGCAATTGGTGTTTTTGCCCCTATCTTACTGTCTAAGCTTCCTTTTGCAGCCATCAATTGCGTGGTATCAACGGTTATCAAGCAGTTCGGTACGGGAATCATTATCGCGACAGCATTTGTTCATGTGAGTCGAACTCATGGAGCCGTTGAAGCATTCAATATTGACAGATCAATAGCTATACACACATGCTTCTCTTATGTTCACGAACGAATGTTTGGGTGAGCTGGATTACGAAGCAACTACCTCAGCAGTGGTCATGGCTGGCATATTCCTAGCATTCTTATTCGAATACATCGGCCATCGATTTACCACGGCGAAAGCCAGGAGAGCAGTCATGTCACCATCGGAGCATTCAAGCTCCCAGGAACCCGCTCGCAAAGATGATGTCCCATCTCACCAGCAGTCTACACTGGCACATCTTGGGCATACCCACGGGTCGCCTCTCGACCCAACCGGGCCAACCACAAAATTCTCGGTCCTTGTCATGGAAGCTGGTATACTTTTTCACAGCATCCTAATTGGCCTCACACTAGTTGTTGCAGGCGACTCTTTCTACAAAACTCTTCTAGTGGTCATTGTTTTTCATCAATTTTTCGAAGGTCTTGCCCTCGGTGCTCGCATCGCGATGGTCCCTGGCGCAATTTTCCCCTCGAAGGCTATAATGGCCGCAGTGTTTGCCCTCATCACTCCTATCGGGATGGCTATTGGATTGGGCGTACTGCACTCTTTCAACGGTAACGAAAGAAGCACTCTAATTGCGCTTGGTACACTAGATGCCCTTTCTGCTGGTATTCTTGTGTGGGTGGGCGTTGTCGATATGTGGGCTCGAGACTGGGTGATCGAAGGTGGTGAAATGCTCAATGCACCTTTGCACAGAGTACTGACAGGAGGATTGGCTTTTGTGATTGGGCTCGTTCTGATGGGGCTGCTTGGTAAATGGGCTTGACCGGCCAGTCCATCGAGCACCGCTGACGGGTGAGGGCGCTTGTCTCCACCCAGGTCTTTACCGGATCTACTTCCACCTCACACCTCACGAGGATCCAAAATAGCTTCCAGGAATAGAAATAAACTCTACACGCTATATGGACAAGATCTATGACCGTCTATTCTAATATCCACTGGCAATGCTCATCAGATCGACTTTGAACGACGGAATGAATCCGCATCGCTCACACTCCCCAATCTATTACCAACTAGACTGGTATGGGAGCTCCACTTATCTATGTTACACAGCCAATGATCAACGATTTCCGCAACAACCTGCCCGATTTCGAATAGCTTCCCCGTCTTCGCCCAACACACGCCCCCCAAAACAACCAACCCCCGCATTTGAACAAAAGAAATGAGAGATTGGTCAACGCACATGTATTTTAGCGAGCACCTTTTTCTGCTGTATCCTTGGCGTGCAGCCTACCTTGAGGGCGGTTGGTCTACGCTTATCAACGGAATGAAAGCTGAACTATCACAGGTCTAGAAGTATGTTGTGCAACACATCGACTTGTGGTCATCCGTATCTTTGCCGGATGGAGCTTCCTGAATGGGCTAGTGAGACGCCAGTTGAGGGGACAGCAGATAAGAGGAGTGATAAACAACGAAGTGGAGCAATATATGTGCCCCTTCCCTCACCTCCTTTCGAATCTAGGAATAACTTCGGCTTCATCTTACTACTATACCACTTACTTGCTACTGCCCATCACAACGTATCTAGACTTTGACTTCCATTTTCCTCAAATTCTCCCCCATCATCCAGTGGACTACACCACAACAATCCATTTTAGATGGCTGTTTTCTCTCTTTATCCATTACGGCTCCACTCGCACTCCTATACCATATCGCTGTCCCAGCCTCTCCGCAGAGCCAGTAGAAACAATCTTCAAAAATCTAAACCGGTTCTCTAAGCCAACAGTCATCGCGATCTTGCGAGACAGTAGTGCCACAGCCAGAAACTATGTCAATCGAAATCGTCCCTTTGACCAAGGCCGACATACCAGCGGCCGTAGAGTGTGTCCAGAAAGCTTTTTCCGATGACCCCTACTTCCGATGGGCATTCAATGACCCTTCTAAGGTACGAAATGTCCGCGAGAGGAGACCTCTTCCCTGCTTTCGATGAGGTCAAAAGAAAAAAGCACCCTCCTCCAGTCAACAGGTGTAGAAAAGCCAGTTCTAATACCTTCGGGCTCTCTAGTTCAATATCCAGCGAAACGCGGCCTCCTTGGCGGCACACTTTCAGTATGGCCTCAGTTGTGACTGCCCCATTTCGGTCGCCAAAGTGAGCCACTCTTCCAGCGACCAGAAAGTTGACCAAGACTTTAAGCTACCTCCAGGCAGCGTGGTCGGCGTAGGTTGGTGGTACTCGCCTCAGGCGGCATGTGAATCTCAGACTTGGTCTACCTGGGCGCAGGAGTGGCTTCTCTCATTCAGACAGCTCTTGAATAATATTCGTTTCCTGGGCCGGGGCGGCCTGAACGTCCCTCGATACATGATCTGGAAGCAGGTGCAACAGGATGCACATAACACCCTCTGGACAAACCCTCGCGGTTATTACTTCTGCAACATGGTGGGTGTCAGTTCCCAGGCCCGTGGAATGGGTGTAGGGAAACGCCTGATGGAAAGTGTCATGGAGAAGGCCGATCAGGAAGGTATTTCATGTTACCTGGAAAGTTCCAAAGGCCACCCTAATATTACGATTTATGAGAAGATGGGGTTCGAGCTGATCAAAGAGATCGAATGTGCCGAGGGTGGAGACGTCTGCAAGGTAGGTGAACCCCAGCTCAATCTTTTGAACGATGACTGACCAAAAAAACCCAGCTTTATTGCATGATACGGTACCCGAAGACGAAATCTTAATGAAACAAATATGATGGAGCATAACTAGCATTTAATTGCTCATCAACAGACTACGAAGTGGCAAATTACAATAGGCAGCATTAAATTGAACCCGAGGTTCTCGAATAATGGACTCATACTTGAATAAAATTTGATGACATCAGTTGATGAAAGGTTTCAAGGAGAGGTATTGAAAACTGATAATGATGCAAAAGCGCCGTTACGCGACAAAATGCTTCATGAGCAACATTCTCGTCTATATAGTCATATGTGAGATGTCTCAGCAAGAACAGTGTCACTCGGCTAGAGGGTCAAGGCTAAGCAACAACCCTGGTTCATGTTTCGAGTCATGCCGTGCCCATTTTTTAATAATTTGGCTCAGAAATGCAAAGCAAGCTCGACGAAGGGCAGTAGCACAAGTGATAGTTTCCAAAGTTGGGGGGGTCAGCTATGGCCCCCACTGAGCAAATCGGAGATAGAGCCTTCTAGGCTCTGGTTGACACTACAATTTACCCGTCAGCCAATTAAACTGGAGAAGGAGTCACATCTGTAGGCTGAGCCTCCGCAGAGCCTCGCTCGAGCTATCACTTATGAGTTAGCCTATAAATTGGTTGTACCTGGTTGGTTGGTTGGTTATGCACGTTGGCTGTTTAGAGTTTTCGAAGCAAACACTGGAACTATTTAAGTCGCCAACATTTTCCGATCTCCTAGATACGATCCACCGCAAACCAAGACTGCAACATTTTTCCTCACCCATCATCTGAGTAAACCTAAAAAATGTCAATCTACGGCTGCTTTTACCAGACTCCAGGAAAGCGTCGCGCATCCAAGGAATACCTTCCTCAAGTGGGGTTGGACGTGCACGCAACCCTTCTCTCAACTACTTCCCGAGCAGTACTCTCTCAGACCTTCGTGAATTCATCATCCACAGAGTCTATCACAGAAGTCTTCTATTCGTTTCCCCTCTATGATGGAGCTAGTATTGTCAATTTTACCTGCCGTGTTGGAGCCGAAGTTATACGGGGCAAGGTGAAGCCAAAGAAAAAGGCCGATGAGATTTACCAAAAAGCCAAGGCCGAAGGACAGACAGCAGCAATATTTGACCAATCAAATGATGCCGGCGACGTTTTCAAGACTCGCGTGGGCAATGTTCCCGCTGGTGGGAAAGTTGTCATTGAAATCACACTGGTGGAAGAACTGAAGCAAGATGCCCAAACAAACGGACCACGATATACAGTTCCCATGGCCATCGCCCCACGATATGGTCAGCGGAAGGATCCACCAGCTGCTACCGGTGGGACTGGCTCCAAGACAGCGATCAAGGTTGATATCATCATGGAAAAGGGCTGCACGATTCGTAACGTTCGCTCGCCAAGTCACCCCATCAATTTGCACCTGGGCCGAGCGTCCTACATGCCGGAATCTACATTCGAGCCTTGCTACGCCTCAGTGGAATTGCAGAAAAATACTGTCATACGCGAGGATTTTGTTCTGACTGTCAACTCCGATAACCAAGATAGTCCTGTCGCCTTCCTGGAAAGGCACCCGAACCTGCCCAACCAGCAAGCGTTAATGGTCTCTCTGGTTCCAAAATTCAGCCTACCACCAGACCCCTCGGAGATAGTCTTCGTGATCGATCGAAGTGGCAGTATGCAAGACAAGATTGATACTCTAAAATCTGCCTTGGAGGTCTTCGTAAAGTCGCTACCCCTTGGCGTGCCATTCAATATTGTCTCATTCGGCAGTTCCTACAGCACCTTATGGCCCCGCAGCAGGATCAGCGACAAAGAAAGTCTCTGCGATGCGCTTGCTTTCACAAAGACTATTGATGCAGACATGGGAGGGACCGAGATTCTGGGTGCACTTGAGGCTGCAGTAGTTAATCACTACAAAGACAAGGTCCCTGAAGTCTTGCTCCTCACTGATGGCGAGGTCTGGAACCAATCGGATATCTTTACTTTCGTGAACAAGGCTGTCCAAGAAAGCTCTGCTCGTTTCTTCAGTCTAGGCATCGGGAATTCAGCTTCCCACTCTCTCGTCAATGGTATTGCTCGCGCAGGGCGAGGCTTCTCTCAGTCAGTTCTGGACTATGAAGAGCTAGATAAGAAGGTTATTAGGATGCTCAAAGGGGCTTTAATGCCGCGATTGAAAGACTTCCAGTTGGATCTAGGACTCTCTCCACTAGAGAATGAAGGTTTCGTGGAGATTGAACAAGAGGAGGCAAGCGAACGTCCAGTTACGAAAGCAGCCACAGAGCCGATTTCCTTCTTCAATGAAAGTCACGAGGATCCAGAAAAACTTGAAGTTATGAAACAGCCTCTGCCGAAACTACTTATCCCGACATTTGTTCAGGCACCGACCGAGCTTCCTCCTCTTTATCCCTTCATTCGGTCGACAGCTTTCATTCTATTCTCCAACAACAGCTCTTCTCTTCTAGAGAAGATTGTGCTGCGTGCTAATAGCCGCCATGGCCCAATGGAGCTGGAGATCCCGGTTCAGGATGTGGGCGGGGGGAAACAATTCACCAGCTAGCAGCCAAAAAGGCCATGACGGAGCTTGAGGAATCTCGGGGCTGGATCCAGGATGCAAAGACCGCTCATGGTGAATTGATCAAGGAAAAATACGAAAGTCTCATGGACGAGCTCATCCAAAGCGAATGCGAAAGACTGGGGGTTCGGTTCCAGATCGCCGGCAAGCACTGCTCCTTTGTGGCGGTTAGAGAAACAAAATCCGACTCCCGATCCACGACAGAAAAAGTGGAAAGCCCGGGAGATAAATTGCACGATAAAGCTGAGAGTGAAAGCGACTCCGATGATGCGGCAGCTCACTATACCGCTCAATCTGCATTTACCGCCCATTGCTTTTCTACAGAGGAAGGGGAAGCCGAAGAATCGGTCGAAGACTTGGACTTCGCACTTTTCGATAACGATACCTCCCCGCCAGTCCCCGAAGTCAAAGATCTGTGTAAAAAGAGAGCTTGGAAGAGCGGGCGACCGACAACTGGGGGGAAAAGACACCGAAAGACTATGAATGCGAGCGACGTTGGAGGCTCTGAAGAAGATGTCGCACAGTCAACAGTGCACCGACTCATCAAGCTGCAAACATTCGAGGGTTATTGGGACTGGTGCGACGAAGTTCATCAGGTTCTTGATCTTGATCAGGATGCTCTGCGCACACAATTGCTTGCTCGATACAAGGCACTTACATGCGAACAGACCGACATTCTGGTTCTCTCTGATTGGAAAGAGATTCTTGCAACCAGCCTTGTTGGTCATTACTTAGAGACCCGGGCCTCAGAATCCAAAGACGTATGGGAATTAGTTAAGGAGAAGGCAGACAAGTGGGTGAAGGAAGCTTTGGAAGCGATGAGCCATGAACATCAACAAGTCGCCAAAGAGCTGATTGCCGAACTGAACAATTGCTTTTGAAGCCTACAAATAGGATAGGTGACCGCAAGAATACCCATGAGCCTGCTATGTGCATTTTGAATTCAAGATTTTCTGCCTAAATTTTTCGATAGCTCGACTGAATTAGTATTGTTAAGCTTAGGTTTCTTGTCGTCAAAGGCTTCAGCGCTTATAGTGTACTTCACCTTAGTTTGAGTTTCTCGGTCGAATCATTACGATAAGCATATTTAACAGATGGTCAGATGCCTAAGCGTGGGCTAATTCCTTCTTCTACCTTATTCAAGCCGTTTAGCAATTGCTCGTATCCTAGTGGCTGAAGCTACTGATTCATGTCGGCTGGATAACGATATTGCCTCGTTAAACACCGATAATTTGCACTCTTATTTCATCTGTCGAGATTGGGGTTTGTAATTACTTGGATTATAGTCGAGATTTCGACAAATTCCATGTCTCAAAGACATTAACATCCAGATTGCCGACTTGACTGTGAAGCGATCACATCGAGCTTAGTAATGAAAAGCTAAGGCTGTTCATAGCTGGTTGTCACCGAAACAGCTGAGAATTTTGCTCAAATCTATCTATGATATTCTGAATCTTCATTGAAAATGAACAATAGTCAGGTCTTGAAAGATTTTGGCTTCATGTTGATCCGTTGATCATCCGCAGCGAAGGGGTGGTTTATCCCTCTCGGCCATTTGCCCCTTCTTTGAAAGCGCTGTCAAAATTCCAAACGGCCCATACCTTTTTACTTGACTAACGACCATGTTGAGAGCCTGTTTACTTTATTTTTCACATGCAACAGTTCGAGGCTTGTTTCTTGCCTCGATGTCGGAATTCTAATACACCCTCCACGTCCATCCTCCATATGTACATTGACACTTTGACCGGTCCTGAAACAACCCCACTCCCAGGCAACCCAATTGACAATGCGAGGGCCAATCGGTGCAGGCCCCGCATCAAGCTTTGCGCTAATTAGCTCGCAAGACTGGAACCAGAACTTGAAAACTGCGTCAGCGCTGCTATTTTCGGAGATGGAAAATTCCAATTCATTCCCATATCTATGAACGGTTCGATGTCAAATCAAAAAGGGAAAAAGGAACAATATATCACCCTTCCTTCCACGGCAGATAACTCGCTTAGAGATCGTTAGGCTCCGTTAATCGGCTTTAAAAGACGTAGTTTATTGTTGTACGTTCACTGACCCAACACCAGCGCGAAAAACGGTCACACGGGCGGTATCCGCTCCGATCCGTGAACGCGATCTGCGAGGGACGAGAATCGATGGCGAACAGAGCCAATGATAATAATCGCAAACCCCCAGCGTCCATCAACATGGTCAGCTCGGAGGTCCTAGAAATGTGCCATGATCAGCCAACAGTCATCCGGTCGTTCCGTGGTAGCTCTGGAAAGGCACAGATCAGATTGCGAAATATGAGCCATCCCCCCCCGAGACTGGCGTAAGCCGATGCCTTTGTGTTGTGCATTGTCCTCGGTACATGTACGTCGTCGCATCCCTGCCGAATCTTTTATTTTCGCTCCTTTCCCCTCTTCTCCTCTTTCCTTAAACCATTTCGCTTTCCCATCGCTTATGCAGCGTTGATTGCCGCCCACGATCCTCAAACTACTTCTAACCCACCGCGGATCAACTCCAGACCCTCGAACCCGCCATGCACTGACCAACGCCTAACGGCCACAACTATACATTAAAAACGCCACTACACTCATAACCTGTCCATATAATAACGACTACCACTCGTTTGGTTTGATCCTTCTACACAGGACAAATGGGTCTCACCACACCTGCAATTATCGTGATCGTCCTGGTGGGCTGCCTAGCCATCACGGCTCTCGGTGCCGCCCTCTTCCGGCACTATAGTCCAATCGAGGAAGAAGCGAGCTACAGTGCATCATACGAGCAGGGACAATACATGCGCACGGTGCGAATGCGCAATTATGGACACTTAAAACAAGAATCGCTAGGCGCAGTGAGAGATCTCGAGTCACGATGTACGTTAACACTCCAGTCGTTCCATTCTGCGATCGCATTCACTCAATGGCTATCGCGATTATGCCGCTAATAATAGATCGACCGAGAGTAGATACCGCTGACGAGATTTCGAGCCATCACACTCCCCACCCATACACACCTCACACGCCACAGGAGTAGAACATCCTATACTCCCCTTCTCTCTACGAATCTCCGACGACTACGACATATCATGATGGAAGACTTTTTTTTATGGCAAATGTTCGAAAGGACAGTTTAGGTCTATATGGCGCACAATGGTGCACGGAATGGAAACATACGGATAAATGAATGAATTGGAAGGCTCCTAAACCCGCGGTCAGCGATCGAGCATTTTGTCTTCTGCTGACCGTGTATTTAGGAGCTTGGTTCCACGGACATACTCTCTGGTGGTTTTTAAGGCTTCCATGGAAAGATTTGCATTTTATCATCTACCTACTACACAGCACAAGCGTTGTCTTTCAAGTGAGCTGCAAGCATCTCAACCCAAAAATTTCAAAGATTTCTCTATATCTGACGAATCTATTTTGATGTCATTGAAGCCGTCATTATCTAGCTGAATTACCTTTATAAATGGAACTTATCCCCATGATTCTATTGCCCATATCACCTGATCTACATAAAGACTCGTCTTAGCTTGCATCATTAAGCTGAGAGATTAACAAGAATTCCGGTTTACACATTGACCAAGGACTATATCCTAGATCACAATTAGTACCCCTTACGCGAGATGAACTATGAGACTGTCGAGCTAACATCTGTTTATATATAGCACTTATCCTCGGATTTCTAGTACATGAATAGAGTAATGACGGACTTCCTGATATCAAAGAGCAATTCGTATTCGCTTTCTTTTGTAGATTTCATCAAACACTAGGCGCTATATCGCGTCATTTTAATATATCGGCCGTATAGCTCAGTTTCATTTTAGTGTTTGTTTCTGGTTATTCTAAACCTCTCTACTGTATTCGTGCAAGTGTATTTGAGTTTCACCAACATGGCAAGTGGAGCTCGGAAAGATTTAAAGTTCACGAGTCTTGGCGGGATTTCTTCAATTTTGTGGATTCTCACTGATTACTCCCTAGGCATAGAGTATCATTGTAGGTGAAGAACCTCAAAAGACAGACGAAATACGGACACGGACACGGATACGGACAACCTCCATAGAGGCATTGTAAGAATCAGAGATACGTGAGTGTAGTCGTATCGTGCCTTAACGGTAAATGAGAGGGAAGGTGATTTCGTCGATAGCTTGGATCGGTGTTCAGTCTGAGATAATAAGCGCAGGTGATCCCGCCCAAGCTGAATTCTCCTTCGGCCTTAGTAGTTGGCAACTCCTGGGCGTCTGCTAAACAACGGTTGTCGTAAGCCATGGTCAGAGGCTGTAGCGACCGCAGCCTCGGTTGATCGACATGAGACTGCCAATGGCAGCACTTCTGAACCCTACAAGGCGCAGCCACTAGCTTCGCCGCCAATTAGCCGAGCGCCCATCGGGCACAGGATTCGCCTTGTCATTCACTTACATGGAGAATTACGGTTACCTATCAGCGGTGAAAACCACATCGATAACCCACAGCTACTGCAGTAGTTTGGATCCGCGCCCCCAAAACCCAAAGTGTGATGATGCTGATGAAAGAGAGATTCGGCATCGCAGAGCTTGCTTGATGTGGTTATTCCCGCTTACCAAGCCACGCTGGCCCGCTGCGCTGTGTTAACCTGAAGAACCAATCACCGTTCCATCGGTGCTACCAGGCCATTCAAGTCAGATTGACTCGCATTCTCGTATCTGATTTTCTGGGCAGCCAAAAACGATGTTTCCTTTCTGGGCAATACGGCGTATCCGCAGACCCCTAAGCCCGTCTCCCCCACATGATTCGTGAACTACGGCCGTAGAATCCAGGATACGAGTACGACCTGGTAGGCCCAAGATCGAGCTAGCTATTTATTGACTCAAGGCCTCGATGTGTCGGTGTGAGAAAAAAAAGTTCCCATCTTAGTGAACACAGTTCGCCGTCGATTTAAACTCTCGAAGTTGCAGCACGCAGATCAGTCGTCATGAATTTCATGCGGCACAAACCTACTATGAGCACCCTCTCAGTCAACTACGAAAGCGACGCGGCCAGCGATGAGCGGTATGGGCCCTGCGAATTCATTTTTTTTTGTTCTTTTCCTTTCCCACAAAACAAACTAACAGCCCTATCTTATCTCAACAATCTAGACCGAGTTCGCAGCCCGCATGCCCCAAAATACACGCAAATTTTCAAATTGCCCGACCACCACCCAAATCATCGCTCAAGCTCTCTCCGAAATTATTACTACAAATCCAACAACTCTCGCAAAACCACCGCCCAGTCCCCGTTCTAGAAATATGGCAGCCCCCGTTGCGAAAATCAAAATTGACCCGCGAATTTCCTCAGCGGCCAAAACTACGGGCGGGCGATATCTACGCGACTCTTGATGAACCATACATCTCCAGCGCACCCGTGAGACGGAAAGAATTCACGAAATCTGACTCGCAGGAGAGCACGAGCAGCAATCTTCAGAATAAAGATATCGTAGCTGCCATCTGTCAATCCACGGGCGATAAGGCCAAGACCTCAACCATATACTTTCGCGACGCACAGTGCAGCTGGCAGGCCAGCGTGGGCACCGCAGGTCCTGAGAACACACCATGCTACCGATTTACCATCAACGATGAGAACAGAGACAAGAGCGATCCGGGACGGATGATTATGCAATGGGAAAAGCGCGGCTTTGCTGGCAAGGATGAGAATGCTTCACAACCTTTCAATTCAGATCAGTTCGTTCTGGTATTGATTGATCGCAAGGCACGGCGAAAGAGCCGCATAGCAACAATGACCCCTGGTGGGTTGGAAATCATGGTCCGCAAAACTTCTATCATGGAGCATCTGCAGGTGTGCTTGGATTTAACCATTCCTATGTCGACGCCAAAAAGCGGCGATTGGGATGCCCATGAGAACCTGGAAATGTGGCTGTACACTCACGTTCTTACTTTGGGGTTATGGGTCGCCCAGCAAGAAGGATGGCTTGGCGAAGTAAAATAGCGGGTTTCTGCACCAAGATATTAAATATTAGATATTAAATATTAAGTCACGTTACTGCCAGCAGTAATTGCTTACATCAGAGTCTCTCGATTTTCACCTAACTATTTTAATTTTTTAAATCCTAATGACTGAATTCGTCAATGTGGGTGTTTTATAATAATGATGGGACCAAAGAATCGCGCTACTGTAGTAAATCACGTATGAAACCTCACGCATCGCCAATCTAGTAGTAGAACCAGTAGTAAACACGACATAATTTATTATTACGGCTAGCTAGCCCACTACCTATAGAATCTTCGGCTATATCTTCGTCTATAGTGGCCAAGTTAGCCTACGGATTAGTAGAGGTTTAATAGTCATGTGATCTAGTGAGGTGGCCTAGTTTAGCTGAAGTAGTTGAATTTGAATATACTAAAGGATGACTAATCTTAATATTCGTATCCACAAAATCTTTCCGCTTACCCTTTTAGGCCCGGGCCGTGGATAATCCGCTAATATTTAATATTTAATATTTAATATCGTGTTGCAGAACACCGCTAATGAGAAGAAGAAGGGATGATGGAATTGAAATACCAGTCTTTATTGCATCCAAACTAGTACGAAGCAATGCCCTCCTCCAGCGCCTTGATCTGCAGTGCCAGCAGACGAGAATAGTATCTGCACAGAGCAAGATTACCGCCCATGAACCAGAAACCTGGGTAGCCACTTCGCCGCCACATAGTTCGAAATTCACCTTCCGAATCAAGGCCCCATACATCGCCGACTCGATCGGCAATCTCGTCACCAAAGATGGTGCGCGCCTGAGTGCGCATGTTCTGGTATCCCGTCGCAAAGACAATTTCATCCGCTTCCAACTCAGAGCCGTCAGCAAATTGAAGTCCGTTGGGAAGCACTTCGCTGATCTCCTGTCCCTGCTTGATCTTGATCTTCCCCTCGGCGACCAACTGGCTACCACCCACGTCGATATAGTACCCACCACCACGCTGGAAGTACTTGACTAAAAGACCTGCATCCATGGGGCCACGGTCGACCTTGAAGCCAACCTTCTCCAGTCCATCGAGGGTCTTTGCATCGTTCTTGGCGATCACCTCGAAGACTTTGACCTGCTGAGCTTTGAACAGCTCTGGAGGGATGCTCCACAGGTACGCGTCCGAGTCCTCGGTTGGGGGACCAGCTTCCTCGTACAGGCCTTTCAGTCCGATATTCACAATGGAATCCGAAGTCACAATGAGGGTTGAGCTTCGCTGGACCATCGTTACTTCGTAACCTTTCTCCACATAGTCCTGGGCAATATCGTGGCCGGAGTTACAGGAGCCGATGACAATCGCCTTCTTGCCATGGGAGTCGGGTTTCGCGCCCCTGAACTCGGAGCTGTGACAGATCAGATCGCCCTTGAAATTTTCCGCGCCCTTGAAGGTGGGCATGTTCTTTTTCCCTGAGTGTCCTGTTGCTTGAATAACGTGGTGCGGATGCAGAGTGCGGGTTTCAGTGGTGCCATCTTCGGATTTGCGCTCGAGGATGACAGTCCACTGCCTCTTGCCCTCGTCATAGGATGCAGACTTCAGTTCGGTCTGAGTCCAGACATTCAACTCTAGAAGCTTGACGTAGGACTCGAAGAACTCGGCCAGCTTGTCCTTGGGTGTAAAGATTGGCCAGTTGGATGGGAAGTTCAGGTAAGGCAGGTGGTCGTACCATACCGGATCATGGAGAACGAGTTGGTGGTACCGCCGTCGCCAACTGTCTCCGATTCGGTCTTCTCGGTCGATGACCAAGGTGTCGACATTGAGCATTTTCAGTCGAGCCGCGGCAGTAAGACCCCCTTGGCCGGCACCTGCAATAGGAAAGGGCAGTTAGAGTCTCATCAATAGTAACATAGGCTTGCGAGTCGAATCAATCATACCAACGATGAGTACAGTGGGATCTTTGTTGATATAATTGCTATCGGCAGTGCGTCTATCCTGCCAGTTCTGACGTCCTTGCTGCTCTCCATGCTTCACACCAACGGGTCTGCGGAAATTAATCGCCTCTTCATGACCCGTGAGCTCAAGCAGAGTAGTAGAAATAGTGAAAATCCTCCACTCGTTCCCTTCCTGTGCTAGTCGCACGACACCTTGTCCGATTCCAAAGTTGGTGGTGACCTTGATAAAGAACTCAACACCATGGACTTCACCAAAGCCATCAATGGGACCATTGTGCGGTGATCTGAAGGCAGATGAATGGTCAAGCTCAATTCTAATAGATGACGAGCTTCCGGTGACAAATCTCGAGACTGCTTCGCGTCCCTTGATGGTTCGGAAGTCCCATGACAGGCAGAGGTGGTCGCGCCAGTAGCTGTTCTCCAGAAATAGCTGAGCGACGGTGGCGGTATCTTCCTTCTCAAGTGCCTTGTTTAATTGCTCAACAACTGCGGTTGCAATCTGGTCAGGATTTTTCGGGGCGGCTGTGTTTGTTGCGGGGAAGTTGCCGAGTGGGATATTGCAGGAGCCCGGTTCCACTCGCTCTCGCGAAGGAAGACTCAGCTGGTATGCCACGCGCGATTCAACATCAACAGCTGCCATCTTGAATGTGACTGTCTGGTGGAAGAGGAGATGGAAATACCAGGGCAATGGACACCGACCGGAGTATGGCCGACTGCATTTAAATGGTAGTGCCGATGCCAACCCCGCACCCATGGCTGCCTCTACCCACGCAAGCCCAAGCAACTTCCGAAACCGCAGGATGAGCGCCACCAAGAACACTCAGCTGAGTGACAATCAAATTACTATTGTGTCCTAGTTCGTTTTGGTGTCTACAGGCCGCTACTCTAATTTTAGGTTCACTAACGAATTCGGCGATGCTTCCCCTCCATACACAGGTAGACCTGGACAATCCTGGGCTTTAATGCTAAGGAGACTCAATTAGTTTGTCGAGGACTATGCTTCTACTCAAGATTGAGAAATTAGCGCTGTTGGATGTTCGGGGCTTTCGTAAATTACGATTTCTTTTGTGCGTGTGGCCCCTCCCGGTCAATCCAGTGCATAGCGTGCAGGAGGTTGGTTGCACGAAGACAGCAGAGGTAGTCTTGACTCGGCGTGCTAACCAATCTTTTGGGAGGTGACTGACGATTTGTACCATTACTTCTGCGCCAAGGTGGCATTTAATCATGGGTTTGATTTGAGACACGTGCGAGCTTGAAAAGTGTGTTATCCGTAGTGGAATCCTCCTTCTTCATTCCCATGTTCGTTCGCGTACCCTCGACAGGGTTGAGCCGTAAGAGTATTCAAGAAATTTGTTTCCTTATTATTACAGGAAAATTTACATCCGGATAGAATAAGTCTATGGATATCTAACCTGAGTGTGTCCCTATCAATGCGTTTACCTATTTCCATCGAGCAATGAGGTAACCTTCAGTGCTAGGTTCAACCACCCGTCCTAATTAAGAATATATGTTTGAGCATACAACATTTGTGAACCGTCCACTTAACCAGTCTACAGGATTCTTGCAGAAATTTCCTTTCCTAGGCAGCTACTTAAATATTATACCTCTAGAAGCATGGTTAACGGGAAAAGAGGACCAAGGTGCTCGACTAGAATCTAACAACCAAGTAGCTGAATGAGAATTAATTTATCTAAAACCATAAGATCATATATCATATTTTCGCCCTGCTAATATATCAACAAGCATCATTGGTCTAGTGGTAGAATTCGTCGTTGCCATCGACGAGGCCCGTGTTCGATTCACGGATGATGCACAGCATTTCCTTTTTGTAGTTCCCCCAATTGGGTCTTTTTGGGGGTTCCACATGGAGCTCCGCCCTAACCGAGGATGGTCTGTCTAAGAGACACGGGATGAATTGATTGATTAGCAAAGCCTCCGTTGAAAGAGAGTCCGTATTGTACGAAGTATAGTGCTGTACTATGTACTTCCTAGCTTGCGGATAACCGCAGCCCCGTCGCACAATTACTCGTTACACATTATTATAATTGCGCCGAGCGGCCTGTTGCCGTAATTAGATATTTCCCCTTTCCGCCCCTGAGCGGACCAATACGCGGCGGAAGTGGAGAGGCTGTCGTGTCTTCACATATCGGACTCGACTCAATTGATCGCATTAACCCTCTGCTATTGTTTTGAGGGGCATTCTTCAAGGGTTTCTTTTTTTCACTTTTTGCGCGAGTCATATCCGAGTGTCAATGACCTCGAAGCTTATCCTTACTGAAATGCGTGAGCTGCGGGCAATCTTGTCCCAAGCAAATACCTGAAACTTGGTAAGAAAAGTCTAGACCACAGCAACTCATGTATGAATCCCCATTCAAGACTGGCGGAAGCGTCGTAAGCCTGCATCCCACTTGCACAGAATCGGAGACAAGCTCCTATCCATGACCAAACTATTGATTGAAATTTATTTTCAGTCGCACCCTTGGCAGGGCTGATGAGGAGTTCCAGCATTGATTTTAATTGCCCAGAGCTCCGCTCATTCACTCATCAAGTGGTGGTCCGCCATTTCTCCCTTTCTCTCTGTTATCCCTCGCTCTCGATTATACAGGCACTATTACATTCTGTACATCGATCGCTCATGACAATGCTGGGGCTGGAAGCTACAGCGTGAAAGCTGAAGGCAATATTATTCCAACATGAGTCGGGTCGGACGCCAATACCTAGGATGCTTCCTGGCAGTCCTGGTGGCATTTATCTTGTACAAACGCACTTTGTCGTGGAAAAAGGTCGACATTGAAAATAGCCCATCGGCGAACGCACCCCACTGTCCCGGAACTGTCGGACGATCACCCGCAGGTTGAGTCCAGACCCAGCTCGATATGGTCAACATTGCCAATACGATTTCCTGTCACCTCAATAGAAACAATACCAGAAGGACACCCTCAAAAAGTACCTAAAATTCAAGCTGGCTCCTCAAGAGTGGCACGAATCACTCTATGGTATCAAACAGCCCGGCAGTCGGCTGTGAAGCAGGCATTCTGGCGGTGTTGGAAGTCTATAAGTCAAAGGCATGGCAAGCAGACGAGCTCGCGCCCATTAGTGGCACGCCGCGTAATGGACTTGGAGGCTGGGGTACAACAATATTCGACAATCTCGATACACTGTGGATCATGGGCATGAAGGATGAGTTTGAAAATGCAGCTACAGCCGTCTCGCAGATGAGCCTCGCGGACACTTCCTCTCCAGATATCAATACCCACGAGGTCAATGTGCACCACCTTGGCGGTCTATTGGCAGCATATGACCTAAGTTCTGATCCCAGGTTACTGCAAAAGGCGATCGAGGTCGGTGATATGCTTTATGCTGCCTTTGATACCCCCAACCGCATGCCTATCATACATTGGGATCTTCACAGAGCCGCGCGCCAAGAGGAGCAAATCGCCGAAGAAGTAGCATCAGCCTCAGGACTCGGATCCTTTGTCCTGGAATTCACACGCTTAACCCAGATCACAGGAGACCAGAAGTATTTCGATGCAGCGCAGCGCGTGATGGCGACACTTAGGCAGCAGCAGGACTCTACCAAATTGGCCGGCATGTGGCCCGTTGTATTCAATGCCCGAACAGAAAATTTCGATGGGGACCTCTTCACAATGGGAGCGGAAGTTGACTGTCTGTATAAGTCTTTGCCGAAGGCATATGCATTGCTAGGCGGCCAAGAACCCATGTATCACAAGATTTACGAGAAATTTACACGCACAGCTGCAGGTCACAGCTTATTTCGACCCATGAATGCTGAAGGGAAGGATGTCCTGGTACCTGGCTCAGTGCGAGTCATGATGACCGAGAACGGCAAGTTACGCACGCACCTGGAATCCCAAGTTCATACTCGAGCGTGCTCTGCAGGAGGCATGTTTGCGATGGGTGCTGCGCTCTTCAATATCCCAATCCATCAACAGATTGCCCACAAATTAGTGGACGGGTGTGTATGGGCCCACAAAGCTATGGCTCTGGGTGTGATGCCTGAAGTGTATGAAACCATCCCATGCGCGTCGCAAAAAAACTGCCTGTGGAATGAGTGGCATTGGAAGCAAGAAGTCTACAAATGGACAATGAACCAACCAGACCCAAATCCTAGCTTGGATGTTGAGAAGTACGTTCGGGAACATCATATCGCCAAGGGATTTATTTCCATCCCCAACACTCGCTATAATCTACGACCGGAGACAATCGAGAGTATTTTTGTTCTTTACCGAGTCACCGGCCGGGAAGACCTTCTTGATATTGCATGGGAACTGTTCGAGAAAATCCAGAATGTCACCAAGACTTCCGATGCCAACGCAGCTCTCGCAGATGTCACCACGAATGGTGAACCAGTTCACAATGACTCTATGAAGAGCTATTGGATGGCTCATACCCTCAAGTACTTCTACCTCATCTTCGGTCCACCCGACGAGTTGAGCTTAGACGAGTACGTATTCAACTCTGGTGGACATCCACTAAAGATCCCCGAACGTACGGAGGCAGGCTTAGAATTCTAGTGAAAGGCAGATTTGACCTCTAACTGGTAACCTCAATTGTCAGCCCAGACCGATGAAGCACGGCGGTAATCTGTGAAAGATGAGTTGATCTTCACTTTGTAAAACTTGAACCTCTGAACCTACTCCTTCCTGGCTTGGATTGATCTATGTGTATATATTAACTCCGGAAAATGCCCGAAACGCTTCGAACACCTGAATATTAATGTAATTATTCTTATCAGCCACTCTCCACCTGAAAGAAGGTTGCCTTAAGTGGCCAAATATGCAATAATTATGCTCATTAGCTGTTGCAATACATACAAACGGACCCCGTATCCACGAGCATGCAGATGACAAACTTCTGACCTAGAACTACACCAGTCCCTTATTATAAGATCTGAAGACTCATACACCAATGAAGAACTATTGATAGTCTTGCGTGATGTGAGGAACAAGTATCGAAAATTATAGCACTTGGCGGCTTCTATGACGTTGAGGTCTAGTTCGCAGATGGTTGCATTTTTTAGCACACAGTCTGAATGCTCGGTTCGGCGCCGCCACAAGATTTAGATCAATGCACCCATTCTGATAAATTTGAAAGTACTATTGAAAAGTAAGAACATGAGATCATTGATGCCAAATGTCTGATCTTAGGCCAAGAGTTGGCACCACCTTTGAAGCTGTGCAACTCCAAACCGTACGCTGCCCGAATATTGCCGAGGATAGTATTTCTCACAAAGCAGCCGCGATAAATGCCGCTGCTGCACCCCCAAAGACCACACAGGGGTTACCAGTGACTCGGGACAAGCCCCCAGTGCTGGTATGAGAAGCGACGATAGTTGAAGATGCCGCCGAGGCAGACGAGGCAGTGCCTCCGGTAGCATGCACGTTGCTAGAGCTAGATGTGGAGGTTGAGCCCGTCAAATCAGTCGTGGTAGATGCAGAGGCTGTGCTAGTAGGACCAGCGGTGACAGTGACAGGGATAAGTGTAATATCGCTCTGGGCCAAATGGCCTGTCGACGTCCCTGGGAAATTGGCCCCAGTACCGCTCATCATCTCCGTGCAAACAGCAGTGGTCGTGCCACCCATAGAGCAGACAATGCGCCCCCAGCTATCAGTCATTGTCAGTTTAAGTTCTCAGAAGACATTTCTGGGCGAAAAGGGACAAAGGGGAGATCACGGACAATCCATCCGCAGGGTCACTCATTGCCCATTCCACGGTCTTAGGGCCTGAGGTGTACCACATTCCAGGTCCCATTCCACAATCCGAGCCATCAGTACCGGGAGGGCAATTGATGCTATAAGTTGTGGTACCAGCGCCCTGAATACATTGATCAGCTTGATTGAGTTTGAAGATCTCCACCAAGGGGTACGAACCTGTGCTACCAGGGAGGCGGCCAAAGGCTGTGGGTCAGTGTCGGGAATAAACAGCGAGACAACACTGGTCTGCGCGGTCGCAAAGCCCACAGTCGCCAAAATCGCAATGCAAGTCTTCAAAGCCATACTGAAAATTTTGGGATCGATTATGAGGGAGATAGGATGGGGGATTTTGGAAGGTGGCTGCTGGCCGTTTTTCCCTCCTTTTCTTTTCGGGGATGATCCGGCCCGCGACTCCGGGTCAGGGACCATTCAGGGACTAGTGGAACCAAACTAACCCAAAATAGATCAAAATGGGAATGAGGCTCAAGGGAGGATCGTGAGCACGTGTATGGTTTGTTTTTTTATTCACTTCACTCCAAAATAATTTACTAAAGAGGGCGATTTATAAAAAAAGATAGTTCCTTGCCCTAGCCGTCAATGAAGGGCGATCAAGCAGGCAGAATGGCGGAGTGATGTTGACGGAATTGCGTGGATGTCCCGGTTTCTCCGTGGACCATGAATAGTATCATCTGCATAGAATGGTTCATCTTGCTGGGAGCTCACGATGAATTGAACGGTACTAAGGTATGCTTCTGAATCAATGCCAATCGAGGGAGCTTCACTCGGATAGTTAGCTTCTGGGTACTAGTTATCACATGCAGAACTCGGATACTTGCCATCTATCTGCTCATAAAATCTCAGGATTGTGGCAGCAGTTAAGACATCCTCATTATACTTGGGATCCTTGGACAGCTCTAATAAGTATGAAGATACAAGTGTCATGGTAGTGAACCACTGCATCCACAGTTATTCGGGGAAGTTCGATCCCATCAATTGTCACGAGATTAGAGTCTCCCCTGCAAGAGGCCATGCGTATCAGATGACCAGCAGAGGCAGCCAAAACGGCATAGCGCAAGACAGGACAGAAAATTGCTCGTTGAGGGACGTGGAGCTCAAAATGTCGGTCTCTATCACAAGTGTCGAACTGTTATTTATTAGAATTGGTCGTATATATGTGAAATGGGAACACTCACCCATGGAGCCAGGTTTTCTGTAAAGTGTCGTATCAGACAAGCTTCTTCCAAATTGGCGTAAGATCTATCGGTGCAGCTTTTAAGGAGGCCCTTTAAAGGCCCAAGTGGATATTTGTCCCTCTGTGCTGGAAATGTGGAGATCGAAGAATGACGCCTCTCTCGGTCTTCACTTTGGACTTTCGGTGGATCTGACGTAAAGAATGATTCTGTTTCCATAGGATCGTAAGAGGCCCTCATATCAGATGCCGAAGCGTAATGGGTTGTCATTAGGTCCTTGTTTGGACTCTCCTTTCTTTTATCCCCCGAACTCCGGGGCTCATTCTCTTCCACCAAATACCTCTCGGAGGACAATTTTGGGACTTCCTGCAAGCCGGGCGCTGAGGCAGCGTCGCAGATGTCTTGGGACCCACTGGGAGTGTCATCTTCTTTTTGGGGTGACGACTCATCTATCTCGAGACTAGAGGTTTGTGTTGTATGCACATAAGAAAGCCGGCCTTGATATTCGCAGTCAGCCACCCGGAGTACCACGCTTGCGGCGATCACCACTCACCTGTTGGGTTATAATCCACCCATTCCTGGTTGGGAGAAAAGTCAAAGCTTTGGCTTCTTCGACGACCATTCTTGAATTTGAAGCTTGTTCCCAAGGCCTCGCAGGGTATCTTGGACTTGACGCAGTGCGAGCATAGTCTTTTGCCGTCACCTGAAAACAGCTATTAGCCTTGGCTTGTTATCGAGAGGCTGCGAGTATTACATTTTCGGTGACGAGCTATTTATTAATTGGTCAGATAATTGAGGATAGAGCCATACTTGAGGGGCACATACATCTGCACGAGTCACAAGGGTTCGAGGTATACCGTTGACGCGACGTCATTCGTTGTCGCAAGACCTGAGCGGAAGGTATCACGAGAGTGGTTGCTTTGGTGAAGCTTCTTCGGCGTTGAAGTTAACTGATCGCAAGTGTTACAGAGGCAATGACGACATCAAGGATACGGGTAGTACCTTGGGAGGATAGTACAGATTTGTCAAGGACAGTACGATTGTGCCTTTTTCGCTCGTGCGGGGAAGACGACCGCGTGTGTGGGCTATGGCATGGACTCTGGTAGAACCGAATTATAATTTTGAAAGACAGATTTGTAGGTCACAACAAGTTTTGTAGCAGACTGTTCATCCAACATTTGGTAACATATGGAGTGTTGCGGTCTACATTGTTTCTTGCCCGTATTGCGAGCCCATGAATGCTTCAGTATCCAGAATGCCAGGAATATTCCAGAAGCTCAAATCATCAAAGCCGAGAGCCGGAATCTAGAGAAATGTTAGTTCTCCGATCCAGAACTTCACTCTTGTAGAGAGGGAAATACTCACCATGAGGTCAAGATCCAAGCTTGACCCAATCGCGCTCTCGGGTGTGAACTCGCACAGTTTGTCAGCCGGCGTAAGCAGTGTGCCATCAGTCGCCGTTGCCGGAGACTCATTCAAGATATGTTGTTGCAGTAGCTTGCGACACGTCTTCATACTTTCCATGAAGGCTTCACGAATATGAGTCCACTCTGCCTGCTCTCCATGAGGCACAGCTTGAACCTGTGCAAGAACACCGACAAGAAGACAATACCGCTTCATACTCGGGATTCCTGCAACCAAGCCTTCATAAATATGGTCTTTGATTCGCTCAAGAGCCTGAATGAGTGGCCTGCGAGCTGCATGCACCATTTGATCAGCTCCGTTTGATGTGTACGATTGAGGGCTGATCGGTAGTATGGCACCTTCTTCTTCCAGTTGGGTGATGAGTTCCAGGCTGATTACTATGATGACATCCAGTGAAAGGCAACCCTTGAAGACGCCAGCCCCGGAAAGAGATAATCGATGGAAGTCTTGATACGGGGTTTGATCAGCCCCCGAAGTCGGAGAAGGATCCTCTGTATAAGATGCTAATATGAGCGCAGAGTCGATACTGAGTTTCCGTGATAGATAGAATCGCGGATCTTGAGCGGCCTGAGCTGTGAATGGGCGGTATAGATTGAGCAAGAATCGCCGTAGAATAGTGTCCATGACTCGGTGGTGAAACTGGGTTGGTCGAAGCATGCTTTTGCCGGTCCGGGGAAGCCATGTGTGAAACAGAGCGGCCATTTCCTTGCAAGCTGCTGCTACCTCCCCACCCAATTGCAGTGCCTTCTCGTAGGATTGCTCCTTGCTACAATCGTTGATTGTTCGTGCAATACGGAGTCGTACAGGGAGGGACTGGCAGAGGAGATTCTGCAGAGACGATGTGGTCCAGTAGTACTTGGGCTGTGATGGAGGTATATCAGTCGTCGACTGGTCAAAGTCATCGTCACCTAGATTTGCTGGAGGGAGCGTATCATAGTCCTCTGGAGCCAGCAGCGGAGGCATGGCTGCATCGAGTGAAAGCTGGACATTTATTTCGAGAATAGAGGCCCATATCCGACGCCGCATTTCAGCATTGAAGGCTGAAATCGCCGGGAAATTCCTAGGGTCGCGATGCAGACCCTGGTGGATAGCTTGGCGTAACAAAGTCCCAGCAGCGGTCCAATTCGATTCTTTATCCATTGCATATGCTTGGCGACAAAGAAGCAGAAGACAATGCACCTGCAACCCTTCAATACTCTCACGTTCTTTTTCAAATGGTCCAGAAATCCACCACTGAGCAGCATAGATCCATTGTCGAGTTGGTAAACCGAGCTCATTCGATGGACCTGGCTTACAATAAAATACGGATCCAATTGCCAGGATCAGCAGCAGCTTCATGACGAATCCCGTTGACGCGGAGCACGAGTTTTCCCAAAAGCGGTCATATTCTTGGTAGAATGACGGGATATGCATGACTTGATAAATCAAGCCCAGGGTCCGGAAGTAGTGACGAATAAGCTCATCGCAAATCTCCCTTGAAGGTAGATCATTGAGTACATCAGGAGCGGGATCTGCCAATTGCGGCGCTTGTCGACTTTTGATGATCCTCCTCAACCCTCGAACTTCTTTGAGAAGCCTGCTAATCTCATTTTGGTTACCGTCGGTATAACTGGCTGTGCTACGTACTTGACGCAACAAGCGGAGCTAGGAAATTCAATCAGCCCAGTGCGACATAGTCGTCTCGTAAGATGTCATACCTGGTGGAATATTAGGGCCCAATGCGTAGTGCCAAATAATCTCGTTCTTTCACCAATGCTCTTCAGTCGTGGGGCCAGTGGAGGAATCGTGGTCTGTGGGGGATTTGACCCTCCGGGCCGCATAGGTGCAGACAACCCTTCCAGCTCGGCAATGCGCCCACCAAGTCCATTCATGCTATTGATTAATCCAGAACTGCTATCAGATGGTAAAGGGCCATCCACTGGACCCTTTATCTGGCGCTCAAGACTCGAGAGGCGATCATGAAGAGCTCGCACGCTGCTCTCCAATTGTGCAATCCGAGTTGTATCACTTGACCCATCCGCCGAAGTACCATTCGCAGACGCCAGGTACAATCCAACAGGAGAATTCGGCGATCCATGCTCACTCCTTCTGGATAATTCGAGTCTTGCATCCAGGGCAGCTTTGCCCTCATGCACGTATGAGCATTTTAAAGAGCCATAAGCTTTGGTACACGGACCGCATGGCATCTCTTTGTCGCATTTAACTTTCCGGGCGCGACATTGTTGGCATGACAGGGCCGGGCGGCGGCGTTTGCGCGGATTTGACTGAGGTGATTGACGCTCATCAGTATCATTCATCATGAAACAAACTCTCTGAATGAAAAATCTGTGGTGTCGATCAAGCAGTCGTTGTGAAAGTACAGACCCTTGTGTGCGCTCTGTGTCAGCGTCGCTGAATTCCGGCAAATTCGGGGTTATGGCCGGACAATTAGTCAGCCATAGATCACACCCGAACTGCCCTCCAGTTCTGGGCAAACCAGCTTCGAGTAGTTATGACATGCTCCTGTGACTACCTGGTAGATAGCTACAAGTTCCTGCGCTCTCGGCACTCGGTACCTATTCCGAGCAGAAAATCTAGACCAGTAGCATTGTCGGGCTGTTCTCACTTCCGGCCCATGATAGGCTAGACCCTCGGAGGACGCACACTACCAGAATGCATAACCATTCAAAAGACGTAGGCCGGATATAGATGGTACGCTAGGTTACTTTCAATTCAGATTTCCAAGCCATTTGAGGTGAAAACAGGGTATCTATTGAAGTATTTCCATCCAGCCAACGATAATATATCCGAGATCCTCGCGTAACCCAGTTACGAAACAATTGAGCACCAATTTCACCTCCAAACCAAGAGAGATGTCAAGCCCTGAATCCCGAATCCTGAACCCGGAGAAACACCATCTATAAATCACAGGAATGTAAATATAAGAAAGAAAAAACAATTAAGAAGAACAATGAAAGAAACGGGCCAGAAGAGTCTAGCCACTGAAAGACATCGCGCGCTGCCGAGACGCCCTCTTCCGCAGATTGTTTTCGCGACTCTTACGGCCCATTCGGCCGAGGGATAATGTCTCGAGGGTATACGGCTTGCCGCCCCAGATCAAGTTTGAGCCCTTCTTTTGTTGCAAGGGCGGGATACAGAGGGTGGGTGACTACAGCGCCGAGAATCATGCATGCGCTGAAGACGAAAAGAATGATGCCGTGGCGGCGTGTTGAAGCTACATCTGCACCTCCGAAGGGGTAATATGTTGAGAAGATTTGGACGAGGATCGAGCCGAGTTTGCCGGCGCCAGCGCTGATGCCGTGGCAAGTGCCGCGGTAACGGGTAGGAAAGATTTCGGCAGGAATCATGTAAGTGGTTGCATTGGGACCTGGGGCATTATTAGCGGGTCATACCGATAGCATGATGGAACGAGGGACTTACCAAAGTTGAAAAGAATTTGGCCAATGATGTACAAAGTGACAACAGCTGGTGGGCCAGAATAGAGAGTGATGAACATGCTGCCCAGGGCGATGAAAAGAGCGGCCAGGGCCAGGAACATGTACTTTTGGAGAGCGACACGGTCAATGCGGTGTGCGAAAAGAATGAAAAGGAGACCTCCGACGAAGCTGCCAATGTTCAGAATGACAAGACCACGAACAGAGGTGTCAAAGAGTTGATCGTAGACGCTAACGCCAGGCCGGTCATCGGTCTGCCAAACGGGTGCTGAGCCAGAAATGTGCAGAGCACCCCATGTTTTAGCCAGGAACTGCGGGCTGGAAAGACCGATTCCATAGTATCCAAAATCAAGAAGTAACCAGGCGAAAGCAGTGCCAGCCAAGCTGCGCCAGTTACCTTCGGTCCAGAAGTAGCGGATGATATCTGTGCGTGCGAGGCGCCAATGAGAGTTGAGCGTTGCAGGGGCCAAACGACTGTAGTCCTCGTCCTCATCGACGGAGTCACTGCCCAGTGACGACATCGGTGGTAGCTGGATAGCACTGCCCGTTGCATATCCGAAATTAGGTTGCTCGAGAGCAGGGCTTGTGGGCTGCTCGCTAAAGAGCGTGGTCGCATCAAACTGGGCAGTGACGGGGTCATCTTCGATCTCGACGAGATAGCGCGGACTCTCAGGAATCGCAAACCGGAACAGAGTCGCAATAGCACCCGGTATGACACCGATACCAAGCACCCAACGCCACATAACGTCGACAGTACGGGTGAGGTCGTCGGAACCCTTGCCACGAGCGATAGCGATGACGATTAGAGACACCAAGTTTCCTGCGATCTGTCCCAGCGGCTGCATAAAGAAGACGCTGGCCATCATACGGGCACGGTGTTTCGTCGGAGCGAATCTGCACTTGTTGTTAGCACCAGCTGGGCGAAGGATACGTTCTGAAGAGCATGGTGTACATACTCGGATGTGATCACCGCAGACAATGGGTAGTCTGCACCAACACCGATTCCGACGCAGATTCTCCACCAGATCAACCAGGCATAGATATTCATACTGCCATTCTCGCCCTGGGACGACATGACAACGCCAAGCGTGGACGTAATCAAAAGGACCAGCTCCACACCATACATCTTCTTTCGGCCATTCTTATCGGCCAAAAACCCAAAGATCACCATACCAAATAGCGTACCAGCCAAAGTTGCGATATTGATACCAGTCAGTCGCAGAGACGAGGTCTCGTCTCTCCAATAGACGTAAGAGATCATAGGCAAAGCCATGTTACTGGCAAAGAGCTATTGCGGGGTTCCGTTAGCTATTCATGTAAGGCCTTGTTCGATCCCATTTGTTCGCCCACTCACTGTGTAACCATCAAGGAAGAAACCGAGACCAGCGACCAGCACGACAATCCACTGATAGCCCTGTCGGTCGATGGTCTCGTAGATCTGGCGCATGCGGACATATCGATCCTATGATCCCCAACCACTTCCCGTTAGCTACTCTGTCTGGATCCCCTCACTTCAAGACAAGACCCCCACGAGGGAGTCATTCCAGTAGGATAGCGGCTCACCTGTTCATGATCGAAGTCCCGCGCACGGTCGGTCTTGTATAGTCGGGCGTGAAACCTCCCCATAGTCGCTTTAGCGGAATCCCTCGACCGTTGAACGATGTTTCATGACCGGTACCCGGAAGGATTAAAAGGCGGGAGGCTTAGGAGATCGGACGCGAGATATAGTCAGACCCAGCGCCCCCAGCGTTCAGGTTCTCGGGACCTTTCCCCTCGTCAGGACCGCTTTTCACTTTCCGGCGAAAAAAAGGGCCAGGACTGGGCCATGGCCACTCGGTTGCCCACGCGAGTTAGCACGGCGTGGGGCCAATGAGTGCGGCACGTTGAGCCTCGCTGGTGAGCGAAGATGATCCCTGCTCGCGCTACTGCAGCCCACTCTGGGTAGCTCCGGCGCGCCTAGCGCTGGGTTTGGTTGGATAAACATGATTGGGATTGAATGAACTGAGTGGACCGTGGAGTGAGCACATTGAGAACTGTGACATTGTTCGTCAATGTTCGGGTCCAATGAGTGGCGAAAGCTTGGTCACTCAAAGCAAAGGACTGGACAATAAGAATAATCATCATAATCGTAATCATCATAATAGTAATCATAATAAAACGATAATCAAATCATCATAATCATCATAATAAATGACAAGCCAGAAAGTCCTTTGTTGCAATGTACAAGTCCAAGGCGGAGAAGACTCCCCGTCCGATGAGGAAGCACGAGAATCCCCCACCGGAGCGGCAGCCTGTCACTAGTCCCCGATCGGGTTAAGCGGCCCCCACCCGCACGAGCCAAACCGAACGATCACTGTCCACACGTGCGGCCTTCGCAGTGCTTGTGTCGCTCGGCGCACGCCCCACTCCACTTCAATATGCTTTGTACCACGCTCTTTTGACCACGTTCGCTCGTGAAACATGACAGGACATGGCGACAAGAGGTATGTATGTTAAAAGTACCCATCCTGATGATTGTGGTGATTGTAGGACCAGCTCTTGACTGTCTGACTGCTGTCCTATGCCATCCTACTACAAAAGACTTCGTCGTCTTGGCAAGTTATCAAAAGTCCCTTGCTCCTGTCCGGCCTGTCAGGGGGATTACGCGATCCCGGGAAATTAATGTTTCAATGAGAGTGCTTGAATTATATTTGGTATCACACGGTAATCACACTCCGAAAAACTCCGCCATGCAAAAGTGGGAACATCGGTGGAAAGGTAAAAAAAAAAGTCTGAAGAGTTCAAGAACAAGTCAAAAGTCAAAAAAGGGAATAAAAAAAAGAAAAAAAAGGTACCCAAGACCACAGACCTGGGAATTAATCTAATCATCCAATCGTAAGGTCCGTGGACAGCAGCTGGCAAAAGCTCTTGCAATCTAAAGAAGCAAATGTTGTTAGCGAAAAGGCGCTCGGACTTTCGTCATTGCAATGCAATTCCATGACACTTGAGAAAGAGCACTGACCATCGTCATTCAGAAACGTGATCTGAAGGTTTCGCATTTGCGATAAGATTTCAAAGTTCGGATTGAGTTCGATGATGACCGGCCGCCCGGCTTTCTTCGGTGGTTTCACACTCCCCACGCAGTTGACTGTGGCTGGTTTTAGATAGAGGTTCCGGAAGTGAAACGGAAGAATTTCTTTTAATTGCAAGGGGATCATGGGGCTGGTACGGTACACCCGCCTCGGTATCGGAGTATTCCAGCAACGAGACAGACGAGGTAGATGGACTGTAGAAATGGATGCAATGAACATAGACTGGACTCACGAGGAATGGATACGTAGCGTTTGAGCGCACCACGTTGGGAATTAGCAAAGTATAGCATAACCCGTTTGCCATTGTGCCCGCGGAGGACTCGAAGATTCTGGCTGATGCACTCCTCGCCTCGGCCCTTGGACTTGGCCTCGGCCATGCCGCCCAGGAAGACCAGTTTGGAGCAGAGAAGAAGTTCTTGAAATTGTACACAATCTACCTGCAATCAGTATATGAGGTCGACAAGCCAGGGAAATTCTTCAGTCGTATACCTTCCCAGTTTTCGAATTTATATGATAATTGGGTCATGAAGACCACATGGGCAGTTTGGACGGTCTGTTGATCGAGGAAGGAGATGCGGAGAGGGTACTGTTCACTGTCTTTCGGATGTTCGATATGTGGGACGGGTAGTTTTGTATTGTGGACTGTGTGCAACGATTAGCTTAGTCTGCATCTTCCAAGTCCATCGTCCATCGCTGATCATGGTTCTCTCGGTGGTTACTTACAGGCGTGGATAAAGGGTGCTTGTTGGCCGAGACCTCCCCCAAGCTCAAGACATTTCAAGGCCCCCGTGGAATCTTTACATACGTCGATGTATGTATATCGTAGTTTAAACTGTTGACCACTCTTGATGAAAGAACTATTGTATAGATGAGCAGGTTAGCGACATCAAGCAGGGTGCATGGCCCAAGACCCTGCTACCACGACACTCCCAACGTACATGGACATATGAGGATTGAGTTGGAGCCGCACTACATCATCGTAGAGCTGCCATGACTGCTTCCGCGAGCTTGTCCCGGGGGAGGTTGCGGGGCTCTGGAAGAGGATGCTGGTGGAGGCGGACGACACGGTGGAGGTTGAGACGGTGCTCTCACGGCGTGAAGAAGTGCTTTCCCACTCCTGGAATTCTGGTGAATAGGGAAACTGATGGCTCATGGCCGCGAGTCTCGGGGAGAGACGGGGTCCCGAGACTGGTTTTATTTTAATAGCGACAGGTGGAGGAGAGCAGGCGCATTTGACGGGTACAGGGCGGGTTCAAGGCGGATCTCCATCCAGAGATCGACCGGCAGGAACCATGACATGAGCTGACGGGAATTGGGCTGAGAAGACAAAGTTTTTTTTTTTCGGCGGCGAGTCTGGGATGCGAAATGAATATATGGCGCGCCCGTGATAAGCGCGGGAGTGTCAACATCCAGAGCGAGGTCATCAGCTGAACCAGTCCCGGGCCAAGGACGACCACGCAAAGTGGGCGACGAGCGAACCAGTCGAGTGTGCAGAACGGCGCAGGCCATATACAAGCACCGCATTCTGGAATTTTTCCGAGTGAACCGAAATAATCCAAAAAAATGGATCAATCAACGTCGATTCAATCAAAAAGTGATTCGCAAGCCCCCAACGGGGCCAACTCTGGCCGATGTGGAGCGCCCGCGGCAAAACGTGCCCAAATGGCTGGCCAGCAGATCGTCCCGTTAGGCGGGTCTGACTGCGACTGGAAGTACATCAACTAACTTACTACATCCACCCCTCTCCATCGCCTATTCCTCCTTCCATGTGGCATTGGGCCCTCTCCCTCGATTATTCTCGATACTAGTCCCAGTAGCTAAGTACAACTTCGTACTAGCACACTAGGCCTGACATGCTGGTCCATTGGTGCGTTGCCCAGTGATGGCACATCAACTACCCTCGCTGAGGGATCCAATGACCAACATGGATCAGCTTCTGCATCAGTCCTTCATCCTCAAGGGTCACATCGTCCCACGTCTAGACTCGGCAATGCATGCCCCCAGCTTATCATAGCTATCCATTTCGTACCTCTTGTTTACTTCCTTCCGTATACAGAGCCGTATGCACGCACCTGATATCCCCAGCGTGAACCATCCACGGAGTTTTTTAACTCCGTCGAAAAGCGATAAACTTTTCTCATTTTTATCACCTCAATATAGCTTTTCCACCGTTGTTTCCTTTCCCACTTCATCCGGATTTGGGTTCTAAGCTCCCATGGATCTCCTGAACCTGAAAAAGCTAATCCCAAGCCGGAAGTACTCCGAACGTTTCGAGAAATGATCTGGAATCTTAGATCGACCGATGCGGTCATAGCTCCGGGACAACCGCAAGGGGGGCTCAAGGCCCTCGCTTCGTCATCGGGCTGGGAAAGGCCAGAAGATCGAGGCGGAGTGTGAGGCTATGGCTCTGGGGGCATGACCCTCTTTTATCGGATTCCTGGGTCCCAGGGCAGACCCATATCTATATACGGAATCCTCAGCTAGACACCCCTGGTCCAAAGCCATAGGCAGTCACCACACAGGGCACTTGATGATATTTCGGATCCCTCAAGGCAGATTCATGATTTGCATCTCTGTCAGCGGACCTGCCTAGCTTAGTAGTTTCCTCAACTTACCAAATCCCACCTCGTTGCTTTCATTTCCACCGGAGCCCGGCACAACACCACGTTTCCCGGCTTATCGCTGTATCCGAGGCTTACTCCGTACATTGTATCGTGATTCCCAAGCCATATCAGCCCATAACAGCCACCACAACCACAGCCGCGCCTGGAACCAAACGCCTCTCCCTCATTAGTATCGTGTCCACTAACGCACGTGCACGGAATCATTGTATTCAAAGGGCTGCAGGGCATCCAACATTCTGCCAAGATCTTGGAGCTACCGGACCGGGACAAGCTCGGCAGCCCAGTGAAACACGTCTGGACTCTCGCAAGCCAGATAACCGTATACAGTGTATGTACTATGTACATTTTCCAGCCTCCCCGGTCCCCTCGATATTTCCAGGAACTGCGTCCCCACCCACCGAGACGAGGTGGTCTGTTCACACCACACTGGATATGTGGAAGAAGAGGGCTTGCGACCTGGGGGCCTCTTCGACATCACATCAGCCAGTGGTGTCTGAGCGACGACCTTCACGAAGTCAATCTTTTCATATCGCAAAAAAGAAAACGTGGTGCGCCTTGACGCCGTCAGCGTCTCGTAGATTCTGCAATTCCAAATCCCAGCCATGATTCGGCCGAGCCACTGTTCGCGCCATGGCGACCACGTCGTTCTCGCTCCGGTGACTGCGAGAGTAGTAGTTGTATATTTTCTGAGGAGCTCATGCAAGTCCGTCCCGAGGCTCGGATATAGTGCCTTCATTTCCACTGTTCCATTAGTGATCTTGTTCATAATATCGATGCTGCTCTTTGCGGGTTCTAGACTGCTGCCTGGTGGTCCCCTCTCGGGTGTGATCACCACGCAAAGTCGGCGACACCTCGGAGAGATTTTGATGGTGAAGAATGAAGGTCAGATATGGGAATCATAGGCCAGTAACCGGTTCACGGGAGCCTTTCCTGATATACCACGGGAAAATCCATATTGAGCCATGAAGAACATGACAAGAGAGTTGACATCTGGAGAACATGCCAAAAACGGGTGATCGTCCACTCGACGGATCCCTTGGGGAAAGAAATCGGCCCCGGATGACGGCTTGTCAGTGGGATGCCATGTGGCAGGGCACGGTTGAAGAGGAGGTGTTGATCTTTTCCCATTTTCTCTCCCATCCCCGATCCTTTCTACAAGCTAGACCACTAAGGTTATGAAGATCTGAGACTCCTGTTTAGCTAGTGCGATACTGGAGTATGCAGGATTCCAGGGTTCATAAGTGTTCCTTTTGCCGGGCGACGGGCTCTAAAATGGTGCGGACATCGTGAACCACGAAGCCGAGTGTTCGTAGTGCAAAGTGATTGAGCCCGGGCGAACTGTTTCTGATTGCATTTTCTCGCACCTGGGAGTCGGAAAATTATCTCGAGATCGAGGCAACATGCAAGGCACCCGTTTTGTAATGCTTGTTGAAGCTGGCCAAGACAAAAGCAGTACCAAAGGAACGGCCATAAGAACTCAGAGACTCATGATGCAGGCGATGCATAAGTTTAAGTAACTTCCCAGCATCAGTGATGCTTGCCACCAAAGCAACTCCGGTGATGCAAAGAACGACAGACCACGCGGTCTCGCCGGTCAAATTTGTTTGTTTGATCAATAATCTCATGACGACCAGTGATCGTCCCCCACCTCCCTCTTTGCACTCTAAAGAGTTCCCTCTCGTTCGTTTGCTAGTTTTCGTCGATCACTGGACATGCACGATGGAGAATTCCACAAGCTACGGCCCTAAGGCCGAATGATCTAGATACCCACTTTTGATCTGCAGGGGGTGGGCCACTAGTAGCTCATAATCGCATTGATCCCCCGCCAAGAAAGGAGTTGACGATGATGACTTGTCGTAGTGGGCGTTGTGAAGACTCATACATCTGGATCAGTGCCCAGATGCTGCAATCGTCGCTTGAAGTGCACAGCTACTCAAGCATTCAGACAAAGAGCCAGCGCTGTTGCGAGGACGTTGGCAGATCATTGAGATATGATTGCTGTTGAGAGCTTTGACAGACGATATGTCATGTTTTGCTGCCTTTCAGGATCTAATCACCATTTAGCGAGAGGTTAAGCATTAATTTCTTGATCCAATCGACTTACATATCATATCTACCAGGCACCGCTCACGGAGCTCCTTTCGTCAACCGCAATGGCCACACGGTTTGATGGATTTTGTGAGGGTTTGAGCATTCATATGATTGAGCTCTTGAGTTCCAAAATAGAGCAACATGACTCGTTAATAATTCATGCTTCACGCGAGCAGTCGCTTCCTAGGGCAAGAATCGGCGTGTCTGTTAAAAGCCAAGCAAGTTAGCAGATTGCGGGGTGCATGACGATGTCGGAGTTAAACGGACCTAAGATTGGACTAGGCATCCCTAGAGACCGAGACCCTTTTTACATTTGTTTTCTTCCAGCAAAAGTGCAATTGACTTCTGAGTCCTTGTCGCTGTTCTTACATTTGCAAGCATTTCCAAAATTCCGTCAAGTACATACTCTATCACCGGTTATCAATGCCTTCGCTAGCCGGGAAGCCGATCGGCCACAATGGCCTGGGACTCATGCGTGCGTTGCCCACATCCCTTGCCAGCAAACAATATACAAGAGCTGACAATTGCACAGGTCTAACGTGGAAAGACGATGTGACACCCGATGAGAAAGCCTTCAAGATTCTCAAGGCAGCTCTTGCCGCTGGCGTCAATGTCTGGAATGGAGCCGACTTCTACGGCACACCCGACAACAACTCTCTCCACCTCATGAATCGCTACTTCACGGCCTATCCGGAGGATGCGGAAAAGGTTGTTCTAACCATCAAAAGTGGTATTAAGGATATGCGAACTTTCACGATGGACTGCTCCCCCGAGGCAGTGCGGGAATTCGTGGAGCGCGCAAACGTCATACTAGACGGGAAGAAGAAAATCGACATCTTCGGCTGTGGACGAGTCGACAAGAACGTGCCAATCGAGGATACTGTTGTTGCATTGGCAGAGCTTGTGAAAGAGGGCAAGATTGGTGGCATCCAGCTGAGCGAAGTTAGTGCCAATACCATTCGGCGCGCCGCAAAGATGGCGAAGATCGACATGGTCGAGGCTGAAATTAGCCTGTGGGCGACAGATGTCTTTGAAAATGGCGTCGCCGAGACCTGTGGTGAGTTAGGAATCCCTATGATCGCTCATACTCCTCTTGGAGCTGGTATGCTTACCGGGCAGATCAAGAGCCTGGATGAGATGCCTGCGAACGACTACCACCGGTTCTTCCCGCGCTTCCAGCCCGAGAATTTTGAGACCAATTTGCAGCTAGTCGCGAAGCTTGATGAAATTTCTGCGAAGAAGTCATGTACAACTGCTCAGCTTGCGCTCTCTTGGATTAAGGTTCAAAGTCATCGAGACGGTATGCCGGTCATCGTGCCTGTTGCTGGCGCTAGATCCGAGCAGAGAGTAATGGAGAATGCGACGGATGTTCCGCTGTCCGATGAGGATATGGCTGAGATTAAAGCCATTCTGGACAAATTCCCCGTTGCAGGAGATCGCTATCCACCTGCTGCTGCAAAGCTTACAGAGTATTAACCTCGTTTTGGGCGCTCGAACGTGGGTACGCCGTGAGGGAGATGAGGTTGAAAATCCGATTGTACATAATATCGCTGTATCTCCTGAAATTCTAGTACTCTAGAAAATAGATTCTCTAAGTTTGAAGAAGGCCCCCTACAGATATTACTGTGTTTCACGGTTACTGGGTCACATTTCTTTGTCCCCCATCCGAGAACAAGTAACAATTGGTCTAGTGTCCGAGTATGCTTTGCGATCTCGTTGAACCACGATCACGGGCCTTATCACCATAAGAAGAACGTTGCTGATTTGCTTGGATCTTTTGCGAACAGGACCACGCCCATTTGTATGAATTGGGGTGACAATAAGATAAGGTTTTGCCACCTCGCTGCACAGCGTGTTAGCTACAGGAGTTGGCCAGGATTCGGTTGCTATTAACCACCATTTCGGGTTAGTCTCCTGAAGCCATCGCTCAATACTACTGGTTGGTGGACTCGACAGTATCGCTTTTAGCTTCTATCGTGCCATCTACCTGATCATCATCGACGATGGCCAGGACGCCGTGGACCCTGAATTTCGAGTTCTTTGTCTGCTCATTTCCTACATGAAGACCGATGCTTCCATTTTTCACACAATCATAGTCTTGACATGTTTCCCCCTCCCCATGTTTTAGGAATGTACAGTCACTTCTTTCTTCCTGTGCATGAAAACCTACTTCCTCCTCCGACATTCTCGAGCACGATGGACCTTGTATTCTCGAAGAAGTACCAACCCGTGCCTAAAGCTGAACCTGACGACGATGCTGGTAGCGATACCACTGTGACAAATCGCCGCCGACGGCGTCACCCAACCTCGCTCTTTCCCAAGCGAAACCTAGCCGCAATTACTATCAGCAGTCTCCTGCTCGTCCTGATACTTCTCGTCTTCACCATGATTGCTATCCTCACGTTTGAACCTCTGCGTGAAGTAATCATCGTCAAATCATCCCCACTCAAGTCAGCTGCATGGCATGGCCAGCGACAATGTCTCCCAACAACTCCCCGAAGGACTCTCTCCTGCGGCAACTCCACAACGGAAGCCTAATCCCTGGGCTGCAAGTACGATCCATTGCCGGCATGCTGGCTTCACCAAGAATGTCCGCATGATTCTAAGGAGTTTGAGACGTTCAATGCTGGCAAGCCTTTTGTCTATTACTATGAGGAGGCCATGACGCGACATATGAAAGACCTTGATGAGGTTGGGCACAATAGCCAGGGGTTCTATTGGACTTCTCTACGCGAGCATCTGGTGCACTGTTTGTACATTCTGAGACGCAGGCATGACGTCCATATGCGTGGAGACCGACTTGATGATATGCTGCCCAAGATGGAGCATGTGGATCATTGTACTAATTTCCTTGCTAATTGGTTTCGACGACCGGATCCCCAGTTGGACAATCCAGTTGGCACGCAGGGGACAACAAATTGTTTCATGTCTTGTGGCTGAGTCCAGTACGTATGATGAAAGCCTATTGGTTTAGCCATGAGCAGACTCAGATTGAAGAGGTTGATATTCGGTGCATCCCGTGTTTTTTGGACTGTGATATATTGTAATATGAAGCTGGATATTACACATGCAGAGAGAGTCTAAGCAGGAAGAGTCGACTGGTCTCCGGAGGACTTGTATTTATCAATGAATCTTGTTGAAAGAGAATTCCGAAATGTTGTGCTGATGTTCATAAAGAAGCGAAAGCGTTCAATAAAGTAGCAGCAGAGTTGTACAATCTCGGCTCTTCGATCGTATTTACATATTGAGCTGAGATGGAGAGTCCCGAGAAATCTTCCGAAAAGAGAATCCGACTCCTACGATCATTCATCGTGGTATACAGGCATAACAATGTCTCCCACCATCACCGTCCTGTGATCCGGCAGCGACTCAAAGACATCTGTCTCTTCCGGCGCAAGTGCTGCATATTTACCAAAACAGACTTTGCCATTCACATTTCTGGTTTTTGCGAGTGTGGAGAAGGGCTCTGCACTTCGAATACCGGTAAATTGGTCGATGCAAACCATTTGGCATCGTTGACAGGCATCCAAAACATCAACTCGAAGCTGATCGGGGCCAATGCGAATAGAAGACCAGTGGTCCTCAGCATAGGGCTGCTCCACATCTCCGAGTTGGGCGAGTCGCTCTGCCACGACGATATTACCTCGGAAGACATCTGCAGCAACGGCCTTGCTTCCACCGGTGCCTTGTTTAGTGTTGGCCTTGATCGTTTCATTGAGACGGTTGACGGATGATCGAGACACAACTAAAATTGGCATCTCGTTGGAGAGCAGGAGGGGGTTCTGAGTGGTCTCGCGAACAGGAGGTGGTAGATCAAGCGGGAATGAACCGGGCATGATAAGCTTTCGGAATCTGTTTTTCCATGTGCCCGACATGCGAGGGGGTCGTGAGTATCGGTTGGAAGTTTGAGCTGGGAACCTGGCAAGTGTGCAAGGAACACCAAGGAAATCTGAGAAGAATGTAGATACAACCGGTGAGGAATAAGCATGCAGGGAGATTTGATCGCCACAGACCGTGGAAGGTCTTTTGGTGTTTGTGCAAAGAGACGTGGAGATGAGAGTGGTGTCTTCCCATCCAAGTGAAATCTCAAGGCTCACTTGGTCGGTCAGTACACCACAGCTGATTCGCAGAATACCCCGGTCAAGGTCGATAGCAGGGCGAATGAGAGCCATGCGTGGGTACCTCTTTTGGTTCAACGCTGAACCAGTTCCTTGGTGAATCAGGCACCATTCTCGGTCCCAGGCCAGTCCCTCCCTTCTGACCTCCCATCGTTTGCCTTCTGGGATTTTGAAGGCACCGCAGCTCTTGATTGGGAAGACTGAAAGGCTTTCAATATAGAAGTGACGTCCAACAATGTCAGTTTCCTCGAGAGGCGGATTCAATGCAACAACAGGTGGGATTTTCTCCACGTAAAACTCTTCAATAAAGTCAACGATGGAGTCGATGTCCTTCATATTTGTCATCGCGCCTAGACTAACACGGAGGATTCCAGTTGGTCGTCCACCTATGATGTCGTGGGCGTCCCCACAACGTAGGCCAGTAGAGTAATGGCGACGCAAATCTGGGCCCGTCCATCCAAGAGCACATGCAGTACCTCCAGGGTTGCAAACTGACCCAGTTCGTATTTGGATATTCTGGACAGTTGCCAGTTTCTCAACCTCGGTTTTAGGAATCCATTCGCCCTGACTGTTCCGTATATTGAAGGCAATGATGGGCCCTTGGGTAGTAGGGCATCCGTAGATTGCGTTCGTCTGGTATACCTGGCACACATTTGCCTGGTTCCAGTGAGTTAACACAGAGATTCGGTTGTAGAGTCGCTTTGCCAGGAAGGCTGTGTGCTTGGAAATGTTTGCCATCGAGCCATATAGACGTTTGTGGGTATCAAGGGCGGCATTGAGAGCCAGAATACTATGGAAAGGCAAAGTCCCATCCTCGAGCCGCTCGTGGATAGAAGATTCCTTCTTTGCATGCCACTGTACACCTGCTGCAATGACCATGTCGACCGTACCTCCACCAAAGAATCTGCGCCTCTCAAATACACGCGCAGCACTCTTTCGGACGATCAAAGCGCCAAGATCTGGGAATCCAAAGATCTTGTAGAAGCTGAGTGCAGTGAAGTCTGGCGCCACGGAGCCAATGTCAAGCGGAGCCGTTGACACGAATGACGCGGCGTCAAGTAATGTGTATACATTCCCTCCACTTTGCTGGGATGCTGAACGCAATTCTTTGCACCATCTGAGAGGGAGGCGGCGGCCATTCATGTTCGACTGCGCTGGGAATGCAAGGAGTCTCGGCGCCTTTGCCTGGAGGTTGGGGAGTTCAGGGATCCAAGAATCTACTTCTGCGTCGTTTTGGAAACATTGGTGTCCCATGTCTGCTAACTCGCGCACTCCAACCAGACTAGTGTGAGCGTCGACATGGTAACCATACCAGAAGCCGCGATGATCAGAGTCCCGTAGAGAATCAGCGACAAGCTTTATGGCCGCGGTTGCATTGGCCACAAAGACAAGATCGTATTCTTCAGGGTCTGCGTTGAAAAATTGGAGAACCCGCAGGCGGATATCATCTGTCCGTTGAGTAGAAAGTTGCGATGACAGCGACATTGAATGGGGGTTCCCAAAAAGGTTTGATGTCATCTGCTGCGAGAAAGCCTCAATCATAGACTTGGCATATGGCGTTGTGCCGGCATGGTCAAGGTATGTCGTTTCTAAGCCAATATAGACACAGTCAGTATAGCAATCACTGGAATAGGGATTAATCATTCGCACCGTTCAACAAGGGATACTCCTGCTCACGGATAGTATCCACATCTGTAGAATAACCCTCGCCATATCCAGCCAGCGGAGGTTCAGTGCTTGAGTGCTCCATGATCATGGATGAGAGAATAGAATTGTCCGTAATTGAAAGCGTGCAAATGCAACTTGAAGATCCCAGTACGGGCAACAGTCAAAATAGAAGTGGTGGTCTTGGGCAACTCGTCTCGAACGAAGTTGGTAGACGGTCGCTTTATAGCCAACGCTGGCAAAGCATGAATCTGAGGCCGACCATCTGTCAGTCTCACGCTCGATGGAAGTATTGCATACGGGTATCAAAAGAGGCATCCAGAAATAGACTGCATATTTGTGCAACGATGAAACAATGGGCCACGGGTTCGAGGAAACTGAGGGGGTACCGCAGATAAGGCGGATAACTATAAACGATCGGAGCCTACCGACAGGGATGATCAAGCGCTTCAAAAGCGATGTGTATGTGTACTTTGTTTCCACACGAATATTAATGAATGCTGGCTTGCGCTCAAGAGATGACATATGTATCCATCAGGAGCTGCCATTGCCTTTATAAAGAAACGCGCTCGGCAAGAGGGGCGATGGTTGTCGAAGCGGATGAATTGGTTGCACTCCCCCGCATACTCAAGTGGCAATATGGGAGACAGCCATGTCATGTGACGTGGACCCTGCCGTTGCGGCTTTGCCCACGCGTTTTGGTGCACGCCTCGTAAGGTTTACTCTTCCAGGCATGTCCATCCAACCATTTCCAAGGTTGGGGCATTGAGCTGAGGATAATTGGGGGAGGGGGCCCATGGATCATCTCGCCGGCCTCGTGACTGTCAGTATGGTCGAGTCCGCATAATTGCAGCTGAGGTTAATCCTGGCTACATATACTTCCCTGCAGGGGCCGAATACTGTGCACCAACCACCGCCCTGCTTGACGTACTCCATTGATCACGGACCGACAGATATCACCTATATCACATTTATCCAAGGCATACTCCGTGACTCACAGGATTCATGCTAAGTAGTTCAGCTGGCCGCGTTAGGTACTCTTAACTATTGTCAAGGTTCTTAGCTAACGATGGTCATCATGTCAGCTTACCAACTCATGCCAGGATCTATAAGAGCCGCTTGGCCTAAAAATACTGCAACTTTTGGGGCCGGATTCGAGCCCTGAGAGCCACGGCAGCTCACGGGCAACCAACTATGTCGAGGATGCATGCCTACGCACATCTGCTTTGGGGCAGGCAGATTATTTTGCAAGGATCAGGGGACTCGACAAATTACAACTTAGTCCTGAATCCTATAGATGCTGCAATATCAAGAACAAGGACCAGGTTTGCCCAGGGCCATTACCTCTAGGAATGCAGGCTGGAGGCTTTGGTTCAGCTACATTCGGCCAGTTCAATATCACGCTTGCTGCTAGGACTAACCTGCACCTGCATAGAGTTCTTTGAAAGTAATAATGCATTTCAGCTAGTGTGGTAGGATAAAATAAACCTCAATGTTGATTTCCTGGTGTCCTATATGCACACAGTGGCGAGATGGCTTAAGTCTAGCCTCCCGGATATCATTGGGCAAGATGCCCACGCTGTATATTGTACAAGTTTTGTAAAAGAAAGGCGCAAATCAAAGAAAAACTCCCATCCCAAACCCCTGCAATGATTCATACAAATGCTTCTGCCAAGGGGATTCCACACGTAATGGAATTGGTCGAGCGATGGCGCGGACAGATATGGCAAGAGTGGACCGGTGAGAAACGATCGAACGAAATAAAGCAATATTTTCACATAGACCGTCCCATTTACCGCTTCGGCCACTGTCTCCAGCCGCGACCATGACCTCTCTGCAAGACAAGGTTAGCTCCGTTCTCATGACCAGAGTGATTTGAAATAGACTCACCTGCTTCCACAAACGAATCATCTCCGGCATCTCCACCATCGCCTTGCGGCGCTCCTCGTGTCTTGCCTCCATTGTCCGCTCCCACTTGTGACCCTTGACCTTCTGGCCGATACCAGTTCCCTTGATCCGCAGACCACGCTCGGCCAGCTTGGAGGCCTTATATTCGGTGGACTTGGGACCCGGGGGCAAGAGTGGCTCGACGTTGTATTTGATAGCCAACTTGACTAGATCTGCCTGCTGTCGTAGCCCATATCGGGGACCAATCCACTTCTTGGAGTTGAAGATCTTCCGCGGCAAGAATGGGTTCTGATTCTTAGAGTCGTTGTATAAGAGGGCACGAGAGGGCGAGAAAGCCTCAGGGTCTGGCCGGTGGGCACCCTTGGCATCACGATCGGGGGTGTAGGGCGAGGGAAGCGTCTGGTCGGCGGAGGCTTCGCCCTCCGGAGCAGTCGGACGCGGCGCGACCAGGGAAGAATAGATCTGGGGAGGGTAGCGCGCAAAGAAGTTGCGAAGGCGAGCAGGCAGTACGCCCACATTTGAAGTGATGGAAGACATCACGGCCGTCAGGGGGTGATCAATTGAGGCCGTAGATGATCACGATGTTTTGGGGTGATGGGCAACTGATAAAAGTTGAAGCCCGCTGGCCGCATCGCACTAATCCATTTTAGGACGTTGTTGTGGCCTTACCGCCTTGTTCGCCTCGGCGCCTCAGGCGGAGAACTTCCCCAACTCGTCTTTTCCTTCGGCTCCAGTTTTCCGTCGGTTTCAGCCTCAGCATCCCTTTACACTTGCCATTCTTACCATTATCGCCCTTGTCTCTTGTCGCTGGGCAACATTATTTGCTCTGATACCCCTATTTAATTGTGCGCATACCCAGAATCCCGGCCATCATGGCGGACTATCATTTTGGAGGCTCAGAAGAGGAGAACACGGAGCTCAGGAAGCTTGAGACCGAGCTGGTACGTCAAGAGCGTAGTGACCCGCACCATATGTCTCTGACCGTTACTAACATCTCACACAGGTCGATGATGCGGACAACTTCGAGACCTGGGAGAAGCTTGTGCGCGGTGCAGAAGCCCTCGAGGGTGGAATCAATCGCAATTCCAATCCGCAGGCCATCACGACAGTGCGCAACGTTTACGATCGGTTCCTTGCCAAATTCCCTCTTCTCTTCGGATACTGGAAAAAATATGCCGACCTAGAATTCTCAATCACCGGCACTGAAGCCGCAGAGATGGTATGGACTCTTGTCCCCAGCCCCCCACTTTTACGAACGCAATCCGCGATCTGTCGCATTTGCTGATAACATGAAATCTAGGTCTATGAAAGAGGTGTTGCCAGTATCTCCTCTTCGGTAGACCTCTGGACCAACTACTGCTCCTTCAAAGCTGAAACTTCACACGATGCCGATATTATTCGAGAGTAAGTAGCAAAAAGCTGGTTTCCTTCCCTTTCCCCTGTAACCGTTACCAATGCAGCTTGCGAAAGCCTGTATGATGCCGATTGTGTTTGAAAGATGGATACATGCCAGTCACTGCGATTCCATTGATGACGGGTGAGAGATCATCGCCTTACCACCCAGACTCAACTGGTGTTTACTTCTCACCCATGGCTCATTCAGGCTGCTTTCCTTCTCCACATGACCAAGACCTTCTTCCTCCTACCTGGACAACCCAAGGAACAGTTTCGTTCGATGACCCCCCCATCTTGACCTTCTGCGCAAAGCACTGGCTGCTTTCTTCATAGCTTGCTCACCCTCGTTGATTTTCGGGCCTGCCATAACGTGACAGAGTGATCGCCTATGTTTGCCCCATCATTTCTTCCTCCCCTATACCTCCCCTTCCTCCCATGATCTACTGGTGCCTTGAACATTTCATACTAACTGGGCATCATCATAGTCTGTTTGAACGTGGCGCCAGCAGTGTAGGCCTGGATTTCCTGGCACATCCATTCTGGGACAAGTACCTCGAGTTCGAAGAACGCGTTGAGGCCCAGGACAAGATCTTTGCCATTCTTGGCCGGATTATTCATATCCCGATGCACCAGTATGCACGCTACTTTGAGCGTTATCGCCAGCTTGCGCAGACTCGCCCTTTGGCTGAATTAGCACCTGCAGAGACCATGTCCGAGTTCCGGTCGGAAATCGAGGCCGGATCCTCTCAAGTCCCCCCAGGCGCCAAAGCCGAGGCTGAAATTGAGCGTGATCTGCGGTTGCGGGTTGATAACTACCACCTGGAGGTGTTCTCAAAGACGCAGACCGAGACTACCAAGCGCTGGACCTTCGAGTCAGAGATCAAGCGGCCATACTTCCACGTGACTGAATTGGATGAAGGCCAGCTCACCAACTGGAAGAAATACCTTGATTTCGAGGAAGCTGAAGGTTCTTTCAGTCGCACCCAGTTCTTGTACGAGCGCTGCCTCGTGACATGCGCCCATTACGATGAATTCTGGCTCCGCTATGCACGATGGATGGCTGCTCAGTCAGGCAAAGAGGAAGAAGTCCGAATTATCTACCAGCGCGCTAGCTACCTCTATGTTCCCATTGCAAACCCCACGGTTCGACTGCACTATGCGTACTTTGAGGAGTTGTCAGGCCGGACAGATGTTGCCAAGGATATCCACGGTGCTATCCTCATGAGCCTCCCTAGCCATGTTGAGACTATTATCTCTCTGGCTAATCTGTGCCGCCGCCACGGTGGCCTCGAGGCGGCCATTGAAGTATACAAGACCCAGCTGGACTCCCCACAGTGCGAAATGGCTACAAAGGCTGCGCTCGTTGCTGAGTGGGCTCGTCTCCTGTGGAAGATCAAGGGCGCCCCCGATGATGCTCGCAAGGTGTTCCAGGATAACCAGCAGTATTACCTTGACAGCCGGCCGTTCTGGACTAGCTATCTGATGTTCGAGATTGAGCAACCCACAAGTGCAGAGACTGAGTCGACTCAGTATGACCGCATCAAACAGGTTGTCTCTGATGTGCGCTCTAATAGTACCCTTCTCCCGGAGACTGTCAAGGAACTCGTGCAAATCTATATGGCATACCTCCTCGAACGAGGTACCAAGGACACTGCCAAAGAATACATGGCTCTGGATCGTGAGGTTCACGGCCCGGCTTCTGTGGCTGCTGCTCGGACTGGAGGCACTTTCGCGGCTCCTCCCGCCGCTGCCGCACAGCCCCCAGTTGCTTCCCCGGGCCAACAACCCACTCCAGACCAAGCCGCTGCTACTGCTCAAGCATATGCCGCTTGGCAACAGCACCAGGCCCCTGTCAATGGCGGACCAGTTGCCTAGGTTCATGGCTTCCACCTGATCCTGGTGCCTTGACAATGGCTTCAGTTCTCCCTCATGTGTCTTTACGAATGCTTTCATCCCGGCGGTTTTCTCACGCAGCTCTCCTTTTTTCCCCTCTTCTTTTTGCTGGGTGTCCGACACCTTCTCAATCTGGGTGGGTGACTTCCTTTCCATGTAGCATCATGTTCTTGCCGATTCCAGGCCTCGTTCTCGTTTCCTGCAGGTTTGTTAGCGATTTTGGTGAGCCGAGAAGACCCTCATTTCCCCCAAAGTGGTCTTTTATTTGGTCACTGCTTTCCCCTCTTCTCTACCTGGTACCCCTTTGTTATTGGAGCAACATGGTGGTCCCATTCGGATCAATTGTACTTTAGTTAGGCATTCAATGTGAATTTCTCTCATATCTCAAGTCTAATCCATGAGCGCCAAATATGCAACTCACGTAGCCTTGTCATAGTTCCCTAGGTTCAAGTACCCCTATATTTCTTCATCATCTCTGCGGAAATGGCCCTACGTAAATACCCTTGAGAATGCGCTTGAGGATGCTCCTTCGCAGACAGCCGTCTATCGCACGTGACCACGCGACTGGCCCGTCCTGACCGCCGTAGAAATTCAAGATGCGGATGCGCTCAACGACCATCTCGCCGCCCGTTTCTCGTTCTTGACCATCAACTTGCTCTTGCTTCGGGCAACTATGGATGGGATAGTGATGAACGGCTCCGCTGGCCCTCCTGGCCCTCCTCCAGATCCAATAGAGCGCCCAGCAACTCCCCCTCCGCCTCCTCCTGAAGACTTGGGTGCTCCTCCGCCACCGCCAGATGCTACGGTTCCTCCTCCTCCTCCAGAAGATGAGCCTCCCGCGCCCCCAACCGAAGTCAAGAAGAGAAAGCTAGGATGGGGAATGAAGAAGTCTGCTGCAGCTCCACTGAGTGTGGAAGAGCTTATCCAGAAGAAGAAGGATGCGGATGCCGCAGCTGCAAAGGTATGTCTGCCCTTCGAAATCGAGCGCCATGCAATCGCGGGACCTATATCATTTACTAACCCTTGCTTTTCAACTCTTACAGCCGAAGTTTTTGTCCAAAGCACAACGTGAGAAACTCGCACTGGAGAAACGAGCCAAAGAAGTAGAAGCTGAACGACAAGCCAAGGCGTCCTTGAACGGTGCCAGTCGCAATGGGGTTTCATCCGAGTCGCAGCCAGTGAAACCAGTGAAACCAGTGAAAACGGACCCTGATCGCCGAGATCCAGCTGGACGAGTCCCTACCGGTCCACGCGCCATGCGTGGTGACGTTCCAACAGGGCCAGCTGCTTCGCGAAATGGACAGCCATCACGGAATCGCGACATGGACCCGCCGTCTCAGCCGAGGTCGAAGAATTCCAAAGGAGAGAAACAATTAACCGAGGAAGACGAGGTTACAGCACACGCAGCGCTCTTGAAGCAACGATACATGGGAACGGAACAGACCTCGACCTTCTCGGCAAAGAAGAAGCGCAAGCGCACCACGGACCGGAAGTTCAACTTCGAATGGAATGTAGAGGAAGACACCAGCGGCGACTACAATCCACTATACCAGAGCCGACACGAGGCAAACTTCTTCGGCCGTGGCAGACTGGCAGGGTTCGGAGAGGACGTTGCAGATAACATGGTGCGCAAGTATGCGCAAGCACTGGAGACCCGGGATCATGAATCGGGTAGCATGCGCGCCAAGGAGATCCTGGAGATGGAGCGTCGACGCCGCGAGGAAAGTACGCGGAATCAGCTTGATAAGCACTGGAGCGAGAAGCGACTGGAACACATGCGGGAGCGAGATTGGCGTATCTTTAAGGAAGATTTCAACATCGCCACCAAGGGTGGCAGTGTGCCAAACCCCATGCGCTCTTGGGAAGAAAGTCAATTGTCGAAGCAGTTGTTGGAGCTCATCGATCGTGCTGGCTACAAAGAGCCTACTCCGATTCAGCGCGCAGCTATTCCGATTGCTCTTCAGTCGCGAGATCTTATTGGTGTCGCTGTGACTGGTTCCGGTAAAACAGCTTCGTTCCTGCTCCCGCTACTGGTATACATCTCAGAGCTTCCACGGTTGGACGAGTTTGAATGGCGCAAAAACGACGGACCGTATGCGATTGTCCTGGCGCCTACTCGTGAGTTGGCCCAGCAGATCGAGATTGAGGCAAAAAAGTTCACACAGCCACTTGGGTTTAACGTCGTCAGTATTGTTGGAGGTCACTCGCTTGAGGAACAAGCTTTCAGTCTGCGCGATGGCGCGGAAATTATTATCGCCACCCCCGGTCGTCTTGTCGACTGTATTGAGCGCCGAATGCTCGTTCTCAGTCAATGTTGCTACGTGATTATGGATGAAGCCGACCGTATGATCGATCTTGGTTTCGAGGAACCTGTCAACAAGATTCTCGATGCTCTTCCAGTCACTAACGAAAAGCCCGATACTGAAGAGGCCGAGAATCCACGCGCCATGCAACAACACCTTGGCGGGCGAGACCGCTACCGCCAAACAATGATGTACACGGCCACTATGCCCGTGGCCGTTGAGCGTATTGCACGAAAATACCTCCGCCGTCCGGCCATCATCACAATCGGCGGCGTCGGTGAAGCAGTCGACACAGTTGAGCAGCGCGTCGAAATGATTCCCGGCGAAGACAAGCGGAAGAAGCGACTCGCGGAGATTCTCTCCTCAGGCGATTTCCGCCCTCCGATCATCGTCTTCGTCAACATTAAGCGTAACTGCGATGCCATCGCCCGCGAAATCAAACAAATGGGTTTCTCATCCGTTACCTTGCATGGTTCCAAGACGCAGGAACAACGTGAAGCCGCGCTGGCGTCTGTCCGAAGTGGTGCTACCGATGTCCTGGTCGCCACTGACCTCGCTGGTAGAGGTATTGATGTGCCAGACGTCTCGCTTGTCGTCAACTTCAATATGGCTACCTCCATAGAGAGCTACACCCATCGTATCGGTCGTACCGGTCGTGCGGGCAAGAGTGGTATTGCTATCACGTTCTTGGGTAGTGAGGATGCCGATGTTATGTACGTTTCAAACTACCCTTCACCTTCACCCTCACTCTTCCACATATTAATCAGGAAACTAACTTTGACTCCAGGTACGATCTCAAGCAAATGCTCATCAAATCCCCTATTTCTCGCGTGCCCGAGGACTTGCGGAAGCATGAGGCGGCCCAGTCGAAACCAACACGTGGTCAAGGAAAGAAGATCGAGGATAGCTCCGGGTTTGGAGGAAAGGGCGGATGGGCGTAAATGCTTGTTGAAAATTCTGTATTATTTTGAATCTATACCACCATCCTCTTACTGCTTCGATGGGTGCCGGTCGGCAGTTGGGGGTTTAACGATGTTCTTAATGAAATCCAGCGGACTTGTCCTACTCCATTTATTCCACTTATCTTAGAACGATCATAGGAAAGAGGCAGTGTTTCAGGGTTATCTACAGTGTGCGTTCAACGTGGAATATTATCCATATTATTCGTTCTAGCTCTAGTTGAACTTTTCCTAGCAGATGTGGTACTAAGTGGTTCCATGCCAGTGACTGTGTTGAGTAGAGTGTGGAGATAGATAGCAAATGAGAGTTCCAGAGGCTTAAGGACACAACCCGTGCGCCATTGCCTAGTATTGCGTGAACCCGATTTTAAAAGCAAACCCCCGAAAACAAGGACCACCCCCGGGCGCGCCAAGAGAAAGAAATCACAGCTTGCTCTGGAGGTACTGGTTGTTCTTCAACCAGGACTCGACGTCCTCGCGGTCACGCTGCAGCCAATTGATCTTGGCACGGATGGCGTCCAAGCTCTGGGAGACAGCACGATCGTAGCCCTGCAGAATTGTTAGATGACGATTTGGATGTGAGGATACTGAAGTTGGGGTTATTAAAACTTACTTTGGTGTCCTTGGCACCGAAGAAGGCCTCGACCTCCTTCAGCTGAGCCTCAGTACAGAAGGCGGAAGAGGAAAGCTGGATGACAGTGCCCAGCATGCCAAGCGAGGGAGGCAGACGCTTGTAGATCGCGTCCCAGTTGTCCTTCAACCAGGTCCAGCGCGCCTCAATACCAGTGACGTGGTTCCGGAGACCGGCCAAAGGCATGTAGATATCTTGGCTTCGGACCTCCTCGCTCATGGCGAGGGCGAGAGTGCGCTGAACGAGAGCCGGGTCCTCGGCAACACCGAGGCAGCGGAGGGCAGTAGTCTTCTCGTCAGAGGTAGGGGCGTCACGGAAGCGCTGCAGGATGACATCATACTCCTTGGCACCACCGAACTTCAAGACAATGGTGAACACATTGCCGCGGAGGTTGGGGTGGATGGCGGAGTGATCGCCAGCAGCGAAGCGGGCGAACATGTCCTGTGCAGCCTTGACAACAACGGGGTCGCCAGCGGTACCAGCGCAGCCGAACATGAGAGCCTTGAGCTGCTGCAGGATGTGACCGTCCTTCTCAGAAAACTCCCATCCCAACTCGTGGGTCTTGGCAGAGACCAGCTCACGCTGGAAGGTCGTGAGGGCATCCTTGGTCTGATTGTTCTCGAAGACCCAGGAGGCGCGGACAACGCCAATACGGGTAAGCATCTCGTTCCACACGATGAACTCGCTCTCAGTGTCCAGGCCCTTGAGCAAGGACAGAAGGCCAGAGGTCTTCTGGTAACCAGACGAAGCCAAAGCGCCAGAGTCAGCAATCAGACCAGCACGATCCTCAGTGGTCAGGAGACCCTCCTTGGCAGCCTGGCCGAGTTTGGCGAGGCGCTCGGGGGAGTAGGAGGTACGGTAGATGCCAGAGTGGTCGGCATTGACCTTGAAGAAGTCAAGATCGGGGACCTTGAACTCAGCCTCACGCTCAGTCAGCATGGTGCTCTCATCAACGCCCTCCTTGGTCCGCAGGCCAAGCATGCAAGGGTAGAGAGTCTTATCTTCCTCGGGGCGAACATCGCCAGTACGCAGGAAGCGGTTCTGCTTCAGGCTGATGGAAGAGGAATCAGGGTTCTCAGTCACACTGATGACAGGGAAACCGACGTTCTTGGTCCAGATATCCATAACAGACTCAACGGGCTTGCCACTGGCGGCAGCCAGAGCAGACCACAGATCGCCAGTCTCGGTGTTACCGTAGGCGTGCTTCTTGATGTAGGCACGAACACCCTGGAGGAAGACGTCCTCACCAAGATACTTGGAGATCATGCGCAGCACGGAAGAGCCCTTGGAGTAAGAGATGGCATCGAAAATCTGGTTAACCTCATCGGCACGCTTAACGGGAACCTCGATGGGGTGGGAAGAGCGAAGCGAGTCAAGAGACAAGGCACTCTGCAGGTTATCAATGACATAGGTCTGCCAAACCTTCCACTCGGGGTAGAAGGCGTTGCACGAGTACCACGACATCCATGTAGCGAAGCCCTCATTCAGCCACAGACCATCCCAGAAGTCCATGGTCACGAGGTTACCGAACCATTGGTGGGCCAATTCGTGCTGGACAGTCTCGGCAATTCGCTCCTTACGAGAAGCACCACTAGACTTCTCATCAAGCAGAAGATCGACAATGCGGTAGGTGATCAGACCCCAGTTCTCCATGGCTCCGGCACTGAAATCGGGCACGGCCACCATGTCCATCTTGGGCAGAGGGAAATCACTATCGAAGGCCTTCTCGTAGAAAGCCAGGGTCTTTGCGGCAAGCTCGAGTGAGAAACGACCGTGCTCAATGTCCTGATCCGGGGTAGCGTAGACGCGGATAGGGACACGGAAGTTCTTGGTCTCGATATAGTTCAGGCGACCCACAATGAAAGCAACCAGGTAGGTGGACATGACGGGCGAGGTATTAAACTTGACAGCCTTCTTCGCGCCGTCCTTGATATCGGTCTCGGAGGCAACATCCATGTTGCTCAAGCAGGTCATATCCTTATCCGCAATCAGGGTCACCGTGAACTTGGCCTTGAGAGCGGGCTCGTCAAAGCAAGGGAATGCCCGACGGCAGTCGGTGGGCTCCATCTGAGTGGACGCAATGTATTCGGTCTTGCCATTCTTCTTGTATGAGGACCGGTAGAAACCGGCCATGTTATCGTTCAAAATACCAGTGAAGGTGAGAGTCAGCTGGGCATCGGCACCGGCGGAGATAGCCTGCTTGAGCTGGACGGTGGCCACCTGGGTCTCCTTGTTGATGATGATCTCGGGCTTGGACTCAATGACGGCGCCCTTGGAGTGGACCTTAGCAGTGTGGATGTCGATCTCATTGGAGTTAAGGGAGACGAAGTCGGTGTCCTCATTGACCTGGAGGCTGTGTATACGTGTCAGCAAAGACTCCGCAGCTCCATCCTTCTCGGAGCTTGCTTACTCGATGGTAACCGTTCCATTATATTTGAAAGTCTTGAAATCTGGCTCAAGAGTCAAGTCATAATGCACCGGCTTGACATTGGTAGGCAGGACCTCGCGGCCCTGGACATTGGTTGAGCCGGAGGGCTCGTCACGTCGGGAGCTGCACATTCTTCGGTAGGAGCAGTATCGCTTGGAGGTTTGGGAGAGAGATAAGCGGGATGAACGAGGCTGAAGAGATCGAGGGCGAGAGAATGAACTTGAAGCTAGAGTTGACCGAGGGGCGGAGAGAAAGAGGGGGAGGGGTCTGGCGGATAGAAGCGGTGGCTTTGCTTGAAGCAACGCACGCGAGGAGAAACGACGCATCAGGACAACAACCCCCGTCAATTGAGGGGCCAAAGCAGGACAAACGAGAAATATAATATACACAGGGCCCAGGCACCCAATAATATACAGAAGCTAAAATGGAACAAAGAAAGACAGCAGCAACCCAAATCTGGAGAACAATCCAATTTCCCAATCGAAAAAGAATCACTTCCCTGGCAGAACCAGGGCGGTGAGCGCTTGGCCGCGCATTCCCTTGGCCGCCTAATTTTTTTTTTCTTCTTTTCCCTTTTTCCTTTTCTTCTTCTTTCTTCACCTCACGCAAGTCAATACCAGCGCATGCCCCGTTTCTTCCACGGCAGTCGACTGTGGAGTAGCTTTGAGCTGCTCCTCCTTGCAAGACCATGCACCAGTCAGTTTGAGGGGTCTATGATACACAGCTCGTTTGCTGCATTCCTGAATAGGCTTCCATAGAGAATTGGGACATCTATATCTACCAATGGAGTTTGGAAGAAATTGTCAGCAGTGAATTTTCGCTGCTGCTTTGCTGCTGCTTTGATCTATCACCGCTTCCTAGGCATATTGCGGTGGCTGGTACTAAGATGCAGCCCCATACCGCTAAGATTTGCACTGAAACTATCCCATTCATATATATACAGAAATTTAACACTGAAAACATTCATTTATGTCCATCTAAATCCGTGTATGTTTAGTTCAGTAAACCGTATCTAATAACGCGCTGCTGCAGAAGACTGCGGCACTCGCGTAAACACACTGCGCGACCATCCATCTGCATCCACCACTGACTCCTTAACAAGCACATAACCGCCCCATCGAGGTAGGAGTACAGCCCAGACAACATAGTAGACAGCTCCGAGCGCAAATAATCCCAGAGCAACAACGCAGTGCAAGTAGTATGGCAGCTGCTCGTAGACATTCTGGCCTGCATCGGGGGGCACGTAGGGAGCAATAACCAGGTACACATTCGACAAGAGAAAGAAGACGGTCACTGGAAGCGTCGCTCGGATCCCAGGATTCCAGTTGGGGTACTTGGTGCTCTTGTTCAGGTAGATATAGATGAGGCCCCCTGAAACAAAGACGTTGATGATCGAGAGCGGGTATGAGATGAGGCTAGAAGATTGATTAGGCCAAGGTCAAATATTCTGGATACGGTATGCATGCTCACTTGAGAAGGAAGTTGTAGGCATCACCAGGTGGAGGAGCCAGCAAAATAATTGCCGACACAATATAGTGCTCCAGCAGACCGGCAGCTGGTGAATGGAATGGCCAGTTACTGGCAAAGAACTTGGAGAAGGGCAAAACACCCTCTCGACCGAGCTCTTGGACAACTATAGACCTGGTTAGTCTTCAGCAAAACATCAAATTTGGGCTCATACATACTTCGACCTTGTGAGAACAGCACTGACAAAACATTGCCAAAGGCCGAGAGAGCCACAAAGACAGACATGACTTTCTCAGCCTGCTTCCCGAACATGTTTCCAAAGAAGACAGCAGCAACCACAGTGCCCGACTCTAGCATTTCCTCCTTCGACACCGCTGCAAAATAGGCAATGTTGACAAACATGTATAGAATACCGACAGTGCCAATTGCAAGTGGTGCCGCGATTTTCAAGGTACGAACTGGATTTCTCGTCTCGCTCAAAGCCTATACCACATTAGCTCCAAGCCTGATCACTCACTGACTGGGCATATTGACTTACATAGTTAGCATTAGAGTATCCAATAAAAGACCAAATGACATTGTATAGCGCCATCACAATGCTATACCCACTGCCCTTGGTTCCTTCAAACGCATTCCGAAAGTTATGCGGCGTCTCGGCCTTGGTGTGTCCAGCAAGGGCAACCCAGCCCGCCACGACAATGAACAAAATAATAATCAATTTGATGATGCCGAGCAGATTCTGGAGACGAATACCCCATTTTAGAGCGATGGAGTGCACGAGGAAAGCAGCTGAGAGACAGGCCAGTCCAATACCACGCTGGTTCCATCGATCGACCTCGATCTCAGCTGCGTTGAGAATATACTGGCCAAACACCACGCTGTTGCTGGCAGCCCAGCCTAGGAGAAATGCATAGGCAGCGAACATGGCCGTCGCCAGGAACTTGGGTTTTCTGTAGACGTATTCGAGGTAGTTCTTCTCGCCTCCATTTCTAGGAACGCCAATCAGTATGGACTCTTTTCAAAGGTCAAGAAAGACGTACTTTGGGATAGCCGTGCCCCATTCCATGTACACTGCAGTTCCAGCCATGGCAATAAACGTACCAATCACCCACATGATCAGTGAGAGACCAACGCTACCAGAAAGAGATAAAATTGTGCCCGGCGTCGCGAATATACCGGTTCCAATAACGCGGTTGAAAATTAGCAGCGTCGCGCTGAAAACACCCAACTGTCGACGATTCTCGGGTGACGCTTCGAAGACATTTCCTTCATCTAAATTATCGCCACGTTAGACATATCAATATCTTGAAACCAGAGTTCGAAGTAAATGCTAACATAGTCCTGTAATTCCATCCGCGGGTCTAGGTCCATTCTCAGTCTCTGTAGGCTTCGCATTGTATACGGCAGATTTAATCGGAGTCCTTTCGGTGACAGATGACACCGTGGAATCCGCCATCTTGAATTCGAAAAATTTTCAGTCGTTACCCATAATAATTTAACTGCCAGATTCTGACGCTGAACTGCTTATAATATTTCATCACCCACGGCTAGCAACGGGGTCAGCTATAGATGATGTGCTGGCGCTAAAAGTGATGCAATACCATCCCGCCTGGGCAGGATACTACCTCAGAGAAAAACCCGAGCACGGTGAGCATTGCCGCCTGGATCGATCGAGAGAAACCATGTGCTTTGATTCGTGGGTGTTCCAGAATACTGTGCTCAGAAGGCAGCCTCACTCGATCCACTTTCCTGTTTTCGAATGGAAGGGTTCGAGAAGGGAAGGTCGTGAATGGTGTTAGTGCGCACGTTATTCTTGGCCGGGCCGAGTCTAGTTCAGGTCGGCATCCCACACGCGAAAAGCAACTACAGTACATAGGATAGGACGAATTGCACTACATTATAGAATAGACTACATGAGAGAATAATGGAAGGTCAGTTGACCTTTCATGCCGAGACTAATCTCGTCATTTTCTGGCTTTTGTATGCGAGGTTTTTCTCAGCAAGAAAAGCCTCGGCGACTCCCAGAAAGTAGTTGTTCGGGGACAGCCGAGAACAGTCAAAATCCTGGACCGAGCTTGGACCTTCGGGATGCATGCGGGAAGGGCGTTGCGGCAGGAATGTGGAGGGCAGTTCAACGAGCATAATTTTGGAGAATCTCAAGAACATAGAGTCTACTCAGTACTATAATAGTACACAACATAGACGGATTGATCCTAACCAGAGGACATCTCACAATGATCTATAGATAATGGATTTGAGATCGATATTGCAGTACATCTCGGTACTTCCGCGCCTAGACATGGCCAAGAACGCAGTGAAACCCTGACACATGGAAACCGATCACGCCATTCCACGAACCCTTGGCTCAAATCGATCCGCTCAAGCTCTAATATAAGTTTGTTCGACGACAGGTCCCTGACTCTGATGTGAGTGAGGTGACATTGATTGCGTCAAATCGCCTCATTGTCTAGACCTTGCCGAGTTATCGAGTTCAATGTCGAGGTACAATTCTGACGTCAAGGGTCTGAATTAAAAGGGTCTGAAGATGGCCCAACCCTATGGCGTCCATCGTGGGTCCTACTGTAGTTTTGAACAAGGTCTGAGGGGACTATAATGGGGGAATTGTTCGAGATATCTGGATACTCCTAGTTTAGCCAGCCACAATGTAGGATAAGACATGTCTAGATTTCGATGCAACAAGTGGGTCAAGGATGACCTGACAGGGTATTGTGGAGAGAACGGCCAGCCAAATGTCGAGATAGCTACAGGATTCACATACATCTTCCCAGACGGAGGCTAGCAAAGAATTCTTAAACCATACTTAACCAAGACTACCTTACGACCTTCAAGGTTTGCGCCCTCATTCAGTTTATCTCATTAGATTAGGAGAGTTTCATTGAAACTATGTCAATTCAATCCAAGATCAAGGGCATTCTCATCTAAATCTGCATCACATGCAACCCATCCTCCATTCCATCCATGACCAGAATAATCCCCAAAAAAACTCCCTGATCTTGTGCAATCCAAAATTCTCGCGTAAAAAAAAACAGTTCAAAATAGGTACCAGTCTGTATACCGCCACAACCCCACGTGAAAACGCCGATGGAAGCAACCCCATGAGAAAGATGAAACAAAAGAGGAAGAAGAAAACGGGATAAGAATAGGAAGAGGAAAAAGAGGAGAGAAATCCAAGAAGGGGGAAAAGAAAACGACGACAAAAAAAAACTCCGCTTCCCCCTCGTGCAGTGGGATATATGGCAGGGCACTTAAAAATTTGGACATGAATCAACGACATGAACATGAAAAGAATTAGTATCTCCTCGCCCGGGGAGATGGAAATGAGGTAACGTAGAAAGGGACGAATGCGTGACACAATGACGCGGTTTATATAGTGACCTGGTAATTGAGAGGCTGAAGATGCAATATTTCGCGGGATGTAAGCGGATGGAAGTAAAATTGTCAACAGGTTCATCGAGGTGGCGTTGCTCCTGTCGCATGCGACACGGGGACTAGATTTGACGATGGCATTCGTCCACTGTTCATGGTCGGGGTAGTCCCCGAGGTTCGCTTTGCCAGAAGGGCGAGCTTCTTTCTTAGAGCAGCAAGGCGGCCGCGCATGCTAGACACCACTATTGCAAATGTTAGGGATCAGCGTTGTCATACGAAAGGCAAGACGGATAATAGGAGAAAACCTACACTTAACAACCACTTGACGATCCTCACCCTGCAGACCATCCACCGTCGACTTGTCGCCACCCTGAGAAGAATGCTGTTGGTTCCGTGATTGTCCCGAAGTCGAGTGCAATCCATCGTCCTCTAGCACCGCCTCCAACATACGGATGGCAGTGACATAGGCAATCTCACATCCGGCAAGATCCTCGCTCGTCAACTCATTGATGGCCGCAGTCCGACTCATCTCCAACGCGCGGTCATACATTAACTTCTCAGCCGTAACCCCAGGACTCACCACCACGTCGGCGGATCCACCGGAGGCAACAGTAGAGCCCACTGAATGATTATCCGGATGACTAGGGTGATCGAGAGGCAATCGCTTCTGGCTTTCGATGAGCTTCAGACGCACAAACTCGGCTTTCTCCAAGACCTCGTTGAACCGGCTTCGAACCCATTGCACAACATTATTAATCCGAGCGCCAGCGAGTACACTGTTATCGCCACGGTGCGATGAGTCCCCATAGCTATCCTCTCGGTTCTTGCGTGTCCACCAAGCACCAGCGATATCCATGGATTTGGCCAGTAGGGATAGCGCCTTCACGTAGAGAACCAGGGCCTCCTCGGAAAGAGTCACGATGGCGTCGACCGTTAGTCCATCATCGGAATCACTGGGGTCCTCGCCTCCACCAACATGTCGCGCAGACGGGTCTGTTGAGGCCGATGGAGCCAGCGGAATAAGTTGTTTATATTTGACCTCTGCAAACCCGTAGACAACGTCACTACGGGTAGCGCAGTCTTCAATGATCTGGACTGTCCGGCAGTCCTCATCAACAGCTGCGGTGGTCTTGATTCCATCGCCCATGAGCATCAAACTTGCTTGTGCAGCCGGGTAGGCCGGGAAGGGGTTGTAGGCGAGAGGTGGCGACCGCCCGCCTTTGGTGATAGCCAAGGGAGGTGAAAATCCCATTCCAAACAAACGGCCACTGGCCATATTAAGAGCCTTTGAGATCGCAGATGTCGCAGACGTCGGGCTTTGGCCATATCGTCGCTCGTAAGAATGTTGACGTTGGTGAATCGAGTCAGCTCGCGCACGTCCAGGAATGACCTGCATAGCTTTGGAAGTGTAATGCGGAGAGGTCGAGCCCACAGTCGGAAGTCCCTGAGTAGTTGCACGACGAGGTGCAGAACTACCTGGCCCGCGAGCAAAGCCACCTTGAATCCGGGGACTATGTGCCAGTTCATCTGCGAACGCGTTAACTTCCACCGCCCGCTTCTCAACTACCACATAATCCCGCTCAAATGCCACTTCCTGAGCAGCCTGCTCGCGCTCTTCCACCGTCCGATCATCTTGACCGGGCTTTGACATTCCAGAATAGGTTTTCCGGCTTCTCTGTCGTTCCATCGCTGCTGCTGGCGTATTCCGATCGATAAGCTCTTGTCGACCGGGTGCCGTAGCGTGAGCGATTACACTAGGTCGCTGTGGCGGTGTTCCACCCCTAGGGCCCTCTCTCGAAACACCAGTTGAAGGTCGGTCGGCGCTTCCTATCCGACGCATGGGTGAAGCAGATGGCGGTAGGGTTTCTGATTTCTCCCGCGATGACTTCGTCCGGTGCGGGGGCGGGTATGCAATACGTTCCTCCTGATCAGTGGTATAAGGTGAATCCCTCCCAACCATTGGATCATTTTGCCCATATTGTCCAGGACGAGCGTCGGTCGGGTACGGCAAAGGTCCACGTCCAAGCTCTGCAGAGGGGCGCCGACGATCTCGGGGCAGGTCATCCGCAATCAAACCCGGAATGGGTTCTGTAATAACATTGCTCTTGAAAAACTCGGGGAAATTCAGCCGCTCCGCCGGATTGCGCTTCAAAAGCCCTCGAATAAGCTTCTTCATGTCCTCCGATGCCGGGTTCTCTTCAGGGAATCGTATTCGGTCCTCCCCCTTTTCAATCTTCCGTAGAAGTTCGACATGATTCGTAGCCCGGAAGGGAGGTCGACCCACTACCATCTCATAAAGCACCGTGCCAACGGACCAGAGATCAGCCTCGGCGCCATACTTCTCGTACCGCAAAATCTCGGGTGCCATATAAAGTGGCGACCCGCATAGCGTCTCGGCCAGTGATGTGGCAGGTAGAGACCGAGCAAATCCAAAATCTGCAATCTTGAGCATCGGTAGCGTCTCCAGCCCCGTCGTTGGTTCGTAGGAATCGTCGCTGCCCTTGTACGGGACAACCTGAGTCGTTCCGCTCCGGTATGAAGTTGGCGCTGGACAAAGCAAGAGATTTTGAGGCTTGATGTCTCGGTGAATGAGGTCTCGCTCACGCAGAAAGTGAAGGGCGCTAGAGAGTTGTTTGAGGAAATGCCGAACTACCACTTCGTTGAGAGCCCCACCGGGTGGATTGGGGTATTTGGCAATCATGTCTCGGGTAGATGAATGATCGTATAGAGTATCTCGCTTCTTGATAAAAGCTGAAAGATCCCCGAGAGCACAAAACTCCATGACCAAATGGATATGTGACGTAGACTCATGGCAATCGATGAGGGCGACGATATGCGGGTGATGGAGATCCTTCAGGATATCGATTTCGGAAGAAAGGTTGTCCTTCAACTTCTTGTTGAGCTTCGATAGATTGACGGACTTGATGGCTACCAAGGTGCGAGTTTTCTAATGGCCAAAGAACCGCGACTGTTAGCACTGCATTCCAGGAAAAGGTAAATCGATACTCGATGACTCACCGTGTGAACACCTTGGTAGACTGTCGCGAAGCTCCCTTGTCCGATCTTATTATGCCGAGTGTAGGGACCGATGGTCATTTCTGGGCGAGAGGTCTCGCGTGACCTCCGCGAATGTTGAGACGCCATGGCTGTCGCCGAGTGACTCGGCCACTTGCGTTCTGATATCCCGCAGATGAAGCTCCGAGGGAGATCCAACGGCCCAACCACGCTCTGTCAACCACAACTACCGCGGCAAGAATCGAGACGTTGGACTCGGGGAGAGGCCCATCAGGGGAGCCAGGATGAACAAGGATCGTACAGCTGGGAGCTGGGAAGGGAGGAAGAACGAGGAGCCCGTCGGGGGGGGGGGGGGGGGGAAACGAGTCTGGGCTTAGGCTGGGAGCAGTGCCAGGGAACTAAGCTGGTCGAGTGTGTCGAGCAAAGCGAGTTCGTGTCCAGCAGGATATAGAAGGATGGGAATATGTTGATGGATAGTCGGGGGGTGTTTGGTTTCGCACGACAGATGTTACCCCCAGCACGTTGTGGAAAGCGGTGAAGTGATGATGTATAGATGCAAGTCGTAGGAATGTCCGGGTGTAGCGAATATAATGAGGGGGACCGTGAACCAAAGTTTTGGGGGGAGGAGGGAGAAAAGGGAATGCAGGAAGGGGGCGGGTAGTAGTTCTGGTCTAATGGGGGAAGAGGATGATGTGATGTTGGAAAGGGCGGGAAAGCTGGACCCAAAGGACGAGGGACAAGGACGGCGGTGGGTGGTGAAGGCTGGTGATTGGGGAGGGGGATGACCTGCGCTGATGGCTAATGGCCGATAACGAGTGACAGGCGATGATCTACTCCAAGGCGGTCAGTAGAGCGGTGGGGTCAGAGTACCGAAGGAGAGCACCTTATGTACGGGTCCTGGAGGACCTTGGAAGATGGGCAAAGTACAAGAGAGAGAAGAGCGAAACGGGAAAACGAAAGAAGAGGGTTTCCCACGATTCGAGGTTCGAGAAGAGAGGGAGTCCCAAGGGTTGTCACGAAGAGACCGAAAAAGGGGGAGCAGCAGGAGGTCATGCAGGTGGCCAGCTTCAGGTGGTTTATCGATTAGATAAGGCCGAGATCGTGACCTATCGCGAGTCACGAGTCACGTTCCAGGGAATAAGTATGATTCACCATGCTATTTATACTGTAACTATATAACTCTAGATGTGCTTGCTGATAGATCTTGTATCAGATGAAAGATCACATCATATCCTTATAATTACTAATAGATCAGACCAAATCAAAGACATTATATTTGCCAGCCAAAAAGATGGTTCTTTGCCATGACCATCATCCCTCCGTATCCTTGTACTTGGGATCCACACCCCGATCCGAGATCGGTAGCCCCAAGGGTACTGGGCAACGATAACCCGCCAAAAGCTTATCGGCCAGGCAGAAACTGGTTTTCCAGGCCGTTGCCTAATCCTGGTTATACTACTCCGTACTGTAGAACCTACAGTAGAACAGATTATAAGTCATGAGGAAATTAAAATATGAGCATCTAAGGTATTATGATACATGATACAAAATATCTACAAGGGAGCCATCTATTTGCCAACCCAAAGGCATCCACTACCGCCTTCCCATCTGCACGATCAAACGCCCAGACCCCGCACTAACAACCACAGCACGACTGGCACGACAACGTTATCATTACAGCCAGTGAGGATCGCCTCGGTCGCGCTAGTCCCGCTAGCCGCTAATATGGCCTTGCATGCTGTCCAGGCCCAAAACCGAACGGTGGAGGCCTCCACTCCGGTTGATTCGGCCCCTGTCACGGCCCACCCTCCGACCATCAGCCAGGCACGTACGGCAAGCAACCCACACGACACGGCCACTGCAAAAGCCACACTGCCTTCAACGGACTTGCCCCCACCCCAGAACCATTTCAGCCGGCCGTATCGACGGCCGACGAGCGAGGCTGCGGCATCACCCATGCCAACACAGATGACACCACTGACCATGCTAACATCCCGGGTGGGTACCTCCCAACCCGCCCAGGGGCCTTCACCGTTGTGGTCCAGATCGGAGAGGGACAGCCATAGTGGAATGGAGCAGCCGATCAGCAGGAAGATGTGTGAAATGACGACCGGTCCACGGTGGTCGCGCCCGTCCACATACGGCGCGAGGAAGTAGGTCAAGGGTCGCGAGATCGGGGGTAGCTGAGATGCACGGAATAGATCCAGAAGCAAAAAGACTGAGAGAACCAGAGCCAAGGCGAGTGCACAGAATGTCGGGTCCACGAATACGGTGGGCAGAAACATTAGCACCATCATTCCATGGAAGACCTTGCGCCGCGTATCCACCTCGGCCACGGAGCTGAGTTGGAATACAATTGCCAACCCGGTCACCAGAACCAGAATACAGTAGGCACTCATCAGCAGGCGGGTGGTGGCAGGTCCAAAGTCTGTCTGGCGGACATGCTCAACCCAGCCCAGCCTGCAAGAGGGATCTTGGAACGCAGCGTCAGGCCGCGGGGGTAACTGGATCCAATACTCGAGGTTCAGCATGAGCACCCAGAATCGGACCCCCGATAAATTGCCCAAAAGGTATCCAACGGCCCATCCAAAAGGATCCTGTCCTTGCAGTGCTCGTTCAGAAATGTACTTCCGAATGGGCCCCAAGATGATCCCGAGAGAAATTGCGTATACGTAAATCGCATACAGCCATTTGCGGACCTGCGCTTGGGCTGCAGTCATGGAAAGAAACGAGGCAAGCCCAGGTCCCATCGATTTCTTCCGGCGACCACCAGGTGTAGTGCGCACACGTTCTTCTTGCACTGCCTCCTCAAACGTTGAAATGGTATGTCTCCGTCGCCGGTTCTGCGCACGAGCATGTTGTTCAAAGGCTTGCTCGGCGGTCATATTGTCAATGGCCGACATAGGGTCCCGACCGTTCCGCATTGTCTTCGTCCTGCGAGGTCGGGGTACTCCACCGGGTCCATCACTATCAGACGTGGGTTCATCCGAGACCCCAGCCCGGCTGAGTTTCTGACACAGCCGGTGGTCCATCATGTTGAAGAACTTTCGCGGGGAGAGCGGTCCGCTTAGTGAACGGCGGAACTTCCAACTAGGGATCCGAGCTAGAGCCACCTCCCAACGGAGTATGTGTCGACAAGCAGCGAATAAGCATATCCCACCCAGCCATAGCAAGGCCTTTAGAATCTCCGCCTGTGGAGAGGCCGCAAACAAGTACAGATTGATTAGCGCTGTCGTCAAAAGCTGCAATTCGGCAGGCAGAATGCTGGTGGTCAACAAAAAATCTAAAGTGGGTATCAACGCTTGATGCAAAGGGAAAAGAAGAATCAACGATTCCGAATCTTGCCCGCGCAGAGACAGCGGCTTGGGAACCGTACTGTCGAAGGAGAGGTGCTCTGAGGCGAGGATCGGCACCAGAGTCACCATCCAATGTGTCACACTGAAGCCATTGATCCAGCTCTGCAGGGGGATGACTGGAGCCGGGAGGGACGAAAGGCTCAGAATGAGGTTGGGTATAAGCAAGGTCGGGAGATGGTGTGTCAAAGATAGCGAGACAAAAACCGGGATCAGGATCGGATAGAGTAGCGGAGCGGGATCGAAACTCGGTGGTATGGAGAAGAACGGACGTTTGGATTTGGGAGGCCATATGCGCCACCTTCGGCCCCTCGAGGCTCGAAGGAGTACTGGGTAGGCAGCATATAGACTGGCGAGCGTAATTCCGTGGGCGGCGAGCTCTATACCATTGTTAAGCGAAACCAAATCCACGTCTCCGGGTTCTAGACAATCAAAAGCAATCCTACCTTTCCTCCAAGCCCAAGCAATTGAACGAGCATCTTCTTGTACCAAGACGACAGCGCCGACAGACAACAGGAGCGCAGTCTCCACCAGCCGCCGCAGAATCTCAACCCGCCTCTGTCGACGGATATGTTTCCTCTCAGCGAACCTATCCTCTGTCTCTTCCGACGAGCTTCGCCGCGAGGCCCGTGATGAAGGGCGCACGAATGACGGCCACGGTTGTAAAGTAGGCAGCCACGCATCGGTATCGAGTGTCCCATTCGCGCCAGAGCGCAGGCCTTTCCGCGGTCGAACAGGCGGCGCCGGCAGACCTCTCAAGATACCAGTACTTTCATCATCAGCCTCCGTGCCGCTGTCACTCGGTGTCCGCGATGATTTCGAGTAAACGGATAACGGTCGGAGGCGATCGCCGGGTTCGGAGGGCGTGCGCGACCCGATGCGCCCGTTGGTACGGTGGTAGGGATGGGGAGAGCGATTAAATTGTCGCAGGTCTTCGGCGATCACATCGGAGGTTGAAGCAGGCGTGCTGCTGCGAGGGATCGCCGCCTGTTCCTCGTGGCCCCGCGGAGAACTCATGGCACCATTCCTATGTCGATGAGAACGTCATGCCGGGGTAGGGAGGGAGAGTGGCAGGGGAATCGAGAGTGTGTAGAATGGAGAAATAGAAAAGTGAAATCAAAGGAAGAAGCGTAGTAGTTCTCCGAAAAGGCAATGGAAGGAGATCGTGGGAGAGCGGGTTGTTGTTATCTTTCCTGAACGCGGAAGGGAGTCTGCCTTATCACATGTTCGGGCCACCTGGGGAGATCCACCATATGACAGTCGAGTACTTACGAGTCCACAATCTGCCCACGGAACACCTGATGGGACGAGAAGAATGAGCATTCCACTCTGTAACTTACAAGGAAATATTTTTGGAACTTGTTGAAACTCTTCAAATACTACTGAATATCTCTCCTTCAACGTGACCTCACATGTAACCAATTTGGTGGAATTAGGTTCCACCCTGCATCTCATATCAAGGGTATTTACACATCCAAGCCACGCTCCTCCTGCAAGACTACAGCAGCGGCCAATCGTCGTCCCTTCCGTCCCCAAACCGATCGGCATGGGACAATCTGGCCTGGCCAGAGGCCCTCCGGAACGGACAGTGTGGTGTATAAAATTGCCTGAGAGGTACTCAGTGTCTGACTGCGGGACGTGACCAACGGACGAAGTCTCTCTTCTAACGATGCCTCAGAGTTCCCAGTATCAACCTCCACACAGCGGTAAACGTATCGTCCATCCGCAACTGTCGAGCTACCATCTTCCAGGCTACACACTGTAGCCTGCTGGCACCGACTGCCCAGTCCCTGCCACTCGATATCACTGCCCCGAGGAAGCTCATCAACCTCGACCGCCAGGAAAGGCGGGATACTTGATTCAGACTCCTCATCCAGGACCGAGAACCTGGGTAGACTCGACCCCGCTGCTTGAGGCATCAGCTCCTCCGTTCTCCGTCCGTATTTGATATCCCAAGCATCAAGCTGCGGGCCTTCGTCCTCGTCTTCATCATCCTCAGGCCGGGAATGCATCTTCTTCCACAATTCCCAGGCAATACCTGCCTGCGCTTCAACACGCTCACTACTCGTCATAAAGGCCACGGCACCAAGCCACCAGTCAACCTCCATGGCCTCGCCGATCCTCCATAGATGTTGAAGGGCCAACACAGCTCTCAGGGAATACCCCTCGAACCAGGGCTTGTCTTGCGCAGCAACCTCCATAGACGCTGGCTCCAGCGGGATCTGACCCGCAATGTAGACGATTCTGGCCCCGCCTTGTAAAGGGATAGACATTGCTTGTGAGTATGGGCCGATGTTCGCGGGTGCCCAGTATGACCGCGACTGGACATGCAAGCCCTGACGCTGGTCTCGTGCGCCCCGGTCAACCACGAAGGAGACCATTACCTTCACGCTGGAAGGGAGGGTATCTCCACAGGCGACTGTGACGCGGGCAGGTGGGTTTGGCTTTTTGAAGAGGGAGACGTAGACTTTGTTCATGAGGGCAAAATCGGACATGGATCGTAGGAGAACGGTGGCGAAGACGATATCGTCTGTAGAGCGAGGGATTGAGATGGACTCGGGGGGGGATGATAATGCACGTTGGACTTTGTCGACAATAGCGTCCATCTGCTCGTCTGCACCGGGACCTGCCTCTGGAGCAACGAGGTTTGAAATAGTCCACGTTGACGAAGACAAGCAATGATTCGGTTCTCCAACAGACCACGCTGGCGACGGCACGCCCTCCCCAGAGACCCTTACCACCGTCCCATTCAACGAAAGCGACGAAACCCCATCCAAACCCGTAGCAAAAGACCCATCCAGCAAAGCTGGCCTCCTCACATCCTCCGGCGTAAACTCCCTCCCATCAACTTTCTCCACACACCTCGCACCCTTCAACTTCAAGTAAGCCACACCCCCCTCACCAACCACAACCTCTCTCCCCTGATCCTCAACCTCAATCCTCATCTTCCACAAAAAACCCGGCCCATCAATCGCCAAACTCTCATACTCCCCACCCTCCCCCAAAACCGCACCCCTCACATCCTCCCCACCCGCAAACCGACTCATCCCCTTAACGAGCCGTCTCCGCAGTGCCTGCCCCGAACCAGACCCAGATACATTCTCCCACAAAAACCCCTCATCCAGCCCGCCAGAGGCAACCTTGATAATCCGCGCATCGCACCCACAGCTCGCCATATCCTCCAACAGCCCCGCCTGCGCGATAGCCGCGGGATCCGCGTCCCGCTGGACCGGCGCCGGGAGCGAGGGGTACATCCACAGCCAGGCTAGCGGGACGAGACCGAGTCGGCCGGCGACGTTCTCGATGCGGGTGCGCTGGTATGTGGATAGGATGGCGCCGGCGGAGACGGCGTTGGCTTCGGGGTGGGCTTGCATGATGCGGCGGAGTAAAGGGACGAGAGACTCTGTTTCGTCTTCGTCTGCGGAGCCGGAGCCTGCTTCTGGCTGGGAGACGTGCTCGGCGGCCTGGTCGACTGCATCGTGCCTGTATATCCGGGCTGTGTCGACTGCGGCGCCGGTGATAGGGGCGCGGTAGAGTGGGATGCCTAGGGCAGTCTCGTAGAGAGGGATGACGGCGTGGCCGATAGTTTGGTACATGAAGCTATCGATATCTTCTTCGGTGTCACCGGTGTCGATTTGGCCATTTTCCACGCCGGATTGATCATCTGATATCTTGGTTTTCTGCTCTGGGTGTAGGTTTGCTAGGGCGACTACTTTGTGCCCGTTGCGGGTGCAGTGGAGGATGGAGTAGAGCGAGTCTTTGCCGCCTGAGATTAGGGCAATCACGTTGAGACCTGGTGATGGGGTTGGTTGGGCAGGGGGCATGTTGATTTTTGAGAGGGTTATTGGTCCTCTCTCAATGCCTTTGCCCGACTCTGTTTTTTGCTTTTGGTTGTATTGGAGTTGGATATGACATGGTGGGCGGGCTTTTTTGTGTTCCCCACCTTGGGGCTTATCGATAAGGCGATAAGCTGTGGCCATGGTCAGTCCCAAGTCAAGCGCTGGAAACGACAGTTGACCATCAGATTGATTTCTATACAATAAAAACCGAATACCCCATAGCATCAGGCAATTACTCTGGAAGAAGAGCATCTTTAGAGGTTATGTCCATCCCCACCAATTCCAGACTTTATAATTATAGGATCATGTTTACCAGCTACCGAGATAAACCAATTGTGTAAGAATTAGACTTGTAATTGAGATGCTAAGAGATCCACTATGGACCCCCAAAACCCTTCGACCGACACAAAAGGACAGACAAGAAATGCAATACAAGAAAGGGGTATGAGGTGAACAAAAAAAGGTGTGGGTTGGAAGAAAAGAACGGGTAGTGGTCAAATTAACTTATACACGAATGTGACCAGCACAAGAAACAGAGTGGGAGAGCACAAGAAGAGAAGAAACAAAAGAGCTCACAAAAAGATATTACATCGAAGTAGGGCAAATGAAAATGTGAACGAAATGGACAAGAATCCAACAAAGGACTAAAAGATCAGCCAAGAAGGGAATCAAAATCGAAGAAAAAAAGATCAGCCAAGAAGGGAATCAAAATCGAAGAAAAATCACAGAAAGAAGAACGAGGATCAGAAGATGATCAAAAAGAGGAGGGCCTGGTCTTGAGTCTTGCAACGGTGGACCTGATCAGTCCAAAGGATGAGTGCTGGTTCAGGTTTGCGGGCAAAGTCAAGAAGAGAAGAAGGGTGGGAGAGAAAAGACAAAAGAAAAAGAAAAATCAGTGACAAAGGAAATCAACACCAGTCCCACCACCTGTAACCCATAGAGAACAGATGCCATCAATTGCTCTATTTTCCTTTTTGGTTTCCTCTTCATGCTCATGGATCTCCGAGAAAATAATAAAGAGATCACCCATGAAAAATAGGACCCGTCTTCCGCCGAAGAAGCCCAAGCCCCCAAGGCCCAAGTAAAGAAATAATAATCATGAGGACGAATGAAAGGAAAGAGAAAGCAAGAAAAACTCCTCTCCTCTATTTCGTGCCTCATGATGTATCCCCGTTTTCCTTTTTGATGTAGAAAAAGTGAAAGGAAAACCAAGTTGCCGTACACCAATGACCACCCCCTGGATGCCGACACCAGTGGTAAAATGCCCAGGACGCCAAACCCAATCAACCGCAACGGTGAACCCAACTCTCCCCCAGGTAATGAGAGAGGGGAAGGCCAGGCCGACCGAAGATGTGTATGTATTATATATGCAGTAGGAGAAACTCCTGGTCTCATAGAAATCATCAAACGCAGCAGGTGAAATCAAGCCCCAAGGCAAATTTAGGCAGAGTCACGCTTGCGTTTCTTCGCTGCCCGGCGGTCCGTGGCAGGGGAGTCTTCGACTTCGCCTGACTGGGCGGCTTCGTACATCACCTGGCCCAGGGCACCGGCGTCATGTTGCTCGTCGAAGGACATCCCAGCCTCACTGGGGTCCAGGACACCCATGACGATGGAGCCGCCGCCGTGAGTGCGGGCATGTTGGGCGAGGTTATCGCTGCGGGAGAACTTCTTGCCGCACTCGTGGCACTCGAAGGGCTTGTCCTGGGTGTGCAAGGAGCGGTAGTGGCGCTTGAGGTGCTCCTGGCGACGGAAACGGCGGGAGCACAGGGTGCAGACAAATGTCTTGGACGGGTCATCCGTCAGCGACTGCTTACGGCCGCGACGGTTAACGGAGACTGGCGCGGGCTCAGAGTCGGTGCAAGGGGAGCCTACAGATGGGGCACTGCACTCGGAGTGGGCCACGGCAATCTTCTTGACCAGCTGCTCCTCCTCCTCCTCCTCCTCCTCCTCCTCCTCCATCTCCACATTGGAGTTCTTGCGCGACGATTTGCGGCTGCTGCGCTTCTTGGACTTGGTCTCCTCCGCCTGGGTGATCTCCTCGGTCTCCTCGGTCTGGGGCTGAGCTGACTCGGTCCACTCGAACGAGGGGATGCCGTTGTGTAGGAAGCCCTCGTCATCGTCCGCGTCCTCCAGGCTGTGCTCACTCAGAAATCCATCATCCTCGACAATGTACTGGCTCACACGCTGGCGCTTGCCGCCCAGGTAGACGGCGTTGGCGCCCGGGTGGAACTCGACCAGGCGGTTCAGCTCATCGTCAGAGTCGAGGTCGGAGAAGCTGTCGAAAGTGGGCAGGGAGCTCAGAGGGTCCTCGGTGGCAGAGGTGAAAGACGGAGAAGGGTTCTCGTTCACAGGCAAGGTCACAGAGGAACTGCCCAAGACCGCGCGAGGGGCCTCCTCGTCACAGGTGAGAGTCGGCAGAGGAGGGAGGTCCTGGGGAGTGGGAACGTTGACAGAGGGCTCGACAGTTAGCTGGCGGGGGTCGCAGAAGTCCGAGCCAACCGAGCTGACCGACTCAGCGGTCAAAGCCTGAGAATGGGCCAGGAACTCGGAGGGCACTGGAGAGGGGGAGGGGGAAAGCGAGGGGCAGGACGTGGCGGAAAGAAGATCCGACGTCTGGCTGGCGGTGAGTGATGGCGGGTGGATGAACACTGCAGGAGCCGCATGGGAAATTAGCCTTCATGTTTGATCATCATCATCGTCATCCCTTGCATGAGGGATTCATCATCTGCATGTGCATGGTTTCGCAGTATGACATCTCGACTCGTTCCATCAAAAACTTACCAGGTGTCATGGGTGGGGAGTCGCAGCGAGACCAGTCCAGGTTGGCCAGGATCTCGGTGTGTACGTCAGTCTCGCAGCCTTCCTTGACGCCCTCCACCTTTTCAAAGGCGAAGAAGCTGTCATTAATTGGTGTGTGCAGAGTGCCGTGGGCGGACGGAGGGCTACTGATGGAGCTTCCGGACGAGGACAATGGCGGCGTTGATGGGAAAGCGTACAGGTCGGCATTGATGAAGCGGGTGTCGATAGGCATCAAGGCTGGGGAACCTTGCTGCACAAAGATGGCAGGCTTCATCTGCGAGGGTTGAGGCGAGGCAATGGGAGTCATGCTCATGGCAGCACCGCGGAAGGCGTTTGTGGTGGCCATCTGGTGCATGTTCATGACGGGCTGGGCCGCGTAGATGGGCTGCTCGGCGCATTGCTGGCCGGGATACTGCATCTGTCCATAGTATGGCACGTCTTGTGGCTGGCTGGTGTAGTGGCCTTGCTGTGATGTTGAGTCGGGATAGTATGCAAACGAATGTTGACTTGGGACCGGAGTCGGGGTCACTGTGTATGTTGCGTCCATTGCGGAAAAGATCTGGAATTGGTTGGCCTTGGGTTAGTTGACCAGATTGTGCTTTTGCAATTGGGGATATCCAGGATATATCCACTGGTTTGAATCCATGTAGATTAAACCAGGCATAGGGTAATTGGATCAGTCACAAAACACACCTGTCGAAGTTATTCGCCAATTCGGATCCGCGTCGAGTCGTCCAATATTAGTGTATATAGAGGTGTCGAGAGTGTAGGAGTAGTAGTTTTGTAGATGTTGATGGTCAAGTCCGGTAATATCCCTCAAGAGACCGAGACGTAGGAAACAAATGAGTGTGTAGACCAAGGGTGATTAGGGTTATAGGTAGAGAGAGGAGGTAACAAGATGTGAAGAGGATGAGAGAGAACACTTGTAAAAGGAAGGACAGGAATCCTTAGCCACGCTGAAGGACCCGAAGGAAGTGATTGGGGAAAGAAGAGGAATATCACAAGTTCCTCCCAAACCCAAAACAGTCAAACAAGAAAGACTAGTGGAAAAGTATAGAGTAAAATGAGTAAGGAAAAAAAGGTTCACGAAATAAAAATCAAAAATAAACGGGAGAGGGAAAATAAAAGAGAGACAGGGCCGATAATGGGCAATCTGGACACGAAAAAGATGGGAGAGAGAGAGAAGGAAGGGAACGAGATAGACCCGAAGGGTGTCGCGGTGGATAAAAGAGTGATCTGCTTGTGCTATTTTCTACTTGCCGGGTCACTAGTCATGGTCCGAGTGGGCCAGGAACGGGGGTGCATTGAGAATTAAAAAAAGTAAAAAAAGAAGAAATAATGGGGGGAGGATTTTGAAGGAATATTTTATTTTATTTTGAATTTTATGAATTTTAATGGTTAATGTGGTTATTGGGGGGGGGGGGGGGGGGCAAGGGAATTAAATTAGGAAATTTAGTTTTTGGCGTGTCTCACAGTGAGATGGGTATGCAGTCGTCCGATTAGTACGGACTTACGGAGTACGGGATGGCCCATTGGCCAGTAGCCAGTACAGCTAGTAGCCAGTAGCCACTGGCCACTACTACAGTGCTAGTGCTAGTGCTCCTCCGTCAGTCATAGCCAGCTTGGTATGCGGTGTAAAATGGTGTGGTATCAGGCCAGTCTGGGGCGGGATTGGAAAGGACACTTGCACATCACCCAAGTGCTCAGTCCCGAGCAGGTTGGGAGGCCTGCCAATCGCATTGAGCAAGGATGAGGGATCGGGAGTTAGCGTGGGTAGCTACGAAATTAGCGTGGATTTCTCTCCCAAAGACTCCCAAAGGTGTCCGCACAGTACATATCTCCAGTGTGGAGGAGGAGGAGGATAACCAGCCCAAGGTCGAAAGTTTCGTGGTGGAACCCCTCCATTTGGTGCTGGACTCTTCAGAAAGGACCTTCGGTATGGGAGCGTAACCGTACCAGACTCCTACTGAAGAGGAGGACACTGGTCTCCGCTGTATCGGGCCAGGAAGCGGCCCACATCGGTCGACGAGCCCAAAAAGAGAAGTGGGGCAGCACACGGTGTTACGCTGAAAATGCGGAGAGGCTGTGCTGTTGGTGCTGACTGGGATTTAATTGACACTGGGAGGCCCGAACAAAAGCCTCCTACTGGAGAGAATGGGACTGTCTGTGATGGTCCTATCAGTGCTGGTGAACGGTGTCTTGAGAAAAATCCTGGCGGTGTTGGTGGTGGTCGTGGTCAAATGAAGAGGAAGACATCCTGTAGGACATAGTTTTTTTTTTTTTGGGTGGTTATTTTTGTTTTTTCAGCTCGAGTTGTCGTCAGTCCATCTTCATTCTACCAACCACCATCATCAACCCAAAATTTTGGGCAACTGGCTGTGTGGCCACGAGGTGCATGACGATTGGATCACCGCGATGGTGACAGCGGCAATCAGCAATCATTCGCACCTTCTTCTTATCATCGCAAAGGGCGCATTGTGCACTCGGCGGGCAAATGGGCATGAGGCAAGTGGAGAGTCCACGGCCAGCTCAAATCAGCATCGTCCATCCCCATGACCCGGCCCCACGTCCATCCCGTCTCGTCATTTCTCTGCCAGGGCAGCGCCCAGAGATCGACATGCAATGATCTGTCCTGTCCCCCAGGACTTACCAGAAGTCCGGATAGAAAAGGTCAACTTGGTAAAGGTACAGTACCTTCTTCATACTAGAAGTTGCTCGAGGGTTCCCCATCCCACGCTACTTACAGTAGTACCACTACCCACTACCACTACTAACTCCCTTCGGCGATCAGCATGTGGGAACTTCCACCTTCCGGATGGTAAGACTAAGCGCAAACTGGGGCATATCCATTTCCGAATCAGGCGTCAGGTCGCTCAGAACTTTCCTGCGCCGATCAGAAGAAAGACTATCAACGGTGGCAACCACCGTGCTACTGTTCTATTCCCTCCCCCAGCCGTGCGATCGGGAAACGGTCGGGCATTGGTCGCCATCGTGCTTAGTTGCTTTTTCATGCTTACAGTGCTGACTGAACCGACGCCCATCACCGTTCTTGCTGGGCAATCTCTGGGCACTACTTCTTGCCCGCCCCCCCCCCCCGGTCGGTTTCATATGATTCTGGCCAAAAGTACAAGTACAACCGTCGAATCTCAATAACCGTGCATAGTATGGAGTTAACCAATGCCTCGATGATCCATCGACCGATGAGCATTAGCAATGCACTACTTACAGCAAGTACATGCAGAGTACATACTTTGGTAGTTTAATCCTGAATTTTAATTATCGCGCAATTCTTATTTGTCTACTTGGTTATGGAAAAAATTCCGCCATTTTCGCCCTCATGATTTGATTGATGTCGCCACATAGAAATATATCGGAAGCCGTGTCTCTCGTACTGTACTCCGAGAGTCCGTACTCTACTATCAAGTAATAATGTGGGGAAAGAAGATCCAACGAAACCAAAAAAAGCAAGGGCCAGTCCGCGCGACACGTCAAAAAGAGGTGATGCAGCGCGACAGGGCTCTCGGCTCCAGCAAATGACGCTCGGTGGCCTGTGATATTCCGTCAGTCAAGTTGCGCGGCCTACTGCAGGAACCAAAGCTGTGGTGGAGGCACAGCCGCGAAGAACCACCAGAGGAGGACAGACGCGGTGATTGGGTATGTGTCCATTGGGAGAGGCAAGGCTCGACACTGGAGTGACTGGACAGTCAGTCCGTCTCTCTTTGTTCAGCAGCTGCAACTCTCGAATGAGAACGCTGCAGACTGGCCGGAGTCAGGGTTCCGAGTGCCCTAACTTTGCTGATTGGAAGTATTCGGGGTGGCCCGCTAATGCAGTCTCCATGCCATCGCGTCTGAAGAGAACCGCCAAGAGTAAAGTATGTACTCCGTATGGATGGATATGGAATTGACTACTCTAGGATACTTTTGGTTTTTCTTTTACAATTCAGCCTTGGATACTTTTTTTTATCGAGGCGGGGAGGTCGGATCCATCTGTGCATCGCTGTAAGCAGACACCACATAGACTTTTTTCAATGTTGGTGCCGGGGTGTGATACATCTGATTGGCCCAGTTCTGTCAGCCATGTCGCGAGGTGATGTGCTCAGAATTGCATGGGCGGCTGTGATGGCGCTGCTGTTTCGTCTCACTCGGTCGATCCGGGGGAATGGGCGTTAACATCAGCAGTGGTGGTGCGAGAGTCTCGACCTCTATACAAGAGACAGATGTTTCTCTTGTTCCACATTCTGTGGGTATCGAGTTAGTACCATTATTGAATGATTTATACGAGGACTTTGTTCAGAGGTACATTATTTGTTCTGCTCCCCGCCTGGAACCACTGTTTTATGCCTGTGATTCATCCAGCGACCGTATATGCAGACGTTCAGCAAAAAACTCGACACATCCATCTTGGCTATCTCCTCGGTATTATGCTGTTGCCTATCACTCATTATCTGTCATCTGATGTCAACCGTTGGACAATCGTTGCTTTTACTCAGCCGCCAGCCCTCACGCGAGCAAGGTGTGGTAAGGTTGGAATGAGGTAACGCAAAGGTTGTGTGTGGCACAAAGATATCAGACAATGTTTCCTTCTAATCTCCAGCGCTGACTACCCGATGGTCTTGGCTGACACTCCAGTCCATGAAACCCAACCACCGTGATCCCACAGATAAGAAAAAAAATAAAACAGAAAGCCACAAAAAAAGGCAATACAGAATGACAGACAGAAACCTATTGACTTACTCCTGTAGTCTGTAACTAGTCAAGTGATTTATTTCATTCTCTGGCCAGACCCTCAACCATCTTCCTGCTTCCTCTTCCTATTCCAATTCCCTGCAGCCCGGAGTCCAGAACACTCAAGCATCGAGTCGCGGGATTTCCATCGCGGCCCATCCTTTCCTTTGGGGAGGGCGCATCATCTCCGCGCGATTGGCCGCTTCTAAAGATAGCGGCCTCCACTATTGGTCCCCCATGTCCGTCGCGGGCAAAGCGTCGGCGCGGACGGGAATCCTCCCTTCCTCCCGCTACCAATCATGTCCGGTTGCCTACCCACCGTCCGGGAAATGGGGAAGGGAAGATGAAATGGGCGGCGGGGGGACTGTCTTTTGCCTGATCATTGTAACTAACTAGCCTCCCTTTGGTACGGAGACCTGTACGGAGTACACGGAGTATAGTACGCACACTGTGACACTACTATGGAATAATACTTACTGGCTAAAGGCCTCGAATGGAGACTGTGATGGAGACTGCTTATTTCTGTGCTGTAGATAGTGTTCTCCACTCCGTCTAGAAGGTCCAGAAATCTACAGTAGCGTCGTGTTCTTGTTTTCTTCGGAGTTCATGCGCGAGGTGAGATTTCCTCAGGATAGACTTGGAGAATGAGTCCAGTCTCGCGCTGATTGGATCATTTCTCTCGTCTTTCCCTTCCTGGGTTAGGATGGTACCACCCCCTGTTAAATCACCGTAACCTCACTAATTAGCCACAGTAATCAACTAAACTTACCCAGTCGTTTGGTCCGAACGGAGTGGAATTGACTTATGCATGGAAGGCTGTCA